AACCGTTGTTCCACTCGGTGGACTTTATGTTATAAATAGCTGTATTTCCTTAGAAATTGTTGCTTTCAGATACAAGAACTTTGTGGTAGTAATTATTCAGCAAAAGGAGAGTAGCAAATTAGGTGATGCACTGGTGCATACCTGCAGCAACACGCCTCACTCTTTTGGCAATTATCTCACCGACCATGCTGTAACTCTGTAACTTGCAACAAAACTGACGACAAAATTCACATCCGTGAGCCACCGACCTCACCTGTGCCGGCCGCAGATTAAGAAGCAATAAAACCGGGATTAGTCATGTCATAAAACACTCACACACCACTATCTATTGGCCGTTGCTATGCAATCCATTGTTAAAATTCAGAATTAGCTTCCGCTATCCATTAATACATTTTTTTGAAAAAGAAGAGCTTCTAATAATTTCACATTATGCTTTCTTCCACTATCTATTAATACATACTCCATTCGTCCCTAAATATAAGGGATTTTATATAACATCCAATCAAAATCCCTTATATTTAGGGACGGATGAAGTATTTTATATAAAAAAGAAGAGCTCCTAATAGTTTCACATTATGCTTTAACAAATCAACTTTCTCATGCTTAACTGATGCACATTCGGTGAGTGACATCGTTAGGCATTATTGATTATAAGCCGTCAAGCTTATTAGCGATAAAAAATAATTTATAGGCAAACATTTATATATGTGTTCTTAGCGACTTAACGATCAATACCGGAAAAAAACTACGATAAAACATCAAAATTAGCTCTAAAAATAAGATTTAAAATTCAAATTTTGTATACAGCTAATAAGCCGAAGAGCAAATTAAGGTCATGTGCTGCTGTCCTGACATTCGAAGTTTTTAAATCTAACCATGCAACCCTCGCCCGCTAATATTGAAGCATGTCTCATCTTTTGGTGAAAAGATGATTGAAAAATTTGGGCCTTTTTTCCCTCACATTGTTCCTTCTTTTTGCCTTTTCTACAAAATTTTCTTTTCTGTCTCCCTTGTGGGTATATGTATTGAAACTCTTCTTTTTTCACTTTCTCCCTTTAAGCCTCTTGATCCCTTTTGGCTTTTGTTGCATGGGCCATTCATTTTGATTTTTTTTTTCTCCTCTTGGTGTTGGTTTTTTTTTCATGTGTCTCTGTGAGACAGTGTGTGCACAAGAAAAAAGTTTGGGCGCACGTATCATTGGCCTTTTCTGCTTTTACGTGCATGCATGCACACTGTAGGGTGCAGCACGATTCTCGGTGAGACCTATGCTAATGCTAATAGTACTAATTAAGATTCACTTAGGCTTCCTAATTGTAGGGTTAATTATAGTGGTTATTTCGAGGCCCTTGAAGCATGCTGCCAATTGTACGGATTGAGAGCCAAAAGTTCTTGCTAAGCATAAGACCAATGTCATTTGGAGTAATTGTTTTGCTTCCACTAGTATTGGAAGTATTTCCAATTAATGGAATATTGTTGTCATGACTCATGGTAACTATTGTGGTTACTGTGTTTAATTATGTTTTTTTACACAGGTTAAAATCGTTAAAATGGAGTATTTCCCTATTTGTAATTTCGGCGTAAATTTCTGTGTTCCAAATGGAGTGCTATACTCCTAATAACAAAAGTAACACGCATGGGTACATTTTCAATAGAATTTTAGTGGGGATTTGCCGCTGGTTTCCAACTCTTTGAGCGAGTATTGGGGAGACGCATTTGTAGGTGTGATATTTGTAGTGACGTGTGTATATGCGTCTTCAGTGTAATTGAAACAAATAAAATAAACAATCTCATCCACAACAACTGCCACTGCAACTGCAATGTGGAGAAAAGCTATCAGCCAAAGCCATCCCCTTTTCATGTGTTCTATAGAAAATACTTAAGAAGGGTTGTCATTTGGGATGGTAATTACGTTACTATTAGCTAGCAACTTGGTTGTATGGCATTAGAGTGGACTTTGATAGAAGACATTGGATTCGCCCGTCATTTGACTTCGAAGTAAACTAGAAGAAAAACGGTGCAAAAACCTAGAAGGAGACCTTGGGGAGACTAAAAATTTGCACACTTGAACGCAGTTGCACTTAGATAAGATCAAGCTTATCAAACATAGTGTGCAGAGAACCACAGAGGAATCTTCTTTTGCTTATAGTAAACAAATATTTTCAGTTTTTGGAGTTTGGACATAGATTGGTTAAATCTGAGCTGATCCATTTAAAGTTGTATTACTTCTTTGGCTATATTTTCGGATCAGTAATTATTTTCTTTTTTGGTCCTTCACCTCAACATATTTTTCTTTAATTAAGAGTCACCTGAAGAATTAAGGATTGTTTAGCATCTGACCGCAAGTTTATGAAACAGAATTAGGTATAGCCCTTCTTCAGTTTAGGTATCAAACCTCAGATCTGAACAAGATCCATGTGTGATTTGACGATGTAAATTTATAATTCTACAGATTCCAAGCCTCATCTGACTGCAGGCATATGTCCGGCTGTTTTCCTGTCTGTCGATCTTGTTATCTTCTTGTGGCTGGCTGGCAAATAAATATTTCTTTCGCATCATCTTATAATCATTAGAACAGTTAAAGGACACTGGTGATGCTAATGGACATAAACCGGTAACATGAATGATAACTCGAATTGTTGTTCCATTCTGTCGATCTGAATTCTAATATATACTATTATATTATCAATATTCCCACCCCCTCCTCCAGAAATTGTATATTATGGTCCTTGGGTTATATATTTGTTGAAAAATTAGATATGCTGAGATTTCGCAGGACATAAACACTTGTATGAATAATGTGAATCTCATATGTTTGGTTGTAAATTGATTGGGATTATTACTGAATCTAGTACTACTACTATACAATCAGACAAGTGGAATTAACCTTGCTATATTAAAAACTTAATTTAGGTTCAGGTAAGTCCAGGCCAACCAGCCAAACATAGCCGAATTTATTTGTCCTACTTAGCCCATGCATGTTTGAAAGTGAAATGCAAATTCAGAGCCCCACAAACTCATCCAAATGAGACATGCAGAGACAACATTCCACAACAAGGATTATTCTTGTGACAAGCAAGAAGGTCCCTTAGGGCAGAGGACAAGTACTTAGTTGTATTGGGGCTTTCTTTTGAGAAGAGAAGAGGAGAGAAAGCTTAGTGAGTGAGGTGAGCACTAGTGGTTTCTAGTCCAAAACAAGAGGAAGCACCCAACAGGGCAAGGCTTGTTTTCCTTGGGGCACAGCTACATTGCCCCCTTTATCCCCACTTTCATCACTTTTGAGGCTACCCCCTGCACCTTTTCTTCCATTCTTTTAGTTTCATGCACCTGAAGAAGGTTTAAACATTCTTTGGACAAAACATGGTTTTGTCTTTAATGACTGATTTTCTCTTAAGTAGTGTTGGCCTACTACTATTTTCATATTCTGGTGTCTTTATTTAACAGTTCTAGATGGACTCCTTCACCAATATGGCAAAAAAGAAATATTTTGAATAAATAAATGAATAAAATGTAAAAAAATAAATTTGGATTCATAGTTTTAAATTCATATATTAAATCCACCAAAGTTCAGAAGACATTTTGGGCTTGTTTGGTTTAGTACCCTACCAATATGTTGGTAGTGCCAAACTCTAGGCAAGTTTTGGCACTACCAATATATTGGTAGGGTAGAATTGTAAATAAGTGCTTTTGGATTTATGGGCATGTTTGGATTGCTATCATACCAATTTGTTTGTAGTGCCAAATTTTAGGCAAGTTTTGTCACTACCAACATTTTGGTAGAGATTTCTATTGATTTGGCAAGTTTTGGCATCAATCCAAACATCACACAAGTACTATTTAGACTACCAAAAATTTGGTAGGGCAAGATTTGGCACTAAACCAAAACAGCCTTATGTAAATTAAGAGCCAAATTTTAAATTGTAGTGAAGAATATTCAAGAATTGTGCCAAATTGAGTATAGGCATTACCAAATATTTGGCTTCAAACCAAATCATCACATTTACTATTTAAACTACCAAAAAATTGGTATGGCAACATTTTGGTATCAAACCAAAACGCCCCTTTTTTGGCACTTGTTTTGCTCTTGATGTAAACATACAGTACTACATTGAAATTATGAACATTTTTTTAACAAAAAAGAGAGAATAGTGCAAAAATCTTGAAGCTATATGAGGTGGTTAGGTTACTTAAATGCCACAGTCAAAGACCTAGAACTCATACTCCAGCCCTGCATTCATATCCTACTCTTGTTCTCTTGTCCATCAATGTCACAAAGATTTCAATGTGAAAGGGAAATGAAATAATACTGGAATTATGAATGAAATTCTACTTCTGTTTGTCACATCCGCAAACCTACCAGTGAAAATGTGTACAACAAGTACCAGAATTAATCATAGGCAAGAGTTTAATATGCTATACTTTATCAATGTTCTTGCCTTTATTTTCCATAGCTTCATGTCACCATGTGACCATTTAGTCCTGCTCACTATTTTGAAGTTGAAATCTTGATTAGTTTGGTAGGAAAAGAGAGATGATCCGCGTCCCTAATTCTATCGTTTGCGTTGTCATTTGTCAGAAAGCATTGGCTCCATTAGGGAAGAGGAGACAACAATCTTCCACTAACCTAATTGTTATATCAGTGCTCCACTGTACCTGAAACTATTGTTATGTCCAGGTCAGGAGCAGTGATTAAAAATAACAGCACACAAATAACCAAGCACAAGTTTAAAAAGTGCAACCTTTTCCCCTAGTTTTCCATAGCTGTGTAACAAAAACTACTAGTATTAAGAGCTTGCATTGCATGGCAGGAGTAAAATTTTCTGACCAAGGCAAAAAGGTGCAGTAGTTAATATGGTATCATCTACTACTATTACTGTACCATCTACTACTCACAACAAGGAAGCAAAGGCAAAAGCTTATGTTTTTTTAATTAGGTGTCATGGTCAATGCCTTTTTGCAGGCTAACACACTACACTATAACAAGCCAGTTGTGGATGCTGTTTTGGGGGGTTTCTGTAACTGAAGATGCAGTTAAAGAGGCCTTTTTTCCCTTTGCAAAATGTCTACCTAGCCTAACACTTTGACCTGGAGAGGAGGAGTTGGTGGTGGTAGATAGATGGCACATTGGCAGTGATGGCTGTGTACAGTTGCAAGGCTTCTTGGATTTTAGTGTGGCTTCTCTGCTCTCTGAATCCACCATTCTGCTCGCCTGCATCATTGGGAGCTCTCTCTCCTTCCCTTCTTTTCTCTCTTAAACTCTCCTCAAAGTTTTGAGCAAGCTGGGAATAATTGTGTAAGTTATTCTTGTGTTCTTCCTGAATGCTTCTCTCCACCTGGTTTCTGGGCTTTTCTTGATCAGTTGTTTCTTACTGCCATGGTTTGGTTTTCCATGTTGGTTTCAGTTCTTGATTGGTTCCAGAAGGTGTTCTTTTGAAGAACAGAGATGGAGATACTGGAGAAGAAAGGGCGTAAATCCTTGCCCAAAGCAATGAAGCCCTCCAATACCACAGCAAAGCACAATCGTTCAAAGAGGTTGGACATATGAACTTGCTTCTGAAAGTTTCTCGCTTTTTTGTTGTTGTTATCTTACCAACAATAAATGTTAATCAAGAAATTTTTATGGTTCTTGTAATGTCAGTGATTTGGAGGATAAGAATGCTAAAGATGCGTTGTGTTCTTCACTGAAAGCATGCAATCAACCTAAGCTGGTAGGTTCTTGTGTTTATTGCAAGATTCCTTCTGTTACTTGTTGCTGTAAATTTGAGCCATTTCTGAGGTTTTCTATTATTTTTCCCCAGCCTGGTAGAAACTCAAACCCTCATCTGAAGAGTGAAACCAAGAAGGGAATTCAGCCATCCAGGAGTGAGGCACAAAACTCCTTGAGAAAAGAGGCAAGGACAAGAAAAAAATTTACTGTTCTTCATTGAACCTATCCATTATTATTGGTTGTTGTACTCACATCAAGAACAGTTCACTCCAGGACTTCCAATGTTGACCTGCCTGTACTTATCTCTCTGAAAAAACCAAATCCTAAGTCAAGTCTTTGCAAGGACATTTGGTTAATCTCCATCTTAATTTTTTTACTGAATTTTTTTCTGATGCAGATTCTGCAGCTGGAGAGTCACCTCAAGGATCAGCAGGTGGTGCGCGGCGCACTGGAGAAAGCACTGGGCCCTGATCCTGATCATCCTGCTCCTGTCAATCTCTCGCTCGAGAGCCCAATGCTAAAGGTGAAATCATTTCCTGTGTTTACTATCTTCCATTCTCTTTTAGCTTGATCCATCCAGCCATGAACAGCATGTTCATCGGATCATGGTGATGTTTCAGGTTCAACCTGCGAACGAGCTGATTAGGGAGGTCGCGACATTGGAGCTAGAGATCAAGCACCTGGAGCAGTATCTCCTGACACTGTACAGGAAAGCATTTGATCAGCAGCAGCAGCAAGCAGCGACAGTGGCGTGTTCAGATGCGGCGAGGCTGTCGGTGAGCTCGCGGTGCTCGCAGCTTCTGGAGGAGACGCCCAAGGCGAAGGCGGCGGCGGCGGCGGCTCCAGGCAGGAGAGGCGGCGACGCGATCCATTACAGCTGCCCGCCGGCGCCGGTGAGCAAGAGGTGGAATAATGGCGGCGGCGCGGCGGACGACTGCTCGCCGTCGACGTGCCCGAGGAAGACGACGGATTCGTCCGACCAGTACAGTGGCCTCCGCAGCCAGTCCGCGCTCTCGTTCCGGGGAGTGTGTTCGTCCAGGATCTCGCCGTCCGAGGACAGCCTCGCGAGGGCTCTTCGCTCCTGCCACTCTCAGCCTTTCTCATTCTTGGAGGTGATTCCTTTTTCTCTCTTCTTAGGATGCAATGAAAATTTCTCAGATTGCTCTTGTTAGATTACTGCATTTCTTTCAGAAATCAACTTTACAGAGTGTTCAGAAGTTTTTTTTTTTTACACAAGAAAATATCAGCAGGAACTTCACTGACTGTTCAGTCTGTAAGAATTTCTTTGATAATTCATGAAATTTGCTCAGATTGCACTTGTTTGATTGCTGCATTTCTTTCAGCAACTAATTTTACAGCTTATTGTTCAGAAGTACTAAGATTAACAAAAGTATTAGCAGAAACTTCACTGAAACTGAATGTGTAAAACTAGCATTCAGTATTAGCACTGAATTTTGTTACATTGTAAGATCCTGAATTCTGATATTAACTGACAGTGCTTGTGTTCATGAGCAGGAAGGATGCCGTGAAATTTGCTTAGATTGCACTTGTTAGATTATTACTGCATTTCTTTCAGAAATTAACTTCACTGATTGTTTAGTCTGCAAACATTTTTTTTAAAGAAATTCTGCAAGAAATTATCTTGATAATTCTAGGATGCCATGGGATTCAGATTGCACTTGTTAGATTACTGCATTTCTTTCAGAAACTAATTTTACAGTCTAGTGTTCAGAAGTACTAAGATTAACAAAAGTATTAGCAGAAACTTCACTGAAACTGAATATGTAAGACTAGTGTTCAGTATTAGCACTGTAACATTTTAAGAATCTGAATTCTGCTATTAACTGACAGTGTTTGTGTTCATAAGCAGGAAGGAGAAGCAGCACCATCAGGAGTGGTAAGCTTAGCTGACTATCTGGGGACAAATGTAGCTGATCATATCCCTGAAACTCCAAACAACCTCTCTGAGGAGATGGTCAGGTGCATGGCAGGGGTGTACTGCAAGCTTGCTGATCCTCCTCTGGTGCACCACCGCGCATCGTCGTCTCCGGCATCATCATTCTCCTCAACCAGTGTGGTTTCCCCACAGTATCTTGGGGACATGTGGAGCCCCAATTGCAGGAAAGAAGCAACTCTCGACTCCCGGTTGATCAACCCGTTTCGCGTCGAGGGGCAGAAAGAGTTCAGTGGACCGTACAACACCATGGTTGAAGTTCCATCGATTTCCCGTGATCGTCGAAGATTAAGAGAAGTAGAAGATTTGCTCCAAACTTACAAGTGAGTGGTTCTTGAAAATGGTTCACGTTGCTTTTTTACTCTCAATCCTCAAGTGGGTTCAGTACTCTGAACTGTGATATCTGTAGTACTATACACTTATAATTAGCATTGGTTCTTCAGGTTAATTTTGTATCGGTTGGAGACCATTGATCTGAGAAGAATGACAAATGATGAAAAGATTGCTTTCTGGATCAACATACACAACGCATTGTTGATGCATGTAATGTTCCTTCTCATTTCAAATTATGCACAGTGAATTGTAACTGCTACTGTTCTGCCTACTCATTCTCTGAAGTCTGAATATAATGACAATTGGCACTAACTTCCACAGGCATATCTCAAGTATGGCATCCCACAGAACCATCTGAAGAAGACATCACTTCTTGTCAAGGTAAAGTGGGACCTCACTCCTGGCAGAATCGTCAAAATGACCTCGAGAACAAGTAAAAGTTTTTTTTCCTTCTTGATCTTGTTCTGAGACTGTCTCGAAATGCTTCCTTCAGGCTGAATGCAAGATTGCCGGGAGAACCATCAATGCAGCAGTCATCCAGGGGTTGGTTCTTGGATGTAGCACTCACTGTCCAGGACAGGTATGTGTGTGTGGACATCATTTGGTCAAGAACCTAGTGAAGAACAGAATGTTCCTACATAGTACTTGATGAGATGTTTAAACACAAATTTTTAACCTGAATTTTTGTTGATCCTTTTAATGCAAGCAGTGGCTGAGGACTTTGCTTCACCCAAGGATCAAAAGCAAAGCGAGCAAAGCAGGAGGGGAATGGCAAGCCTTTGCCATCCATCAATCGGAGCCTCTTTTGCGCTTTGCGCTTTGTTCAGGAAGCCATTCCGATCCCGCGGTAAAAAAAAAGAACACACCATCCCATCTCTTAATTTTTTCACCTGACAGAAACAGTAACCAAGCTAGGCATGCCATTTCCTGAACACTCTAAATCTGAACTTCTGAACTTCTGAACATGAACATAATCCTAGTAGAGTACAGTACGCATGTTTCTCAAAGTGTTAAAGCTATCCATGCAAAGCAAATCCTGACATGACACAATCATGAAAGAAACTTGACAAGTAGTATATCTCCTCTCTTTTCTTTCTCATTTCTTCACCTCGATATGAGCTACCTACCTTAATTACCTAGCAGCTGCTGCTGCTGGAAACTTGTACCATGGAATGTTTCAGCAGCAGCAGCACTGCATCCACTGCACTTTGTTCATCATCATTTCTGCATCGAAGTAAGCATACTCCACTACAGTAGTAGAAGAGGAATTCATGATTGGTGATGTGTGTTCATGGCGATGGCAGGTGAGGGTGCTGAGCCCGAAGCGGCTGTCGCAGCAGCTGGAGGCGGCGAGGGAGGAGTACATCCGGGCGACGGTCGGGGTGAGGAAGGAGCAGCGGGTGACGCTGCCGAAGCTGGTGGAGTCGTACGCCAGGGACGCGAGGCTGTCGCCGGAGAGGCTCGTCGACGCCGTGCAGAGGTGCCTGCCGGAGAGCCTGAGGGCGGCGGTGCAGCGGTGCCGCCAGAGCAGGCCGGCGAGCAAGGTCGTCGAGTGGGCCCCCTACCGCCACAGCTTCCGCTACCTGCTCGCCAGGGACCTCGCCTTCCCCCACCTCACCTAGCTCACCGATCTTGGCGTCCGCCATGAATGGCTTGGCTTGAGCTGTGTCAAGCTGAGTCTGAGTGAGTGAGATTAGAAGAAGATGATTAGTTCATGTGTTGATAGATTTGGTTCTAGGATGTTACACCTAATTATCTAGGATTGTGTTTGTGTGTGTGGGGGGGGGGGGGGAGAGAGATTAATTGAGCTGTGCAGAGTGTGATCTGTGCGCTTGTAAAGATAAAATTCTTTTTTATTTTTGTAGATACAGAGAGGAAAAAAAATAGAGGAAAGTTGAGACCAAGTGTCAGTTCAGTTCAGTTCAGTTCAAATCTTTAATCTGAAACTGAAAGAGAAACATAAGTATCGTTTAGTTCAGTTCCAGTTCCAGACACAGTTCAGAAATTCAGATTTGAATATGCAAATCAAAGTCGCCCCCTTTCGTTTCAAATTCCTTCTACGATCTGTGCGGGTTTCGTGGTCACCGCCACATCCAATAACATGACATGCAGATCCTCTGCAGAATTGCTGAAACAGTAAGCAATGGATAATATGAGGGTCCGGATCCACACAATAGGTTGAGTTCTTTGGGTTGTGTTTCAAGTGGCCAACTCACCTTCGTTTTTCTCGTGCACGTTTTCCAAACTAGCATATACTTAATTAATCATGCACCAAACAAAGAATCATATTAATACATTTTTTTAAAAAAAATAGCATATACTTAATTAATCAATCATGTACTAATAAGTCACTCTATTTTATGTGTGAGAGTAATTAGCTTCCAACGATAAGCAAAGAACACAGCCTTTAGTGTCTACTACTACATCAGCAGTACTGCAGACAATTGAACACAAAATATGTCGTGCGCGCTCCTGCTGATGGTGGCGACGGTGGATAGGACCTTTTCGTGACTAAAATGAAAAATACAGGGACTGAAGCTTAGGGTGATCTAAAACTCTAAACTTTCCATCACATCACATCACATAAAAACTTTTCTACTCACATAAACTTTCAACTTTTTTTCCAAACTACCAACTTTCCCCAAACTTCGGAACTAAACACAGCCTTAAAAATCCAAGAGAGGGATGATAATGAAAATGTTCTGTTCCGATGGACCAGATCGCAAAGCAGCCCATCACGAGAGTATCAGATCGAACGGCCAGCATCGACTCGGGGCCCACCTGCAGGCGGATGTGTCATGCAAAGCTTCGGATTCGGATACGCCCTCGGCCTCCTCACCACCACAGCCACGAGGAGGAGAAGACGACGCGCCGCCGCCACAGCTCGCGTCGCGTCTGCGCTCTCCTAGCGCCGTGCGGGGGTTTAGCTAGGGTTTTCCGCTTGCGGCGGCGGCGGCCATGGAAGGGGAGGAGATTGGCCTCGTCCTCGCCCGCGCCTCCGACCTCCGCTCCAGGATCTCCGCCTGCGTCGCCGCGGCCGGAGCCAGGGAGCCGCCGGAGGGCGAGGGCGAGGGCGGGGAGGCGGTGAAGCGGCTGTGCGATGGGGAGGAGGGGGAGGAGGAGGAGGAGGTGGAGAGCCTGGTCGGTATCAGCAACGCGCTCGAGTCGCTCGAGCGGCAGCTCGCCTCTCTGCAGGTCATTCTCATCTCATATCTATTCTTGGTGTTTCGTTCCATGTGTAAATATGCTAATCCTCATTTTCTAGTAGAGATTGAGGCTTGCATTGAAGATTGTGGGTTAGTAATTTTGTACTGCATTATTACTTTTCATTATATAATATACTCCGAATGATGCAAATCTATAATAATCGCATAGTAGAAGGTTTATGAGAGGGGAAAAGATAGATAGGTATCAATGCCATACTTGCAAATAAGGGCATTTTGAAGTTTGAAATGATTAAAAACAAATGATATTATCATAGGAACAGGGTATGACTGGAGTGACTGTGCAAGGTGTGCAGAGCGAACGAAGTTGCTGTCCATTAGTTAAGCTCATATACCAAACCTGCCATTTCTTAGCTAGGAATTTCTCTGCTTTCGGGGGAGAAGGGTGCTTCTGGTAAGAGGTGTGATGAGTTGTTGGGATGCAGATTTTCACTTTTAGTTATAACCAAATGGCCAAATTTAACTGTAAAACTTGTGAATCCTGTTTACTTGCTTTGCTGCACTAGGTTGGTATTTAACTATTTAAGATGCATCCCTTACTATTGCTTGTGTTAGTGAATTTCCTAAGAACTAGGATTGGCTTCCATTGCATTATCCCCATGAGTTTGTTTAGTTCTGTTATTTATTTCCATCTGAGTTTAAGTTTAAATAAGTCTTCTTCTATCACATTGAATTGTTAGGACTTGAATGTGTTCTATTACAATCTAGATTGCCATTTTTCATTGCTAAATATTTTGCTTTCTACTTCCTCTGTTTCACAATGTAAGTCATTCTAGCATTTCCCATATTCATATTGATGTTAATGAATCTAGATAGATATATATGTCTAGATTCATTAACATCAATATGAATGTGGGAAATGCTAGAATGACTTATATTGTGAAACGGAGGGAGTACATACTAAATGCCTGAACAACTTGCTGCCACTCCCAGGACCTCCAACACCAACAAAGATATGAACGAGAGACCATTTTGAGCCAGATTGATCGCAGCCGAGGATGTCTTCTTAACAAGCTCAAAGAATACAAGGGGCAGGACTGTGAAGTAATACATGAGGCTGCTTCTTTTGCTGGTGAAAAAATTGAACATGATGATGGTCTCATGCTACCTCCGTACTCAAATCATGTCACCAATTCGTTTGTTCTTGATGATCTGTATCCTCCAAGTTACTTGGCCAAGTTAAAGTGTATGCACAACGGATTGGGTTCTGGTGGGACTAACCAAGATGTTACAAAGACAAACAGGCTGGAGAACAGGAATGGTAGCATGCCAAACGGCAATTCACAAGGAGGAATTAGATCTTTTGTTGGATGGCTTGCTAAAACTGCAGTAATGGTTGTAGGTGCTGTATCTATCATGAAGGCTGCTGGTTACGAGCCAGTGATAGGAAGACACAGCATAAAATTGGATATGGCAGGTTTGTTCAGTAAGGAGGCAACCAGTGGAAAAGATCAGGCTACTGTCCAATGCCCTCCTGGTAAAGTAATGGTTCTCGAAGATGGCAGGGCTCACTGTGTTGTGAAGGAAAGAGTCGAGATACCTTTCGACACCAACCTCGCCTCTCCAAATGCAAGTTATGGGTTAGGCTGAAATTGGGCTTTTGTCAATATTAGGATTTAGCTAGTCTTTGAGGCCCTTTATATGATCTTCTGTAGAATGTGCCGAGCACACTTGTCTAAAGATTGAAGCCTATGTATTATATCTATCTATGATCGTCCATGTCTTGCTAATTGCCCTCGTTGGTGAACTCCATCAGTATGCTGCTCAGTTGATACCAGTATTATGTCATCAGCAGTTTGGTTTCATGTGTTGTGTATGTTGTCTCTTGTATTGGTGATGCGGTGGAGGGATAGATGGCGATTTTACTCTCTCCGTCTCAAAAATTGAGGAATTTTGGTTAGAGGGTGGCATATTCTATGAGCATGTTCAGATTCTAGGATGTGTGTCATTCAACCAAATCTTTTATATTTTAGGATAGGACGAAGGGAGTATGTTAGTACCTGTCATTGTATGTCTATGTCAGGTCCTGAAGGCACGGCATATTGAGGCTCGAAAAGGGCCAACCTGTGCCTTCGAAGCTGTGCAACAAGAATCTGAATCCAGCACAAAATTTCTCACCAGGAGGAAACAAGGTAGTAGTACATGTTTCTGACGATCCTTTCGAGGAATCTCATCTCTTCGCTGTCATGTGTCGTAGTAGAATCGCTGTGTGAAGCACAGGAAATTAAGCTGTTTGCTGCCAACGGAATGAAGCTGCGTATTACAGTACTTACATACAAACTCTGGTGCGCATATGCTAGCTGCAGAACAGCAATGGCAGTTCTTTTTTTCTGAACTTGGTTAATTTTTATTTCCAAATAACTTATTCCATTTCCAAGTGAAGGAACTAAGCTAGATGGATGAACGAGTTTCCATCAAGTTACAGCACAGTTGACAGGATCGATCGAGTTATACATTGTTTTGAACAGCAGGTAAAAACTCGTGTTGCTTTGCCTATAACCTTAAGCATGTGGACTTGCGAAGCACTAGTAATTAAACCGATGTCCAATGGATTAGTGAGTAGAGAGTATATGGGCCTGGCTAAGTAGCATAGGTAGATTTAGAACATGGGCCGGCGAGCGCATCTGATGGATGATGGATGGGGAATTCCATGGATGCTCGCTAGCGATCTAGGCTGGGACTCTATACGTGCATGCCTAATTGGGAGTAAGCTAGTAATAAATACTATCTCCGTCCGACAATATAATGAATGGTTATATAGAGAAAATCTCTTATATTCTCGGATAGAGGTTGTAGCGGATTAATTTTCATATGAAATTAAAAAATAATCATAAATTTAGATTGTATCACTAAAAATCTATAAATTCGAAGCATAAAAATTTCTCTAATCCATACATGAAAAATGCCATTTAAGCACTGTAGTGGCCAAAAAAAATCAGTAGCAATCATTAAGCGCTATAGCGACCGCTAAGTTTCTATATATCATGTTTAATCTGTCGCCTCTATAATATTGTTATTGTGATTGCTATGAACACTATTTATTGGGAGCAATGAGAAACCGTGAGAAATAAACCACTTGACATAAAAATTAAAGCGGGTTGCTGCATCGTCTGTTCGCCGCACCCTAGCTAAGCTAAACCATTGATGCCACGACCGATGTAGCCTTCAATTCAGGCGCGGGCAGCATCGATCGTGTGATGTCCACCGCAAACACGAAAGAAATTAAGAGATCTATAGCAATGTTGGGAGTGATATATAGGCAGCATGCACGCCATTGACCTGCTGATCGATCAGATCCCATATCCGTGCAATGCAACAACTTGCAAAAGTGGCCGTGGTTCACACTTTCACACACCACAAGGCCGGCCGGCCGTCCGTCGGTTCACATCCCCGTGTGCCTTTGCACGCGCCTACTCGTTTCGTTCCATAAAAGTCCAAATGTAAAACTGAAGAAGATACTATAATATAATACAAATATACAACAAATCTAAACTTCATCTTAATTTTAAGTTGGTTTTTCTTTTACGGAAAAAAGAACCAGACGAGACATGCTCGCTCAGCTGTAATTACAGGTCGCTTTTGCGTGACCTCACCACTGACGTTACCGCTGTATAGTACCAGCAACAGGTAGCCGCGTTAAAGCAAGGATAATAATAAAGCCAACTGCTTACTATCTATCAGCTCACTCATATAGTGGTTAACTCTTCACTATAAATATATGGTCCACCTGTCTATCTCACATATTTTCTTGGTTCCTGTGCCTAAGCCGGCTGTAAACTTACAGCCCGCTTCTCATCTCTCCCCTCTCCTCTCTCATCCAATTCAGCATTCAGTCTTCTTATAGCCCTCTATTATACTTGACCTCACCACTGACGTTACCGCTTCACCAGCAACAGGTAGCCGCGTTAGAGCAAGGATAATAATAAAGCCAACTGCTTACTTATAGCCTATCTATCAACTCACTCATATAGTGGTTAACTCTTCACTATAAATATATGGTCCACCTATCTGTCTCACATATTTTCTTGGTTCCTGTGCCTAAGCCGGCTGTAAACTTACAGCCCGTTTCTCATCTCTCCCCTCTTCTCTCTCATCCACCTTAGCATTCACTCTTCTTATAGCTCTTTATTATACTTGCTCTTACACGGTACAAATCGCGCGCCTCCTGGCTAGTAGCTACGACTCCATAGCTGCAGCCTGCAGCCTTGCTGTAATAGCCAGCAGCAGAGCAACTATTCTACACAAAATCGAAGCTCGTTATAAGAAAAAACGGTTAATAACGAATGAAAAACAATTTACTTTCTCCATCCTAAAATATAAATATTTTTAGCATTGTGTCGAGTCAAACATTTTTAACTTTAACTATTAATAGCAAAATATAAAAAAAGATCAATCATGTAAAATTGATGTTACTAGATTTATCATTCAACAAACTATCATAATATGTAATTCTTTTTATTTAAAATATCTTATTTTTATAGATGTTGTTGGTTAAAGTAACGTCTCGAAGACTGTATAGAAGTCCAAAAATATATTTTAGGATGGAAGGAGTATGATACAGTGTGTCTTAACGAGCCGTAACGATTTAAAAACCAACACTACGAGATAAACTTATAATTAAAAACATCAAAAATCAACTCTTCAAAACTTAAGTTTTAGAAATTAAATCTTAGTTGCGAGTGAATAAGCTGAAGAATCTGGCAAAGCTACCAATGCCCATCAAGCTGGACACCACACACTGTTCAACTCCAACACGAAAACGCCGGCCTTTTCATCTCCTGCTCTGCTTGCACACCGCTGTACTCAGCACGCGAATGAACCGTGTGGAGGAACCAAGACGCCGAAAATGTCGATCTCCGTGTGTACTTATATGGATTATTTGTCAGGCAAATGAAAGTGATCGATCGTCAGATCGCGATGGTTTTTCACGTACTTTAATTGCTCCCTGAAAACGATCGGGAGATTAATTGATAGCTGCAGCGCGCTAATTAACCCTGCTCTGAAAACGAACGATTTGGACTAGACTATATCCTCTGTGATCGATCGATTATCCCACCCAATTCAGCATTTACAATGCTCTTCTTTTGGCACATTTTTCCCCTCAAAATTAAGACGATACTACTCTTAATAATTAAAACATCACAAAAAGAGAAAAAAGTTGGACTCACTTTCTAGGTCCTTCCTTGGATGACTCGCTGGTTCCTCCAATTGATACTAAAAATATTACGTATACAATTACTAATTTGAAACACTTCCTGTTTCATCACAACTTTTGTCTCTACGTGTCCCGTCAATCTGTCATGATGCGCTGCCCTCAATTTTTGGAGTATTAGCTCAAACAAGACGACGAAATTGATCGTTGTTTAGTCAATTGTCTTGTAGCACTACAGGTTTCTTTGTTTGTTCAGCATACAAATTATTGGGTTTCAAAAAAAAGCATACAAAGTGGAGTATTGCTAGGTATGGACCAGTATTTTGAGAGGTTGAGACAAACACGTGGAGAAATCAAGCGCCGGAGAATTTCTATTCACATTTTTTTTTTCATCTCCATACTCTTTATGTTCAAACATCAACTCAAATCTATCACCAACAAAATTCCTACTACTAATTCTTCGAGAGGTAATTACTAGTAATTTGCAGTGCTAATCAATTTCCTCATCGATCGGCAGCATCTCAGCCGATGATATCCTCGTCCGTCCGATCGGGATCCGACGGCCGAGCAGCGCCGGGCCCACCAGCAGCATCAGAGGTTTTCCACTGTTCGCGTCCTTGCTGGCTGTTCCCATCGGAGTGGTTCGACATATTTTATCGAATCCAGCTCGCATTTGGAGATCGAATTGGGGGATTTGAATCCCCAAATTTGGTTTCGATCGATTCAGTTCAATTGTGTCGTCGTCTCGCTCACTCGGTGATCATGTCGAGTTCGGGAATGGCGGTGAGATCGGTAGCGAACTGCCTCCCCTTCCCGCCGCCGCGGCGCGCCGCCACCGGCCGCCGCTTCCCCGCCGCCGCCGCCGCCGCCGACGCATTGCTCTTGCAGTAATCAGACGCGTCGTACTCGTACTCCTCCTCCGGCGGAGCGAACACGAGCGGCGCCACGGACCCGCGCCGCCGCCGGCCGCCGCCGCATCCGGATGTGGTGCTGCTGCTGCTGGCGGCAGCGAGCGCGGCGGATGCCTTGACGGCGAGCGCCGCGACCTCCTCGCGGCGCATCCCGCGCCTCCGCACCTCGCCCGGGAGCACGAAGTAGATCTGCCCGGGGCGGAGCTCCGCGGCGGCGGCGACGGCCGCGACGGGTCCCTCGAAGCCCATCTTGTCGGCGTCGCAGAGGAAGAAGCGCCGCCCCACATCCTCCTCCTCCCCCTCCGCCGCCGCGACATCCTCCAGCACCCGCGCCGCCGTCGCGGGGCGCGGGTACTCGCGCAGCTCGCCCGTCGGCAGCAGCACCATCGCCGTCGACGCCGCCATCCCCGCCTCGGCCATCGCCGCCGCCACGCCGCTCGACAAGCAGAGCCCCATGCCGATGCGTTGGTAGTACAAGTAGTGTGAGGAGGTTGAGGAAGAAAGAGGAGAGAGCAATGGAGATTGATGGGTGAGATGAGATGGCGATGGAGAGGTGGAGGTGGAGGGGCGCGGCTTTATATACACGGGGGAGGAGGAAGACGAGGGGGTTTTGTCGTGTTGCTTGGAGAAGGGGAGCATGACAGCCTGGCGGTTTGCTGGTGGGGCCAGCGCGCGCGAGGAATCGGGGATTTTTTTTTCTTTTCCTTTTTTCCTTTTTTGTTTTTTTTACCGTTTTACTGCTACTGCTCCGGTGTGTAAATACGTGGTGGATACGAAGGTTGCGTGGGCGGCACGTAGCGTAGATGGCGGCGTGGCAGCAAAGGGTGCCAAACATAGAGAGCTTTAAATTACACTGAAAATAAGTAAATTCATTATACTTAATTTTATATATGCGTCGAGAATAACCGAGGTAGATTAGTTAGCGAATAATAACTGAGGTGGTTAACTTAGGTGAATAAAGGTAAATATAGCGGCAGTACTAATTATCCTCCAAATTAAGCAGCTGATAATTAAGATAGCGTGCAGTAAAAAGAGTGATGCATTTGGCACAAGACACTACCAACTTTTATGCTTTGAAGATGGCTATACGTATGAAACGTGTGTATGCAGGAGCGGATCCATGCCTCGGATCATCCGGCCCATGCATGGTCCGAGTCCTAGGATTGAATGCACATTATGCAATATAAAATTTTACCATGTTCATTCAAGTTTATCCTAAACTGTAATGGGTTGGCCGAGACCTTGGGTCAAGCTAGGCTGGATCCGTTCCCAAATCTATGTCCGACTCAACAAGTATATAGATATGGCTGTTGTTTTCGTAAACTCATATGAAGAGAAATTGAACGCATGAATTGGTGGATTAGACGAGGTCGGATACTAAATATATAAGGTATAGTTGTATGTGTAGTAGGACTCTTTATGTTCGAATTATGGCCCTGTTTAGATTTCAACTTTTTTTTCTTTAAACTTTCAACTTTTCCGTCACGTCGAATTTTCCTACACAACAAACTTTCAACTTTTCCGTCACATTATTTCAATTTTTTTAAACTTTAAATTTTAGCATGAAACTAAACACAGTCTATATGTGTTAAATAGAGTAATGGGAGATAAAGCCGCGCTAGCTAGCTAGCTTTTGTAAAAACGAAGGCGCCAGTATATTGCGGTGGTGCTATACATGCTACGTACTGCTACTTCCTCCGTTTAATATTATAAGACTTTTTAGGATTGTCAATATTTATATATATGTTAATAAATCTAGACATGTATGTGCCTAGATTAATTAACATCTATATGAACGTAGACAATGCTAGAAAGTTTTATAACCTGAAACGGAGTTAGCAGCTAGCTACTCAGCTACTCGTCCGGCTTTACAAAAGAAACGTGGAAATACCATGGCACTTGCTTTGCTACTCCGTAGCTAGTTGACTCGTAAAGGATCAGCAGATCTCAAATCGTATCACGATCGATTTTTATTGGGGCAAGCAAGGTTCGTCGATGTCGTCATAGTACGTAGCAGTACGTACTACTACAAGTATGTGTATGCACAGTTGCACACTCTATAACTATAACTAGCTAGGGATAGTAGTTGATAAAAAATGGTGTCGACATATATACATACTCCCTCCATCCTAAAATGTTTAACGTCGTTGACTTTTTTTAAAAATATTTGACCGTTAGCCTTATTCAAAAAATTTAAGTAATTATTAATTCTTTTCCTATCGCTTGATTTATTGTTAAATATATTTTTATGCATACATATAGTTTTACACATTTCATAAAAGTTTTTGAATAAGATGAACGGTCAAACATGTTTTAAAAAGTCAACAACGTCAAACATTTAGGGAAGGAGGGAGTATATATATATATATATATAGTGGGAAATGGAAAAAAAAGAAAAACAGTGGGCACAACAAATTGCGCGATACAAAAGTATAAACACGAAAGCCGTACGTGTGTCAATAGAGCCTAACGAGCTAGTACCAAAATTAATGGGGAGAGCTAAGGTAGCAGATAGATAGCCAAATTGGAGGCCAGTCAGGACATTCATCAATGTCGATCGATCATATCGTACATGGTTTTGCAGAAAATCGTTGGCGTTGAAGCTAGCTATAAGCTAGCTACGTACTGTACGTACATACCCTAGCCAAAAGGTGACCTGAAAGCACCATAGGTATACGTAGTTCGTGCTTGCAGCTGGTGTGGTTTGTTTCCTCGGGAGCAGAAGTCACTAGACGATGCAGCTAGCTAGTTGAGAAAACCAGGTCAATCTATCTCTATCGGTTCATGGTTCTTTGGTTCAACCACGGTCGAAGCGATGAACCAGACAAATCAATAATATTATATTTTACTAGTTTTTATGAGTTTTAAAAGGTGCAAATCAAATGTATTTTATTTTTTAGCAGAAGAAATAAACCTATATGAATATCTTTGAGTGCACATGTACTGCCTTGTCTTTTTTAATAAATGACACCATTAACTTTTTGACACATATTTAACAATTAGCTTTATTAAAAAAAATGTAAATTTGGTTTATTTTATTATGAGTTTTTCTAGTATGATTTATATCTTATACATTTGCACAACATTTCATATAATACATATAATAAAATATGTGTTTAAAAGTTAATTAATAACATTATCTATTGAAATACAGAGAGAGTATTTAAATCTGGTCCAGTTTTTTCAACCATATATGGATCCGAGTGGGGACGAGACAACGACGGTGAAGCAAATTGTGTGCATGCATCTAAATATGATATGGCGCACCAATATAATCCATGCATGCACCAAAGTGGGTACTCCTATCAAACACGTCCCAAGGGTGCATGCCGCATGCACGAGATCTAACTATGCGATGGAGCCATGGAGGGGACGACGGCCCTGAGACGGACGCGTGGCGGTGTGCATGTGGACCTTGAGATGCAGGGTCACGTGGCTGCCCCCGTGGCCCCCGCCCTCCACGCTGGCACCTGATCGATATATCAGTGTCTCTGTGCTTTCAATGCTTTTGTATATATTGGTCCTGCGCCCACAAAAATTCGGTGCATTCGAATATTGTGGTTACATAACATGGATATGTGCGATGCATTCAGCTAGGTCTCTGCTGCTGCATATGCATATGCATATGCTTCTTTCTTTTCTTCGAGGTGCGCTGCATTCGGCGTGCTATAGCTGGCACGTACTTACGTTAGTTCGGTCACTGTGGCCTACCACTACTCCTGCTGTGCCACGTATCAGCATGCAATTGCACTAGCTCATCTGAAAACAATGTTATGTTCAATTGAGCTATTCATTTAATCATGGGAAAAGAATACTTAGAATCTGTTTAGGATAGATAAGATTCTAAAAACAACTGATTGATATATATGCCAACTTTTAAGAATTTGGATTCTGACTTCTTGTTTTCTTTTTATTCTACCACTACAGTTAACCTAATAACTACTCCAGCATGTACGCTAATACCCTGCGACACTGCGTGTATAGTTAGGTCGCAGATCGATCGATCTTCAAAGTTGAAACTTCAGTCAACAAAAAAAAAAGGAAAAATCGCCGGTCACATGGTGAGGCTCCAAAAATGAAGGGCATCCATACAAATGTACAATGCTATGCTAGCTATAGCTACCTTATCCATGTTAGTCCTACATACTAACATCCATGTGACCGTGCCTTTGTTATTTTACATTGCAATCGGCAATAGCTCGCGTGTCTCTGCTCGCGTCGCACGAAGCCGATATGTTTTATATAATCTGTCTATCACTAATCCAACTACTACCACCCAACGACTTTATCGATCCCATCAAACAGTGTCCCAATTAGTAGCAGTAATAACATACTCAATATAATGTTCAATTGTGGATGACGAGACCTGATGTACAGTACAATTCATCATCATCGATCCGGAATATATTAAAAATTCTAAAAAGGGAGTTCGAGAGCTCCGGATTGGAGGAATGAAAAACATGTGCCAATAATTGTAACCCTGCTGACCCACTGTAGCACGCAGTACGCGCGCTGGAGGACCACTGTTGATCTGTCGGCCCCTGCCTGCAAGGCCAAGAGAGGCCACCAATAATTCCACCACCATACAATGATACAAATGCATGTACTATTATATTGTGTATATATACGCGTGTCCAGGTGAATGAACACAATAATATTCTGAAAACGAATTAAATATCCCCTCCAGACACGCGCACATTTTAAAATTTAATTTTCAAAACATTAGGCTAACAATTATTATAATATAAATTAATTTTTGTTTGTTGAAATAATATCATCGGATTAATATTTAAATTTACTTTTGTATGGTTATAATATTATTAAAAAACCTTATATAGTATACAGTTAAATATTAGTTTTAGAGATTGTATTAAATTTAATCATATCTTATATTATACTATTTCTTTTTTAAATGTACGATGTTATTATTTTTAATAATATCTAACCATTCGTCTTATTAAAATCTAATATAAATACTCCCTCCGTTTTAAAATGTTTGACATCGTTGACTTTTTAACACTTGTTTGACCATTCATCTTATTAAATTTTTTTTTGAAATATGTAAACCTATATGTGTACATGAAAGTATGTTTAACAATAAATCAAATGATATGAAAAGAATAAATAATTACTTAAATTTTTTGAATAAGACGAATGGTCAAACATATATTAAAAAGTCAACGGTGTCAAACATTTTGAAACGGAGGGAGTATATAAAAAGTATAAGTTAAGATTATATTTTGTTTGAGGATAAAACAAGTTACAATAAAATAAATGATATTTATAAAATTTTTTAGTAAGATAAATAGTTAAAACATATATTTTGGAATGGAGTAAGTATTATATAGGAGTACGATCCAAAAAATACACGCAGAAAAGCAGATCGATCGATCGATCAATAATTTCATTCGCAGGTAAAGCGGCGTGACACGTCGACGAGCAGCCTGCAAAGCAGGCGACGTCCGTGGCGGCGTGCATGCAGCTACGCCAATTAACGCCACCACCCAATGCGCGCCAATTCCAGATTCCCCGAGTGGGGCCCACATGCAGTAGGGGGGGTCTAGCTAGGGGGACGCGGGGGGCGTCTCGACCATGTTCGGCCACGTCGTCGCTGGGTCACATGGACCGGACGCGAACGCATGGGTCCGATCCGGTCACGTCTCGTCCCGGGAGTGTGGGACTCGGGCCTGGGTCCGACCCAGGGTGGCAGTGCATCGTGCCAACAACAATAATTGTGGGTTGGATGGATGGATATGTCCAAAGGACATGCGTGCATGCAAACGTTAGGCAAAAAAAGAAAAAAAATAGAAACAAAAGAAAGAAATATATATGTGATCGAGCGTGTAATTGGACTGTCATGTCGAATTGGTACGGGTACAACAATTCGTATACCTTTTGTATACGTACATAACAAAAAATAAACGATTTTGCTAACGATCACTCGCGTGATTTTTTTTCTGACATTTCACCTTTTTTTTCAGGCTCGTCAGCCGGCGCGTCGGACACCAGCACGTCGGCCACCGTGTCGGAGAAGCACGATGACACGGTGGCCTTTGACCGCCAGCCGCCGGTAGCACGGCCAACACTGATCGGTGAGAGACATCGTTTCTCTCAGAAATATAAAATTACAGTCCTATATAACTAAATTTATATTTGTAAATTCAGTTAATTTGACGTGTAAGTGCACTGTAATTTTGATAAAAATAATATGTAAGTAAATATGTATTTATTATTTTCTTTAAAATATAAAATTACAGTCCTATATAACTAAAATTACATTTATAAATTTAGCTGAGTTGACATGTAAGTGCACTGTAATTTTGATAAAAATAATGCGTAAGTAAATATGTATTTATTATTTTATTTAAAATATAAAATTACAGTCTTATATAACTAAAAATTACATATGTAAATTTAGTTGATATGACATGTAAGTGCACTGTAATTTTGATAAAAATATTGTGTAAGTAAATTTGCATTAGTTATTTTATTTCAAATATAAAATTACATTACTATATAACTAAAATTACATATGTAAATTTAGTTGATATAACATGTAAGTGCACTGTAATTTTGATAAAAATATTGTGTAAGTAAATTTGTATTAATTATTTTATTTTGTAGTCCGTTGGATGTAAATCCAAGGAAAGAAAAAAATCTGGGCACCCGAGTGATGCATAGGCGGTCCCAAAAATAAATCGTAATGTGGATGATTAACTGTAGCAACAACCGACCAATATATATCAATCAGTCACCCTAATCATGTATTGCCTCATGCATTTTGGCTACGCGTGGCTGGCTGTCTGACCATTCAAAGATACTGTGACTGTGTGCAAGCGTGCGCATGTACATACGTGCAGCTTCCGTGAACGTACATACAGTAGTACGTATATATACGCGTATCAATGTATGCCATTTTGTATTTACTAGTATGGAGTAGCATTCTAGCAAGATCCAGTCGATTTGGTTCAGGGAAATCTCCGACAATATATCGATTTGGTCCTAGCTCGTTCAACAGCTGCTAATAATAATAATAATAATAATAATAATAATAATAATAATAATAATAATAATAATAATAATAATAATAATAATAATAATAATAATAATAATAATAATAATAATAATAATAATAATTTTTAATTGTTTTAATTTTGATTTGCGGGGAGATGCTCATGTTATGACTTAGATGATCATTCGTGTTTATATTGTTTGGAATATTTGTGGCTAGCTAGCTGTTGGATCTCCCGGGAATAACTTTTTTTTTAAAAAAAAATGTTCGGGAGCAGTAAGTGAGAGAATCAACACTAGTTAGTAGGAGTGTGTGTGTATATATATATATATTACTCTCTCCGTCTTATAATATAAGGGATTTTGATTTTTTGTTTGGAACGTTTGGCCACTCGTCTTATTCTATTTTTTTTGAAATGATTATTTATTTTATTTGTGACTTACTTTATTATCTACAGTACTTTAAGCACAACTTTTCGTTTTTTATATTTGTAAAAAAAAATTGAATAAGACGAGTGGTCAAACGTTGCAATTAAAAACTCAAAATCTCTTATATTTTAGGACGGAGGGAGTAATATGATTAATCTAGAGCTAGCCAGCTACCCGATCGAATCCAACATTATGTTGTCCTACCACCTGTACGTACTCCCTCCGTCCAAAAAAAAGGCAAACTCTGGGTTTCTGTGTTTAACTTTGACCGTCCGTCTTATATAAATTTTTTTTATAATTCGTATTTTCATTGTTGTTAGATGATAAAATATGATCAATATTTTATGCTTGACTTGTCTTTTTAATTTTTTTCATAATTTTTTTAAATAAGACGGACGGTCAAACGTTGGACACGGAAACTAGGGTTTTCCTTTTTTTGGATGGAGGGAGTACGTTCTGTACATGCGTGCATGGATAATTAAGCAAGAACAAACAAGGAACCTTAAGAATTAATCAGCCTAGATTTATTTTAGGAATAGGTTAGTTAACACATGATGGTTGTTTAATCCTTGTGCATGATATGGGTATCCCAGTCGATCACTAATGGTTTAGATTAGTTGCATGCTTCCTGTTGTTAGTGGCATCATCTGGTAGCTACCAGTTGTTAGCAATGGTTGGTTCATCATCATATCAGATCGACAGAGTGAGCAGCAAAGTCGATCTAGCTGGTAGTAGTGCTAATCATCTAGCAAAGCAAAAGATAGCATACATACGTGATCTAAATCTGTCACCAGAAGATAGTAGTACTACTCTAGTATCAAACAGAGCAGGATCTAAAACAAAAATCATACTGTATGCATTATTATGCTGATTAATTTGGCCTGGTTATTTGGATGCATCGAAGAGTCCACGAGAGCGGGAGACGGGCCTGGCCCATTGGGCCCCAAAGTGGTCGGGCCCATAGGAGGGTCGTGGCGTGGCGTGCCCAGGTGTAGCGCAACTTGCAGTTCGGCAGGTAGCTGCATCGGGCCGCGGGCGCCACCACAACCAGCCTGGAAAGCGCATACACACGCGAGTACGCAAAACGCTGTACTACTATGCAGCTACAGTGCAAATGCAACCAGAAACAGACGGGTTCTTTTTTTAAAAAAAAAAAGAAAAAAAAAGCAGAAACAGACGGAGATGCTCATCTACTCTACGGAGTATAGTGTACTCCTACTTGCCACTAGTGTGGTACGTAGTTTTATACTTTATTGTTGAGGGGAATACCACGTGTGGTATTTGCAATATGCTGCCAAACGACAACGGAAGTCTGTGGACTGTGTGGCATGTATGCTGACCTTTTGTTTTGCTTCACTACACTCGCAACAAAAAAATGTCATATTTGTTTGGCTGGACCGCCGTATAAAAGTAAACGAGACAGCAAAAAAGGATTTTATATTTCTACTCTATAAGCGTCATGAAAGTAAAGGCCGAAAAGAAAGATAAAATATCTACTGGTTAACGAGGATCATTCTTTTGCGGTGAATGCTTAATTAAGTATTTAATAACTACTGGCAAAAATAACTTCTTATATATCGCAGAATCACTCACATCAGTGTCAGTAATTTGCCCTATGTTTTTAGATCAAGATTTGAGCTCCATATGTTCCTGTAAAATACTAAAATTACGCGAAGATATCAGCTTCGCTACACTCGGCCTTCGTTCAAATTTCAGCCCGTTAGGCTTCGTATGATGCCCATTAGGCCCACAAGATCGTATGCGAAGCCATGGCCCAAAAGGCCCACTTATATTAATCTCAAAGTATTCTAAAAAAAAAAGGAATAGTATTCGACGAATCCCCAGCGACATGAGCAACCATTGCGTCGGCGGCGGCGCCGCCGGAGTCGATGACTTGACGGACGACCTCATCGCCGAGATCCTCCTCCGCCTCCGGCCGTCCGAGCCGGCGTGCCTCGTCCGCGCCTCGGCCGTCTGCAAGCCCTGGCGCCGTCTCCTCACCGACCAGGCCTTCCTCCGCCGCTACCGCGATTTCCACGGCGCGCCTCCCCTGCTGGGGTTCCTCCACAACGTCGCCGGCGGCGGCGAAGACCGGTACGTCCCCTTCACCGCCTCCCCGGTCTCCCCGCCGGACATCGCGTGCCCTTGCTGGGTCGCCCTCGACTGCCGCCACGGCCGCGCCCTCCTCGACGAGTTCCCCTTCAGCGCCGACTTCACCGTGTGGCACCCCATGGCGGGACGACGGCGCCGGCTCCCCCGGCCGGACCTCCCCTACTTCATGTCCTACGCCGCCGCGGTGCTCTGCTCCGCCGTCGGATGTAACCACCTCGACTGCCGCGGCGGCGGCCCCTTCCTCGTCGTCGTCGTGGGCATCGACGAGCCGGAGCAGCAGAACTCGCGGCCGTGGGCGACCGTCTACTCGTCGGATTCCGATTCGTGGAGCCCAACGACCTCCGATTACCTCAACCTAACCCTAACCCCCAATTGCGACGTCGACAGGAAGCCCGCCGCCCTCGTCGGAGATGCGCTCCACTTCGCCCTTGCGGAAGGTTCTGGAATCATCAAGTACAACATGGGAGAGTGCTCGCTTTCTCGGATCCATCCACCTGTTGTGTACAAGGGAGGCATTGTGGTGATGGCAATGGGGGGCAATCTGCTCGGGCTCGGCGGCATCGAGGGTTCCATCCTCTCAATGTGGTCTAGTGATGTGAGCCTGGATGGTGGTGTCAGATGGGAGAAGAACAGGGTTATCAAGTTAGAGAGCTTGCTACCAAGTATCGATTGCGTAGAGGCAGTAGCATGTGAGCTTGCACAACCAGCACCGATTGGCTTTGTGGATGGTGCTGATATCGTTTTCGTTAGAACAGATGCTGGCATCTTCATGATTGAGCTCAAATCAATGTGTGTTAGGAAGGTTTGCGAGAGAGGATACTTCAAAGCCGTCTTCCCCTATACGAGCTTCTGCACTCCAGGTACTTGACTCTATCTTGATGTAAAATTTCGACTTCTACATGTTTCTTAGGCACGATTCAGGAATAGTTTGTTTGTTTGCTTTCAAATTGGCCGAGTAATAAAGGAATATATTTCACCAGAATTGGCTTGGCCTAAAAATGTGTTCATCCTAAGTGGCAGACCAATCCCATCACATCGATGAGGCGCAGCTCATTGTACCAATTTCCATTTGAATGAATAATCTGTTGAGCAAGCTTTTATTGCAGTGAATATGTGAATAACAAACTAATGAGTGACATGGGTGATGCACACTTGAATGGTTTGATTTGCTACGTTCATTCTGCACTAGTTTTTCTACAAGTTGGTCACAATGATGTGATCAGCCTATTTTAAGGTGTGAAGGATCGCCATATTGAATTGTGACATTTCCCTAACATATATTGATGATTTCGGTTGACAGCATTTATTTTTTGTCACTTTGAACTTCCTTATTATAGTTTGAACTTTTTTTTAGATGTGTAACCTAAGTTCGCACCTTTATCACTCAAATCTGGGCTCTGCCACTGCTTGCAGGCGTCCATCTCCAGCAAAACAGAGTTCAGTTCAGTAGGAAGCGGTTGCTGGAACTAAGAGAAGGCGATGTGGCAACAGGTATGCAATCCAACGGCAAGAGCCACAAGGGGCGACAGCCGTGACGGCCAAAGACCACCTACAAGGATGGTGCTGGCAATGGGCAGCGAGCTCTGCAGCATTTTGTTGTCTGCGTCAGAGTAAAAATGGCAGGGAAATGTTTGGACATGGGAGAGAGCCGATTGCTTCTTCCCATGTGAGTGAAAAATTTCATTTCAAATATGCACGGTTTGCTTGCATTTCAACTAAAATGTGAGGTACTTCCTCCGTTTCACAATGTAAGACTTTCTAGCATTACTCACATTCATTTAGATGTTAATGAATTTAGATGTTAACAATTAGCCCAAAAGCCTGGTACAAGGATTGAAAGCTGAAACTGAAAGGTGTGTAACTGTGTAACGATAAGCCTAGAAGTAAACATGAACCATAGCTCTGAAAGTCATGGCTTGGCACAAATGGATGGAGGGAAGAAACACGGTTGGTAAGGCTAAATAACTGCTTCCTTAGAATAACTGTTGGTAAGGCCAACCGTAAACAAAATACTATTGTTTTTTTTCCTCTCTGTATCTGAGAGAACTTAGAATTCTACATTTGTAGTATCATAAACCATCTTTTCAATTTTTATTCGAAATTGTCCCTTCTTTATTCCTACAGGCCCTGTGCCTTGATGAGGGGAACCTCATCGTTGTTACGAGGCTGTGTTTATATCCAGTGGAGAAAAGTTTTGGCGTGTCACATTGGATATACAGACACACATTTGAAGTATTAAACGTAGACTAATAACAAAACGAATTATAGATTCCGCCTGTAAACTGCGAGACGAATTTATTAAGCCTAATTAATCTATCATTAGAAAATGTTTATTGTAGCATCACTTTGTTAAATCATTGGGCAATTAGACTTAAAAAATTATCTCGCAATATACACGTAATCTGTGTAATTAGTTTTTTTTCTATATTTAATACTCCATGCATGTGTCCAAACATTGTGACATGGTGAAAATTTTTTGCGTGGGAACTAAACAGGGCCTGAACTCCTTAATGGAATGACACACCATGCTTTTGTGTGTCTGTGTCTGAACTCCTTAATGGAATGACACACCACACAGACACACAGTACACACACACCAAAAATAAGAAATCGTCTCTTCATTTAGCAGTGTAATAAAGCACTCACAGCAACACCAAAAGAAATTTCTGAAGAATCCTCTCAACCTATCAAATTTCTTATGACTACTAACCAAGCAGCAAAGAAGGGATGCATCAGCTTCAGTCAACAGTTTTGCACATCACTAGCTTCAAGTAATCAACCAAGAGGCCAACAGCTAGAGGCTCGATCTGACGTATTAGCATAATTTGGACCCATTTTGTTTGCTAAATTGATGCTATAATTGTTGGAGATGGCAATTTGTTTCTATCACGACCTGAAAAAGATGCAGAAAAGTTATAATCGTTTTACAACCAATATTCACAAAGTATTTTGAGAGAGCATTCCTACTACTGACAAAAGGTACCAAAAACAAGCATTGTCAACAGACAGAAAATGATAACAGAACAAAATATCTTGCCCATTCTAGTTGATCCTCGACAAGTTAAAGTACCCAGTGTCACATATACTTTTCCCCAAGCACATTATCATCACCGTTTTGTTAATGTTGCTGAATTAGTATTACTTATGAACCAACCATATCCCATCAGTTTTAGCAAACAGCCAGAACGTCTTACATTCTTCGACATCCTGAAGACATTGTGCTAGTTTTGCAAATTATTACAGCTTGACAGCAAGATTGACATGAAATAAAGTGAAAACAACCAACTTGAACTAAGGCCAAGATCAGCAAAGATGGGATGCATCACCTTCAGTCCAGAGTTTTCCATATCACTAGCTTCAAGTAAATAAACAAGACCTCCTAGGATACCAACAACAAGACGCTTAATTGAACCCAACAGATTAGCAAAATTTGGACACATTGTTTGCTACTAGTTTACTGCTGCAATTGCTGGCGATGGCAATTTGTCCTATCACGACCTGAAAAGGGTGCAGACAAGTTATAATCGTTATTGTCAACACACAAAAAAGGTTTATCAGAATAATATATCTGCCCATTCTAGTGGATCCTTAACAAGTTAAAGTTCCAAGTGTCACATATACTTCTCTCAATCCATTATCGTCGCCCATTCTAGTATTACTTGTGAACCAACCAAATATCCAAAAAAATGTTTTCATGTCACTCTCTGAATTCTGAAGCATACTGAATCTAGTACTGAATATCAATGAATCTCTCTTTTATCAGTGTTATCAATTATTTTCAGAACTTTTTATAACTATCTGATTGATGCTAATTATGAGCCAAACAAGTATATTCAACATTGTTTTCATGTCACCGTCAGAAACATACTGAACATTCTTTTTTCCTTTCGGAAGGTCTGAGACACACAGAAAAGATATCCCTGAATCACGATTGGTGAATTGAGCAAGAGGCATGCTCCATTCTGAAACTTTGAACTGAACGATCCCCAAATCCTAATGCTAGCAAATTGGTAAAGGATGTACCTGGAACGAAGAAGCTCATGTAGGGGAAGATATTGAAGCATCTGTCCTTCTCCCACAGCTTGCTGATCTGCAGTGACTTGAGCTCCATCCTGTAGTCGCCATGAATGGTGTGGAGGAAGATGATGTCGGTGCCCTCCGCGAAGCCAACCAGGGACAGCGAGTGTACAGGATCAAAGAAGGGGAGAACAGCGTAGAGGTCGATCACATTGCGCCGCACCCACCCTGCACCCGCCACCCTCGCCCAGAGGTGGATGGAGGCCTCGCCGTCGAAGAGGGCGAGCCCCAGCTCGCCGTCCTCCGCCGTCATGAGGAGAGCGTCGCCGTCCCCGTACGCCACCGGCGGGAGGATCACCGAGAGTTCCAGCTTGGTGAGGTCGTAGCGCAGGATGGCTTTGCCGAAGTAGGTGAGGAAGTGGACCGCGTCTCCGGCGAGGACGCTGGGCTTGCTTTCGAGTTCGAGGGAATCGTCATGGTGGACGGTGGAAGCGGCGGTCCATGTCCCGGTCTCGGACGAGTAAGAGGATGCCGACGCGATCTCCTCCCCGTCGTCGTCCTCGTCGTTGCCGACGAAGACCAAGACGAAGGGGCCTCCGTGGCAGTCGTGGTGGTCGCAGCCGGGCACGGCGCAGAGCACGGCGGCGGTGGCGAACGTGCAGAGGGTGCCGTAGGGCTCGCGCTGCCGCCGCACGTCGCCGGTCATGGGGTCCCAGATGGTGAGCTCGACGTTGCTGGACTGGAAGAGGGCGCGGCCGTGGCGGCAGTCGAGTGGCCAACAATTCTTGTGCTCCAGTTCGGCGGGGCGGAACGCGGTGGTCGGGACGAACTGCGCGAAGCTGGGGACGCGGCGGGCGGGTTCGTCGGAGACGTGGTGGATGAAGCCCAGCAACGGAGGTGCTCGTCGGCGGTGGAACGCGCGGTGGCGGCGGAGGAAGACGGGGTCGGAGAGGAGACGGCGCCAGGGCTTGCAGACGGCGGAGGCGCGGGCGGAGCACGAGGGATCGTCCGGCGGGAGGCGGAGCAGGATCTCCTCCACGACGTCATCCGTCAACTCCGGCGGCGCCATGCCGCCGCGCGGCGAGGTCAGGCGTTGGATTCCAGATGATTTGGGGAAGAGAAGGGTTGTATGTTTCAGCTTAGACCCTATAAAACTCGATATTTACGACTACGGCTGTGTTTAGATTCAAAAAATTTTTTTGACCAAAAACGTTACATCAAATGTTTGGACACATGCACGAAGTATTAAATGTGGACAAAAAAAATCAATTGCACAGTTTACATGTAAATTGCGAGACGAATCTTTTGAGTCTAATTACGCCATGATTTGACAATGTGTTGCTACAGTAAATATTTGCTAATGACGGATTAATTAGGCTTAATAAATTCGTCTCGCAGTTTACAGGTAGAATCTATAATTTGTTTTGATATTAGTCTATATTTAATACTTCAAATATGTGTCCGTATACGTAAAAAAAAAATTGTCCAATAAACTAAACACGGCGTACATACACCAACACAGGCAATTCTTACAGCATCACCAGCCATGCCCTTATTCAATCCCTAATCTTATTCTTTTGGGATTTTGGTGAAAAAAGAAATCCAACAGCTATCCTATTTTGATGCTAATATTTTGAAAACCATATCATCACATCCATCGCTCTCTTCATTTGAGGGGGAGCGATGTGGCACGCGCGTCCCGGTGGTGTGGAAAGAAAATCAAGGGGGAGCGATGTGGCGCAAGCGTCCGGGTGGTGTGGAAAGAAAATCACAATCAGGGATGAGGAGGAATAAGGGGGTGTTTAGATCTAGGGGTGTAAAATTTTAGCGTGTCACATGTTGTATTACATAGGGTATCGCATGGGATGTTCGGGCACTAATAAAAAACATATTACAGAATCCGTTAGTAAACCACGAGACGAATTTATTTAGCCTAATTAATTTGTCATTAGCAAATGTTTAGTGTAGCACCATATTGTCAAATCATGTAGCAATTAGGCTTCAAAGATTTGTCTCACAAATTAGTCGCAATCTGTAATTAGTTATTTTTTAGCCTATATTTATACTTTATGTATGTGTTTAAATGTTCGATGTGACATGGTGAAAAATTTTAGGGTTGAATCTAAACAGGCCTAACTTTTAGTTGGTAGTTTACTATGGGTTTCACTTTCTGGGTTAGAGATTCAATTTTATAAGATCTTTTGGAAGGATCACTTTTTTGACATACTACCTTCGTTTTTTAATATATGACGTCATTGGTTTTTTTTGACAAACGTTTGACTATTTGTTATAAAAATATTTAAATCATGCTTAAAGAATACTTGATGATAAATCAAATTACAATAAATAAATGATAAGCATATAAAATTTTTTGAATAAAACGAATAGTTAAACGTATAAAAAAAATCAGCGATGTCATATAAACGTATTAAAAAAATCAGCGATGTCATATACCCTATTAAAAAAACGGTGGGAGTATCAAATTCTGATTAGCATTATCAAATTCAGATTTTTGGAGATTGATGTTACCTATTCCGTTGGTGATGCTCAAATATTAGTATTAAGAAGCCATTTGGAAAATACGCCAGGCAGTGAAGATCACCCAGCAAACAAAATAGAAAAAAGGAAAACGAGAACTAAACTTCATAATGTTTAACGAGAACTAAACTATTGTATATACTACACCAAAAAATTTAGTTCACTAGCTATAGTTTAATTTGCTTTTTTCGTTGCGAGACGTAGAATTTGAAATTTGAACTTATATGTTTACGAAGTGATATATCACATATTAATACATCTTTTCAAATTTTTTCATAACCATTTAAATGACATGTAAATAACAAGAAAATATCCCTTCGAGGATCAAAATCCACTCCCATAAAATAGAGGGAGTAGTAAATTTTCAATTATAAAATTAATTTAGTACTCTTAATATATATCTCAAATAGTTGGAGCTAGCAAATTTAGTTATACCTCCTGATGCCTCTCAAAGGAGTCAAGGACGTACAGTAAAAATACTAAAATGACTTATCAAAGAATAGAGAAGTTTGAGAAGAATAGGGACTGAAAACTTCTCCATTGGTCATTGCATTAACCAAGAGTATTGCATTTTCCTCATATCACCAATACATCCAAGCAGAAAACATAAACAGCTGAAGCCTCAAAACATCCGCTCTTGAGGATATATTCCCTCCTTTTTCACACATTGTCTATCGGCGCGTGAGTGACATTGTTTGCCAGCCAGATTAATCAATTACAGTGTAATTGCTGAAGGTGGCAACTTGCCTTTTTGACGACCTGATAATAAAAAAGAAAAAGAAAAAAAATACAGTGACAATACTTAACCAAAATCACTAAAAAAGAAACCTACTTACTCCGTTTCATATTATAAATTAAACTTTCTAGTATTGTACACATTCATATATATATTAATAAATCTAGATATATATGTGCCTAGATTCGTTAACATCTATATGAATATAAACAATGCTAAAAAATTTTATAACAATATTTAATAAAATCATTGAATCGAACATATGAGTCGATCGATCATGTACCTGGGAGAAAGAAGCTCATGTAAGGAAGAACACAAGAGGCGTAGCACTCGTCCAACACCTTCGTCACCTTGAGTGTGCTGAGCTCAATCTGCTGGACAACCTGGGCACCATCATACGTAGTGTCCACGAACACCATGTCGGTGCCCTCTGCGAAGCCCAACAGACGAGGTCGCATGGCGTCGCCGGGAATCACGAGGTCGAGGTCGATCACCCTGAGCTGCACCCACGCCGCCGCCGCCGACACCGGCTTCCACGACCAGAGTTGGAGGGAGTGACCTGAGACCAAGCGGGCGAGCCCCATCCCGCCGTCCTCCGTCGTCATGAGGAGATGATTCTCAAAGTCGTCGTCGTCTATCTCCGGCGAGGCGATCACCGTCAGGTCCAGCTTGCGCAGGTCGTAGCGCAGGATGTTCCTACCGTGCCAGGTGAGGAAGTAGACGGCGCCGTCGCCGGCGAGGACGCTGGGCTTGGGGAAGGGTTCGGCGTTGTGGTGGCGAACGGTGGAAGGCGCGCTCCATGTTCCGGTCTCCGACGAGTACAGCCATGCCGACGTCGGCGACGTGATCTCCTCCTCCTCCCCCTCCATGACATAGTTGGCGACGAAGGCCACGGCGAAGGGGCCGCCATGGCAGCCGCCGTGGTCGCAGCCGGACACGGCGCACAGCACCGCACTGGCTTCGATGTTGGTGCGCAAGGCAAGGGTGTCAGCAGGCGAGCGCAGCCGCTGCACGTCGCCCGACATGGGATCCCAGACGGTGAGCTCGTCGTCGCCGGAGTCGGAGACGCACCAGATGTGCGGAAGAGGGCGCGGCCGTGGCGGCAGTCCATGGGCTTCCAGCCATCGTGGTCGAGATCGGCAGGGCGGAATGCGGTGGTCGGGGCGAACCGGGCCAAGGGGGAGCCGGCGTCGTAGATGAAGCCCAGCCGCGGAGGTGCTCGGCGGCGGTGGAACGCGCGGTAGCGGCGGAGGAAGCCGGCGTCGGCGAGGAGGTGGCTCCAGTGCTTGCAGACGGCGGACGCGCGGGCGGCGCACGAGGGATCGTCCAGCGGGAGACGGAGGAGGATCTCTTCCACGACGTCGTCCATTAGCTCCGGCGCCGGCGCCGCCATGTCGCAGCGAGGAGATCCGATCAGTATACCGAGGAACGGAACCTATTGACAAATTTTGGACTTTCAGGCTTTCACAGATCTCATCTTTTTTTTAAGCAGTTTTTTTTATATGCAATATTTTCTCGATCCATTCAGGTGGATCAATCGGAACTAGAGTAGAGATAAGATTTATCTCCTCCTAGAACCCCTATACATATAAGGACAGAGTGAGACATCTAAAGTTGTCATGTACTCCAGACGAGATATATAATGAAGACATAGCTCTTCTCTATATATATTTTCATTGTCTACTTCTGCAATGTTCTTGAGGGCAAAAAGAAGGGCACGGGTGTTTTACATCATCTCACGTCTCTACTACTATAGAAGGGATAGGGAACGGATCCGGTGATCCGCTAATAGACGCGTGGTTTACAACATGTTATCACTTTAATTTGACTAGAAAAAATACCCGTGCGTTGCAACGGCTGAAGTCTATTTTAATTTTATTATTGTTATATGGTTTAGTTAAGATGAAATTCACTGTGGGAGTTCGCTTGGATATATAATTTTTTAGAAAATCATCAGCTGCAGTTAGGAGTCCGATCGTCTCAAGTTAGCATGCGAGTTTTTTTTAAACATATTTCTTATATGATTCTTTCTATATTACCAAAAGTAAACGATCTTAGAAACTGTCACACCCCAATCTGGCATCGCCGTACAACGGCACCTGACAGGAGCGTGTCGTAGGAAAAACGGTATGAACCGCTTCCTACGAAACCGCGATCTCAGTACCAGTCCCAGGACATAGCGCTGGTACCCACGGTGACAAATATGAATCATTGCAATCCTTAAAATAAATAGAGGACTTATTTACCTTAACTTAGGTTGCAGCTCAGAACAGCCCGAGAATGCAACCGACGACGCAGACGAGGAAACACCAACAACAGCAGCAGCAGCGGAACCAACGGACTAACACCCAACACTACAGGCGACGGCTGGGAACTAGGACGAAACCCTAATCTTCACTTCACTTCATCTTCACTTAAAGGCAGAGGAACTATATATATATTTATATAGAGTAAGGGTGAGTACTTTCGTACTCAGCAAGTCACAAGAATTTAGGTGTTTAATGCAAGCTTGGAAGAGAGGCAAGGTTGTTTTGCAAATCCTTTGTTTGAAATCATTTTTGAAATCACTAAGTGATTTATTTCTTTTTAACTTTGGGTCGAAAGGAGACTTTCATCTCGATTCGACTTAAGAGATGCTTTTCAACAACTCAATTGATAATGTACCGACCTCCTGGGTCAGATCATTACTTCTCGGCTCTCGGAGCCATTTCACTTGATTAAGCGGCTCCCAGAGCCTTTTTCATTTTCTCGGACTCCCAGAGTCCAGCTGCCCAGTAGCACAACAATCTGCTTCCACTCAGGAAGCCTAGTCTATGATGCCCGCAGACATCCCGAATCACACAGATTTGTTTCCGACCACTCAGGTCATCCATCTGCCACATAGGCTGATTCTGGTAACGATTCCCACACCACAACAACTTTTCACAAAGCACATGCAATCAAATCTACGCAACGGGAACCACCTCACATCCGCCCATGACCGTGGGCACAGCTGTTCGAACAGTTAGTTAACCTCTGCAGAGGGATACACTTTACCCACAAGACACGAACTTACTCCAGACACTGGACGATGTCAGAGGTTCGCGACAAAGCCTTTCCCAAGCCGACCCAGGGATACCTCATGCCACATAGAAGGATCAAATCCTCACATAAACATAGGCCATTTTAGGCGTTCACAAATCAAACTCCAACCACCTCGATCGGTAATTCAACAAGCTTCTCGTTCTTACATTACCAGGAACCCGGTTTGGCTCCAACCGACCCCGCCCCGGCGTTCCCAACTATTGGCATGCGAGGTTTCCCTGAATCAACTAGTTATTTAGCCAGGGTGTCCCATTCCACCTTGTGGTTGCACTTTGATTATGTTCGATGAGTTTCCCACAGGAATCGGTCCTTATATACGAATACGGGACAGTGCCACATAGCCACAACCCCCGCATCGCGAGTTTTCACAATTCATTTTATTTTCAAACACACCGACACCACATGTCGGGTTTTGAAGGCTTCACAAACCCATTTCCCAAGTTTTCAACAAACAACGGTGTATGTGGGATATTTGGTATACGCGCTCAGAGAGCACGAATACCGAGGTACCACAAGGGTGGAGCAACAAGGAATCAGGGTAGTACGACCTACGGAAATTAGTGCGACTACTGGGTAGGTCCGTCGGTTTGGCACGCAAACAGAGGCCAAGCAAGTTAAGTGTGTGATTCTAATAATGCAAGTTGCAAACAAAATAATAATGACTTTTCAATTATAGGGGCAATTGATCAAAGGGTGACTTGCCTTGCTCAAGGTCTTCACGAAGCTTCACGAATCTTCGAGAAAACCACGATCGACGAAAAATCCGGTAACCGCAACTATACGCAAACAATCGAAAACCTAAACAAAAGACCAAAATAAAGGTCCTATTTAGACTAAATAATAGTGCCATTAAATAGATCTCAACTTTACGGAAATACTGGAAGCTGAACGGAGTCAATCGGACTTACGGATCGAGATATATGAATTTCGGAAGCTCGAATGGGATTTTCCGGACAAGGAAATGATTTATCGGAATTTTCTAGATTACGAGAAATGGTTTATGGAATTTATAGAAATAATATTCTCAAGAATATTATTGATGGTCATTGATATGAGGGACCAAAGGAAATGATTCATGGAATAAAGAATTGATTTATGGAACGAGGGAAAAGGATTTAATAATCCCTTTGGAAACGAAAAGGAAGGAGGGATGTCAATCAGACTTCCTCGGGCGGCATTGGTGTGGCCCAAGGGGATTTGCATGCGCGGCCGAGCTGATTGGGCCGGACGCGGGCGCTAGGAGGCGGCCCAATGGGGCTCGGGTGGGGAGAGAGAGGCGGTTCGGTGGACCGGATCCACCGCGTGGGGTCCAGGGACGGGGCCCACATGGCGGCGGCCTGGTCCACGAGGAATAGGTGCACGCGAGAGCCGCGGGGTGGGTCGGGGGACCGGGAGACCTTGACCGGTCTCTGCGGGGCCGGGCAGGTAGACGTGGCGTCCACGTGGACAGCCACGTTGGCACGGGCGAGGGAGGAGGCCGGGCGGCCGATCCGACGGCTGGCGGCGGGCGGCGGCGAACCTGGAGGGGCGGCGTGCACTGGAAGCAAGCGGAGGTCAAGGGGAACTAGTTCAACGGTGCGGATCATGGAGAGGAGGCGCGACGGCGGGATGGGTGGCACGGCGCGGGCGCGGCCGGCGAGGCGGGCGGCCGCGGCGGCGCGCTGGGAAGGTTCGAGGGGGTTCGGGGATGGTGGCGGCGCCGGGAATCAAGGAGAGGAGGGAGGCTGACGGCGGAACGCAACTGCGCACGGCGGCGGCGAAAAAGGCGGGTGGCGAGGGAGCGAGAGGAAGGGGAGACGGCCATGGCAGCGCGGCGCGTAAGCGAGTGGGAAGGCCGGCGGCGGAAACAGAGCAACGGCGACGACCCAGCTCCGTAATCTCCCGTGTAAATGAGCATGCCTAGAGAATTTATGCCGTTTATAGGGGAGAAGGGGAGCGGAGCTCACCGGGAAGGAAGGAACGCGCCGGCGGCAGGGATGTCCTCGGCGGGTTCGACGCTGAGGCGGGGCGGATGGCGTTGTCCGCTCGTGGCAGGACGGTCGCCGCGACGGGAGCGGCACGGCGCCAAGACGGCGCGGCCGGGGAAGAAGAGAGGGGCGCGAGGATGGGGCGGTCGGCACCACGGAGTGTCTCGGCTTCTCGCGCTTGTCGGCAGAAGGAGCGGCGACAGCGGCGAGCAGCCAGGCGGCAACGATGGCGCGGCAGCGGTGGAGAGTGAAGCAGGAGGGATTGAGAGGGGGCTCGGCTTTATAGTGGAGGCGATGTCGGTTTGGGAGGCGTGGGCGAGTTGGTTGGTGCTCGGCTGGTGATCACGGGCGACGCGAGAACGGCGGACGACGAGGATGCGTTGGGCGGCGAAGGCGGTGGATCGGACGGCGAAAATCGAATCCCGGGAGCGGGAGGAGCTGCGCGGCATGGTCAAAGTAGAAAAGGAGGGGGAAAAGGGAGCTCTGCTCCTTGCCGATTTGGGCGTGCAAAAGGGAGGAGAGAGGGCGCGTGAGAGAGGCGCTCTGCCTCTCGGTTTTGGAAGCACGCGGCGTGGTGCGACAGCGGTAGCAGGACTGTGGGGGTCGGCGGCAGCGCAGCGCATGCGTGGCAGGGCTGACGGCAGCGGCGTTCGGGCGACGACCACCACAAGGGCATGCGCACGTGGGAAACGGCGGAGGCGGCGAAAATTGAATGGCGGCGGTGGGAGGGTTCAAACCGCGGCGGCAGGAATCGGCAAGGCGGCGGTGGTCGACAGGTGAGAGAGAGAGGAAGAGAGATGACGCTCTCTCGGGCGGCGCACATGCACAGCACGTGCAAGGAGGAGGGAGGAGATAGGCAGAGGGGAGATGGGCTAGGGGGAACATGATCGGCCCACTAAACTTGAGGGAGGCAAATAGACTTTTTCAGAGGGATTGAATGGTTGAGGTTAGGGTTTGGATTCGAATTCAAAATTTGATATTCGAACTCGAGGGTTTAGGGAGGAATCAAGGGAGACTCGAGGAGAAGTCAAGGAAGAGATTCAAAATGAGATTTTGATATTTTTGGGAACGGGGACATGTATTTGGCGAGGATTTCAAGATAGGATTTGAATTTCGGAATTTCATTTGGAGACTTGAATCGGAATTGGAATCTTGAGGTGGGCGATTTTGATGGCGACGAGAGGGAACAACGATGGAGATTGAATTGAGATCTATGGCACGACTTAAACTCACACTCAAAGAACGAAATTTTCGCAATTAGGATTTTGCCGAATTAGTTTTTAATGTCTGACGAAAAGCGGAGCGTTACAGAAACCGACTCAAATACAAATATGTATTTCCAAAAGCAAAAAAAATTTAAAAACCAACTCATACACGGATGACGTACCAAAATACCAGCAAAAACATCTTCAATTTTTATAATAGTTCTCTATATAGATTAAAACCAAAACATAAAATTAAAACCGACTAAACAGGGATGACGAACCGCGGAAAAATCTTCAATTTTTATAACCGACTTAAACACGGATGACGGACCGCGAAAACATCTTCAATTTTTATAAGGGAAAAGTACACCGAAGGTCCCTCAACTTGTCATCGAGTTACGAAATCGTCCCCAAACCGCAAAACTGGGTATATAACATCCCTCAACTTACGAAACCGTTCACTTTAGGTCTTTCAGCGGTTTTGATCCCGGTTTTGTCTGACGTGGCGGCTGAGTCAGCGTGGGACCCACGTGGGCTCCACATGTCAGGCTGCCACGTCACACACCCCTCTCTCTCTCTTTCTCCTCCTCTCCCTTCCCCCTTTCTCTCTCACTTTTCACCTCAATGGGCATCCGGCCGGCGGGTGGAGAGATGGTCATCGGGGCAAGGCTGGAGAGGATGTCCGGTAGCCGGCGATGCGGGAGAAGGGGAGGGTGGCGGCGGCGGGAGCACAGGGGGAGCATGGCGGCGGCGGCGGCCTCCGGTCTCCCCGTCTTCAACACCGAGTGCCGCCGCCGTTCTTCTCCCCTGCCGGCCACCGGCCACGCCGTGAACCACCAAGGTCGGGGACGCGGCGGCCAAGCGTGGAGGAGCGAAGGGTCGAAGCGAAGCCCGTCGATGCAGCGGCGAAGAGGAACCCATTGAGGAGTGCTAGGACCACGTCGGTGCTGACGTGCACTTGGTCTCAGTGAAGAAAACGGGGAAGCCGTCATCCCCGTAGCCAGGCCGCCTCCACGGCGCCCGCTCCACCTCCACAACCATCGCTGCGACGCCCGCCTCCATGCCAACCGCCGCGGCGCCCGCCTCCGCATCCACCGCCGCGACGCACGCCTCCGTGCCAACCGCCACGGTGCCCGCGTCTGCACTCACCGCCGCAGCGCCCGGCCCCGCCTTTGCCTCTGCGCCCACCACCGCAATGCCCACCGTGGCACCCGTCGACGCCCACCGCTACGTCGCCCGGCCCCGCCTCCGCCGACTCGTCGCCCCCCGCAGCGGCGCCCGTCGACGCCCACCGCCGCGTCGCCCATCCCTGCCTCCGCCGCCTCGTCGCCCGCCGCCGAACCTCCTCTCCCACCTTGCCCCGACGACCCTCTCCCCACCCGCCGGCTGGCTTTCCGTTGAGGAGAAAATTGAGAGAGAGTGGAGGAGGAAGAGGAAGGGAGAGGAGAGGGGAAAGAGAGAGAGGGGGTGTGACGTCGCAGCCTGACATGTGGAGCCCACGTGGGTCCCACGCTGACTCTGCCGCCACATTAGACAAAACCGGGATCAAAACCGCCGAAGGACCTAAAGTGAACGGTTTTGTAAGTTGAGGGATGTCATATACCCAGTTTTGCGGTTTGGGGACGATTTCGTAACTCGATGACAAGTTGAGGGACCGTACTTTTCCCTTTTTATAATAGTAGAGATAGAGATAGAGATAGAGAAGAGAAGAGAAGAGAAGAGAGAGATTTGCTAGCTCTTCCAGGCAGGCGGCCCTTGGCTGGGCCGAGTGAGAGAGAGGGGAAAGGGCTGGGCTGTTGAGGTTGAGGCCCAAGCGGAGGGGGAAGGAAGGGGAGAAAGGATTGGGCTGGGGAGAAGTGACGGAGGTAGTGGACCGGTGAGGGAAGTAAAGGGAAGAAGGAGATGGGTTGGAGTGTGACCCAATTGCAGTGTTCCTTCATATTTTCCACAGGGAATTGTTTGGTGAATGTTTGAATATTTGTTGAGAGGAGATTTGCACGCAAATTGGATATTTGAGTTCCAATAATTCCAGGATCTCAGAGGAGAGAATTTCAGCTGTATTTTTGTGGTATATAGAATAGGATGATACCCCATAAATACCATCAGATAAGATGAGTTCACGCCGGCAATCCTCTGATCTGTTTGTGTACAAACAACATTGACAGCGATCGAATCGTAATAGGCCTTGCAAGTTTAGCAACGCTGATACGGTATCACTGGCAGATTTCAAACGGGGAAATACTATGATCAGATACAATTGAGTTGGATGGTAGTCCACCATGAACTCACTCAACAATCAAGTCAACCATCAATTTAAGACACGGTTTGAGCTCTGAAAAGGTAAAAGGTTCATGCAATCCCTATTGGCAGTTCTTCTGAGAAAATGGACATGCAGCAGTACATATTAAGCAAGACAGGATTTTGGCACCGAATAGATTCCATTAAGTTACTACCTAGGGTAAAATGCATTACTTTGATACAGAATCATCGCCCTCTTGTGCTGGGGTATGAACATCTGAGTTGTTGCTGCTATCACCTTTTACTGAGAGCGAATCAGCTGCAGCTCTCTTGGGAGGAGGTTCAGCAGAGATTGGCTTGATATTAGCACGTTTGATACCTCTACCAACAACCCCAAGATCGGTTACAGTGCTTCCAGTACTTCCGGTTGTAGCTGCCGTAGACAGAGTTGACGAATCAAAGCCGTTGCTTGATCCAGCCATCTGTGAAGAAGAATTGAAAGAAGCAGCCGCTGGCATTGTGTCAGTAGCATTCTGTTCACCACCTGCCTTTGAGGCAATCCTCTTCATAATCTCATCCATAACAGAGCTTGGGGTAGACATTGCTTGTTCCAAGTCTTCCAGCTGAATTCAAACAATTCATACATATTCAAGAACAAAATGAAGTTGGCAATGTGAAAGGCGTATTTGTATGAAGAAAATAATAAAGCTTATTTTCACAAATGAACGTATTTAGCATTCATATATGAAAGAAGAAAATAAGATGGCAATGTCAAAGGAGTATTCATATAGACAAAATCAAGTTTATTTTACCTTCTTCTCAAGTTCACTCAAAATGCCACTGAGCTGCTCTATCTCACCCTCAGGAGCGGACTTTTCTGAGCCTCCATCAGCAGCTGATGCGTTATCATCTTTACCAGCCAACAAAGCATCTTTGTCATTTTTTAGGCTTTGTATGCGTGACTTGCATAATGAAATAGCCTTAGCGCAATATGGAATTGCATCTGAAATCTTCGACACCAACTCATAGACCAAACATATGCGGAAGTTTCTAGGACTGAATTAAGGCAAGCAAAGGAATAAAAACTGAAAATAAAAGATACTAGTGTCACCTTTCCTATGAACTGGATACCACAGTTCATGTCCACATTTAGACAAACACGTACATGTAAGAAAATGAAGGTAACCATGCAGATTTGGGTGGAACTCCCATTGAAAATATACATGTATAACAATATTTAAAACACACCTTCAGCTGCCTAACTCTTTAAGTCGAGAAGGATGCAGGTTGCAGGCACTACAGCATTGGGTTGCAAATGTTGTTTTATACTTGCTATATGGCAGAAGGATGCAGGTTGCAGGCAGATAATTTGGTAGTATTATGTTTACCAAACAAGAAGGATACAGATCAATAATTCGACGATGATCAGGCTCAAACAATTTCTCCAATATGGCTAAAGCTTTAAAGTAGTCACCGAGTGAGTTATCAATGTCCTCTGAAAATGAAATATGGGGCATTAGCACCAAAACCATTTACCATCAAAACTAGAGAGTAACTAAGATAGTGGAGACAGACCTCTTTCCATGGAGACTTCAGCTAGAGCAGAAAAGATTTTTGCTTTCTCCAAAGTGTCATCTGGGCTCTTCTCAACTATAGCCCTTGCAATATCCAACATTTTCCAGGCCTGATCCAAATCAGAATCATCTTCATCTCCCACCATCTCATCATCATCCTTGTCACTGTCACCGTTTTCCTCCTCTTGACCTTTTCCAGTTGAGTTTTGCCCTAACCAAAACTATATCAGTACTTACCACAGAAACCAGGAAGAAAAGCACATGGAGTGTGGCCATCATTTATTATAGTACAATAGCAACCTGCTACAGGGAGCAGTTAGATGCATATAGATGCACAAATGATCCCACCCAACCAAATAGTGACCAATAAGTTTGTTCAATTAAAATTAAACTAGTAAGGTTTCTTATAGAAATGCAAGACCAATTATTTAATCTTGAGCAAAGTAAGAAGAACTATTTACATTATTGCACGCTACTATAATTACTCAAATAAAGGAAACTCGTAAATTTGCAAAAGCATCCTGTGCAAGTGCTTAATCTGTTTAAGCTGCCATTTCTATTCCAAGTGCACAAGTAAGAAAGGAATACAGATAAATAAACCTAGGTGTATTCAAAATATGGCCTGGCCATATAATGGTTTTTTACAAACCGCAAAACATTTTTTCTGCCTCTGGAATCACGCATTATCAATAGCACAAAATATAATTGCCCTTTCAGACCAACCAATATATCCACTGTGACCAAATGGCCTCCTATGGAATGATAATGATAATTTGACTAATGGAGGAAATAAGTCTGAACACTTTCCAAAAAATACCATTACTTTATAACAAGAACATATTAATGATATTGTTTTTATGCATAGTATATAAGAACAGGGTAAGACAAAAGGCCATAAGTGTACAATAACAACTACATAGGTACATGGTACAATAATGGTATACCTTCTTCAGCATCAGCTTTATCCGTGGATGGAGCATCCTCAGTATTGCTACCGGGGGTCTTTGAGCTTCCACTATCATCCTTGTTAGTAGTACTCTTCATGGACTCCTTATTAGATGAACTCTTGGGAACATTACCCAAAGGATCAGCCTCATCCTGAGCTTTGTATAGCAAGGCACATCCATACTTAAAATATGTGCTAACACATTCCGGAGCAAGTTCTCCATGATGTGCAACCCTGATGACAACAAAAGGCATAAATTTGTTAGGGCGCAAGCACTGAAGTTATAGTACAAGTTCATTGAGACATAATGTAAACTGAGATGGATCAGTAGTTCGAGATTGGTAGCTGCTCTGTCTATTTACCAAGCACAACCACAAACTAATATAACTTGACCTCAGTGAAATATTTCCAACTAGTCAGTAGTGGAGCAGCATACATACATATTTCTGAGATATCAAGAATTGAGTAATCGCACTTTGCTGCTATGGTAGTCGCAATTCACACACAATAACAAGAGATAAAACAAACTCCTAGCTAGTGCTATCAATTAACACGAGGCTAAGAGGAGAATTGACTGATTCCTCAACACGATAGCCCAATCCATTGCGCCACGTTGATAAACAAGAGAAATCCAATCGCCAATCATGGCCTCCAGCTTGCTGTAGAACCTCATAAACCCTACCCGACTCACCTCCCCAATTACACAAGACAAAATAACAAACAGCTTGCTGTAGAACCTCATAAACCCTACCCGACTCACCTCCCCAATTACACAAGGCAAAATAACAAACTCCACATGACAGCAACAACACAATCAAATCCACAGCATCACTGAACCAAATATTACGTTATTCCCCCACATCGAACCAGCCAGGTCGGGAAATGGAACCGTAGAAGCGGAGGGGGTGTAGCGGAGAAAGCCCCTCACCTGATCTCGAGGGCGCGGCTGAGGCAGTCGACGGCGTCGACGAAGTCCCCCTCCTCGATGGCCTTGGACCCCCTCTCGAACAGCTCCTCCGCCCGCTCTAGGGTTTTCACCTCCTCCTCCCCCTCCCCCTCCGCCTCCATCTCCTCGCCCGCCCCGGCCTCCTCGCTAGGGTTCGGCGGTGACGGCGGCGGGTCGCGCTGCTCGTCTCGCGGCGCCTCCACGTTCTCCGACGAGGAGGCCATGGGCTGCGGCGGCGGCGGCGGCGGCGGCGGAAGCAGCGAGTGGGGAGAGAGAGAGAGAGAGAGAGAGAGAGAGAGAGAGAGAGAGAGAGGAAGGAAATGGGGAAATTTTGGGGTCGGAAGCGCGAATTCTCGGGGATATGTAGGAGTTGCCGCCAACGGGTTCCGCGTATTGGGACTGGGCCTACTTGGGCCTACATGGCTGCAATAGTGGGCCTAGTTGGGCTTTCCAACTTAGGCCCAAATCTTGTTCATGCCATTTTAGTCCTCGTTTCGTTTGTTTTTTTTTTATTATTTTTAGAGAAGGGTTTTTTTTAGGGCCTCTACATCCAATTGAATTTGAACTCAAACCTTATAATGCTACTCAAGTCACTACAACCACTATACTACATGCGCTTTCGCATGTTTCATTTGGAATGGATTCCAAGGACAAAATTTGTGAGAATTTTATGCAAATTTGATCGATTTCTACGCTAATATTTCATATAGAAACTTTTTTTTAAAAAAAAACACCGTTTAGCAGTTTGAAAAGCGTGCGCGTGGAAAACGAGGGAGAGGGGTTGGGAAGAGGCTCAAACGAACACAGCCTTATTCAGTTTGGCAATGTTCTGGAATATGGAGGGATGCCCAAATTTCGCCAAAATACTGTATCTTTGGTTCATCTCAAATTTTCAGATGTCTTTTTTTTTCTGTTGATGTTTGCTTTGTTTTTGAATAAAATTTGGTGGATTCAAATAGGCTGCTAAATCAGATGTGAAAGTTGCTCATGGTTTAGGACTGGAAAAAAAACAAAATTAAAGATGTCAACGCAAAAAACGTGTTGCCAACTTGCTTGCAACGAGAGCCAACACGGGAGTAGAACTGAGACATGTATCTCAAAGTAATAGCAAAATCAAATCAAATTAACTCAAATTCCTATATCTATAAGAGATCTCGAATAATCTCATCCATGATCCATATATACATCTCGTTCGCTGCAGCGATTATACATATCAAAAGTATAAAACATGAACTAAAAAGAAATACTCCAATTTGGAATATAATCAGTGGCCGAAGCAGTCGACGAGGATGGACAGGGCGGTCTCTGCGCCCAAGCCGCCGCCGCCACCACCAGCCGCCGAGCTCGCCGGCGGCGGCATGGCACCATCGCCGCCGCCGCCGCAGTCGAGCCCTTTGTCTGACACCGATCCATCGCTTGGCGGCGACGGCGACGGCGCCGATCTGATGGCCTCGAGGATCTTTCTGCAGCTCCGTATCCTCCCGGCCAGCTCCGACGACCAAGCATCCATCAGTCTCGATGCAAGCTGAGGAGATCGAATTTTGAGCTGAATTAGCAACAAAAGATGGAACTTTTGAGCCGGATTCGAGCTTCTTCTCGGGCTCTCCCTTTCTTTTTCAGTACAGGAGGGGGACAAAGAGGAAGATATGAAAGCGTGGTCGGCACCGGCAAAGCAGGAGGAGACATCAGACGGGTGGATTTATACAATGAGAGGAGAGGAGAATTGAAGTCAGAGAAGGCGAATCAGGGGACATGCCTCTGGTTTTGGAGTAGTTTAGCCCACTGAATGTCTCTGAATTGGAAATCTGGAAGTCTTGCACGACTTTTTGATTTTTGATGACACCTACGTGGACGATTTCCAAGCCAAATATTCTACTCTCTACTTGAGTTGACTGTTCATCGGTTTGCAGAAATGGAACCAATGCTTTCGATTGCATTGTTCTTGTCGTCGCTGCAATGTTTTCAGTACTTCATTCAGTATATAGTGCAGAAGAGAATGTGCTGCTAATCTCATCCTTTCTTTGATCTTAATCAGTCTATATGTATCTAGCAGTGCAAATTGATTGATTATCTCTTTCCCTATTACTTCCTGATGGCTAGATGTACAGGTTCAGGTTGTCGGCGAGCTGAAACCTACAAGAATAGATAGGTTTCTCTTCTGATGTTCACAAGGAATCAAGAACAGTGGCGTCGATCACAATCTTCGCCGTGCAGAGGACAGAGGTTCCTATGGCTTGCCGTGCCCGACCTGTCGGAGTTCGTCAATTTCATGGGATTCGGTCAGATTCATCGGGTAAATTGCATGCGAATTTGCTCCCTGATCGATTGGTTGCATTCGTTCGTCTTCAGGAAAAGAAAAGAAAAGAAAAAACAATCCCCTCTTATGGAATCACCGAACTCGCCACGCTCTGCTCTCTATTTGTTTGGCTGTCGGAATATTTATCTCCGACCCTCCTAGTAGAATTCTTTTTAAAAAAAAAACAATTATAGGTGCTCTTATGCAGAAGTGAGCTGCGCGAAAAAAAAATAAAATGAGGCACTCTTCTTCTGCTGCAGGTCGCCCTGGGTGATGATGGGTCGATCACAATCTTGCTGCCGTGCAGCTGTTCCAAAAAAAAAAAAGAGATTTGGATGGAGAGACGTTGCTTCAAACATTTTTCAAGAAGAAATAGTGAGTGTGTTGGGAATTGAGCCGCTTGTCGTTGCATCTCCCGTGCAGCTGTTCCAATTGCGCCACCGGAGTCGGCAAGATGGTTTCGACCACGCTAATTGGGTTTTGGTCGATTGCATGCAGGATTGCTCTCTAATCGATTAGTTACATTCGGTTCTCTGCAGGGAGAGAGAAAAATGAAGCGATAAATCATCGTTCCACTCAAAAAAAAAAGGTGAGGGTTAGAGGAGTCGGAGTTTTAATCTCCGAACCCCTTGGTTCGGTTTTTTCTTTTTTTAAGAAAATACACGACCCATTCGTCGGCACGTTTCCTCGCCGATCATCCATGGCGGAGCCGCCGACGTGGTCGCTGCCGCAGAATAATCTGGGATCGATAAGCTGCGCCGGCGAGATCGCCTGGGCATGACGTTTCCTTCCTCGATCTGCATGGAGCACGAGAAAAAGAACGGCAACCTTCCTTCTCCTGCACAAGCAACATTACTGGAAAGTGCTAGTTATAATTTGTTTCATTTTCCAGGGAATCATCATGATGGGAGAGGGACTAATCAAGTCTTTTATTATCTTAATGAACTCTTGATCAAGTCGTACCTCGGTTTAGAATTTTTTTTTTCTTCTAGAAGGGCCGTGAAATATCAGTGATAGAAGAAACTAGCTAGACCAGTAAAACGTTGGACTTGTTTTCAGAATTTTCATGCCATTGACTGTGCATGGAAATCTGAAATGCCGGGCAACAGGTTGAGTACGAAATAGTAACAGCCAACAGGTTGAGACTAGAGACATAAACTATATATCAATATCATCATCACACTTTCAATGATGGCAAAAGATTAGACAAGAAAAATTCAGATAAAAAGAACGATTACCCATCCAGTGAACGGATTTCTTGCGTAATATTTCAACACCATGTTATTACCAGCTTGCTTATATGCTGAGCTGAACAGACTGTGCTTCACTTTCATGAAACCCTATTGTACATACCAAGTTATTGCTGGCTTAGAAATTAAGACTGAACAAGGCTCATTTCTCATCATGAAGAACTTCCTATCCATTCCCCTTGTTACCCTCATCGATCTCTCTTACATGATCTAGAATTCTAGAATGGTGTTGGCGCTAACTGCACTTCCTTCTCTTTCTGAATCCAGTCTACAATTGAGCGCTGCATCTGGACAGGCGCACGCTCAACCCACAACTTGAGGAACTCAGAGATCACATCTGCCCGGCTCTCCAGATCAAGTTCCTGTCGTCTCGACACAGTTGCTTCCCTAGCAGTGCTCAATGTGCTCGGCATATTCATTCTCGTCTTCCCCAAATGAAAGAATGCAGCTTCATGTTTTGACTTCCAGAGAAGCTGGTGTGCTGTTGCTTCAGAATTCTGATTGATGCTACCTATTGCCTTTGGCAGCATGACCTTGTCTAGCTGTTCCAGGGTAATGTTTCTGTGATACCAAGGCTGCTCCTCGCCATTGATCACCTCTACTGCAGAACTCTCAGCTGCAGGCAGAAGGTCATTTGAAGAGCTATGAGGCAAAAAAAGAACCCCAAGTTTCAGATGTGAAGGCCTTCTTGGATAACATCTTTTTCCTCGTACAGCTGCTCTCTGTTTATTGTTTTTTCCTTGTATAGCTGCCCTCTGACTGTTGCATCTAAATTGTGTGATTTGACGCTCCAAATACACTTCAATGATTGGTTGAAGAGAAACATCTAGCAGTTCTGCCTTGTCCATGCTGCCACTCCCACACATGCTCTGATCTTGATGTTTGCAGCATATTGGGTTTGGGCGGAACCACTTAGTAGCTATACCATGAATGTTGTCCCAATGGTATGAACGATAATGTGACACCCAGGAGAAGTCTTGTGTAGGGAGCTGAGCAAGTTCCTTCCTAACAGTTTCAGTTGTAGACTTGAAATGAGGGGTAAACCATTGCAAGCACTTAATTATAGTGCCAATTATGTTTGTACTCTCTGAAATTTGTAGCATCATACCGAGGAAAAAGTTATTCTCAGGTGCACTGCAATCGTTGTAAACAAAGATCAACTTAGCTTCTACTCCTCGATCTGCAATGTCATTGGGCCGTATCCAAAACAAATGCTGCTTGTTTCCCTGCACAAATTTGTACTCAAGTGTTTCACCAGCAAGAAGGTGCCCGATAAGAGGGTCAAAGAACAAGTAACGGCGAGGTGTCCCTCCAAACTCCAGAGATTTCAGAAAGTCATCAGCTCCCTTAGCAAACCACTCAAATCTTTGAACAGTTGATCTACTTGGCTCGTCGATATTGCCGTGAAAGATGGATGATATCAGTGATTTGGTGGCACAGGCAATTCGCCTAGGAAAGGAGGAATTCCTTACTTGCTGTTCCTTCTCCTCTTCTTCCTGGACATGCTGCCTGCACTTGCGTAGTGTGTCATCACACTCTTCAGTAGCACGCTTCAGCTTCTTCTGCCAACGCAGCAACGGCTCACTCGTGATCTGCCACTTACTGGATGTCTCAAGTGCAAGCTCCAACTTGATTTGTGCCATCTCCAGCCTCTCCATCAGCTCGTCTGCACTTAATTTTTGCTCATAATTGTCAATCATGCCAGATATGATTTTGTTCACTGTCTCGGTAACAATGGCAGAACTGACTATCTCTCCCATCTTCAGTGATCAATCCGCAAGAGCTGCCTCCCTGATCAGCACAGAGCAAAGATGTATCAGTACATTGATCATGATGCCTAATAAAATCAAGAGATAGATCAGTGAATTCCTGATAAGTACTAACGAAGTGCATTGTTGAAGCATATGCAAAGCCCAACCTTTCTGAGTTGAACTAGTAGGAAGTAATGGAGCTACACAGGTGCACCAGAGAGTACCCGGCAGAAGATAACTGGATTGCATGAATTGCACGAAAGTATAAGACTTCAGGCAGGAAAAATAGCAAATTACAGTTGGGTTCTTCTGGAAGTTAGGCTGGTCTAATATGGCACCTGTTGAGAAAACTATTATCGGTGACTTTCAAGTTGATTTGTCACACACAGACAATTTTAAAATCAAAATCTGCTCTCACTGACTGTCCCAATCTTGCGGACTAGCTACTGAAGAAAATTCTCCTCTCGTCACTGTAATCATTTTTCTTATTAGAAACTCCAGCTTCTTGTCTTGACTCTTGACTGAATGGAATCTGGGAATCTGTAAAACTATATTATCGGCGACTTAATTTGTTGGGTCTGAGAAAATTATTATCGGCGACTACGAATTATAGCTGGGAATCTCGGGTTATGTTGCTTGTGTAGTGCGAGTGCCTCTCCCCTGAATAGAACAGCAGTAACTAAAATCAAGCTGGTCGCGAGAGGCGAGGAAACCGAGCCGTACCTTGATCTAGCGCGCCGTGGCCGCCGCGAGGAAGCGGCGGCCTTCTTCCCTCTCCGCATCGCCGGGTCGCCGCACAAGCACGCGTGTATGGTGGCGGCTCACAGTGGAAGCAACAGCGGCATCGGATCGAGGAAGGAAACGCCATTATGGCACCGCCTTGCGCCGCCGATCCACGAGTGGGCGCGGCCTCGCTGCGGACCCTTCGGCGGCAGAGCAATCCCCATCTGGCGGCGGAGAGGCCCCGTCCGGCCATGGCGTCAGTGGCGTGCACGGTGGTGGTTGCCATGGTGGTCAGCGACTCAGCGTGGAGACGAAGGTGTCGATGCGGCCCATATGTGACAGTGAAAACTCGGACAAGCCCACAGAGGCCCAAGTAAAGGCCCATGGGCTGCTTAGGCTGCACAGCGGCCTTCGACTGCGTTCTTTTGGAGGGCCCAAGTATTAACGCATGGTTAATTAGTATTAGCTAAAAAATTGAAAACATGATTAATATGATTTTTTACAACAACTTTTCTATAGAATTATTTTTGAAAAAAATACCGTTTAGTAATTTGTGAAGCGTGCGCGCAGAAAATGAGTCATGAGAGGCAGAGGTTGGGAACATTGAGCGAAGAAAACAACCTTGGCCTACTGCAGAAGTTGGGGCAGAAGCAACACTGGAGTGCTAGTTCTATGTTAGGTTGTTTAATTCGGTTCATTTACCAGTAGATGATCATGATGGGACTAACCAAGGTTTCGGTATCTTAAAATCTTGATCAAATGAAAGCAACCTAGACCACGTAAAACTTTGTCTATTTGAAGAATTTTTCATGAAATGAGCCAATGACTGTCTGATCACCTGATATACCATGGAAATCTGAAATAGAAGTCCACAGGGTGAGACATGAAAAATTCAGATAAAATTCAATCTTGGTTGCAGCATATACGTGCAAATTTCACATAAAAAAATATTGATTACACATCCACTTTTTTTTACACAAAAGGTAGAGAGACTCTACCTTGTAACCATTGTATTAATGGTGGTCAAACCAGATGAGATCTGGTAAAGCCAAATAAGAGAACAACAGGAGCATTACAGGGGGAGAAGAAGGATAAAAAGGAGAAAGAAGAAAAAAGGAAAACAGGAGAAAATACAAGATGTAAAGCAGGAAGAGAAAATACAAAAAATACAAAAATAATACAAAAATACAAAAGTGGAGAAAAGAGGGTGGTTAATCAAATTTGACCACCCAAGCAGTAATGTGTGCTCGAAGGCAAGGCTTGAGGCGGTGCTCCCATAATTGCAGATTTTCCTTGATCAGATTCAACGTTGCGGAGGTGCTTTGCTGAGAAGAATTGAAGGTACTGTGGTTGCGGGCCTTCCAAAGGTTATGCGAACAAGCAGCAAAGCAGGCCGGAGGGAGTAGAATATTTCCTATCCATTACTTTCATTTCCCCTTGTTACCATGATCAATCTCTATTCCATAATCTTGGTGGCAACTGTATTTCCCTTCAAGGCCTTGTTTGAATGAGCTTATAGCAACACTAGCAAATCTCCAGCTCGCCTAAACAGCTTATATTCTTCCTCCAGGTTAAGAAATTAAGTAGCCACCAAATCTAGATTTTATGAACCTAGTAACCAGAAGCTAGGTTTCACCAACTTCCTCCAGATTCCCAACAGCTACATGCTCATCAGCAACTTTTTAGAATCTCCAGCTTCCCCAAGTAGGGCCTGAATCCAGTCCACAGCTGCGAACTGCATCATGACAGGAGCACGATCAACCCACAGCTTGAGAAACTCAGAGATCACATCTGCTCGGCTCTCCAGTTCAAGGTGATCATGTTGTTGCAACAACGTTGATTTCCTAGCAGTACTCAATATGCTTGACATATTCATTCTTGTGTTCCACACATGAAAGAATGCAGCTTCATGCTTTGACTTCCACAGCAACTGATGCGCTGTCACTTCTGCATTCTGATTGAAGCTATCTATTGCTTTTGGTAGCATTATCCTGTTAAGCTTTTCCAGTGTAACATTTTTGTGACAGTAAAGCTGCTCCTCACCATTGATCACCTCTACTGCAAAACTCTCAGTGGCAGGCAGAAGGTCGGTTGAAGAAACATGAGGCAAAAGGAATACTCCAAGTTTCAGATATGATGGTCTTCTGGGAGAACATATTTTTCCTTGTACATCTGCCCTCTGTTTGTTGCAACTATATTGGAAGATTTGGCTCTCCAAATACACTTCAATGACTGGTTCTAGAGAAACATCACAAAATTCTATCTTGTCCATGTAGCCACTACTACATACCTTATGACCATGCTTGCAACACAGTGGGTTTGGGCGGAACCACTCAGTAGCTACTCTGTGAATGCTGTCCCAATGAACTGAACGAGAACGTGGCACCCAGGAGAAGTCTTGTGTAGGTAGCTGAGTAAGTTCTTTCCTAACAGCTTCAGTTGTAGAAGAACTGAAATAAGGGCTAAACAACTGCAAGCACCTAATTGTAGTGCCAACTATGTTTGTACTCTCTGAAAGCTGCAGCATCATACCAAGAAAAAAGTTATCCTCAGGTGCACTGCAATCATTGTAAATAAATATCAACTTAGCTTCTACTCTTCGCTCTGAAATGTTGTTGGGCCGTATCCAAAACAAATGCTGCTTGTTTCCCTGCACCGATTTGTACTCTAGAGTTTCACCTGCAAGAAGGTGCCCAATAAGGGGGTCGAAGAATGAGTAACGATGTGGTGTCCCTCCAAACTCCACAGACCTCAGAAAGTCATTAGCTCCTTCTGCAAACCACTCGAATCTTCGAACAGAAGATACAGTTGGCTCGTCGATATTGCCGTGAAAGATGGATGATATCATTGACTTGGTGGCATGGGCAATTCGCTTAGGAAAGGATGAATTCCTTACTTGCTGTTCCACCTCCTCTTCTTCCTCGACACGCTGCCTACACTTGCGTAATGTGTCATCACACTCTTCAGCAGCACGCTTTAGCTTCTTCTGCCACCGTAATAACGGCCCACTAGTGATCTGCCACTTATTGGATGTCTCAAGAGCAATCTCCAACTTGATTTGCGCCATCTCCAGCCTCTCCATCTGCTCCTCCGCACTTGATTTTCGCTCATACTTGTCAACCAACCCAGATATGATTTTGTTCACTGTCTCATGAACGACCGCATAACTGACTATCTCTCCCATCTTCAGCTGCGAGATTAGCCTCCCTGATCTGCATAGAGCAAGATATATCGAAACATCAACCATGATGCCCATTAAAATCAAAAGATAGATGAGAGAATTTCTGATAAGAACTAGCAAAGCGCAATATCGCATCGTTGAAATATGTAAAGCACAACCTTCAGAGAATCTGAGTTGAATTAGTCGCAAGTAAATCGAAGCCACGCAGGTGCGACCAGAGAGTACCCAGCAGATAATAACTAGATTGAATGAATGGTGAGCATCAAAGTTGATGACTTTGGGGAGAAAATACGAGCAAAGCAAAGCTGGGCTCTCATGGAAGTTAGGCGGGTCTTGTTGAATGTATGGTCTAATACCACACCTGTTGAAAGTTGAGAGCACACTGCTCTCATTGACTGTTCAATCTTGCAGCGTGGCTAGTTATTGAAGAAAAACTGTCCTCGTCACTGCGATCCTTTTCCTAAAAGAAAGCTCTCATTGACTGTCCAATCTTGCAGCGTGGCTAGTTATTGAAGAAAAATTGTCCCCGTCAGGCCGTCACTGCGATCCTTTTCCTAAAAAAAAAAATCCTAGTGAAATCAGTTCCGGCTTACTTGTGTTGACTGGTAGGGATCTGGGAATTCGATAACTATATTATCGGCGACTTGAAGTCGTCTTTTGGTCTGAAAAAATCATTATTGGCGACTACGAATTATCTGCGACACGTTGCTTGTGCAGTGGACTAACCTATCCCCTAAACAGAACAGCAACAAATTAAGCTGGACGAAACAGATCGCGGGATGCGATGAAACCTAGCCGTACCTCGATCTCAACGCGCCTCGCCGTGGCCGCCGCGAGGAAGAAGCTGGCCTCCTCCTCTCCGCATCGCCGGGCTCTCGCCGCACGAGCACGCACAAATGGCCGCCCCCACAGTGGCAGGCTGGCAGCAGCAGCAGCGGATCGAGGAAGGCAACGCCATTCCCCCGGACCACCTTGCGCCGGCATGGCCTCGCCTGGATCGTTCGTCCGCGGCGGCGGCGGAGGCCTGCTCGCGCGGTGGACGGCGGTGGTTGCCGTGGTGGTCGGAGTGGAGAGTGGAGAGACGAAGGGCTTTGGTGCGGCCCAAGTGATAGTGAATTAGTGATAGCTCGGCCCAGTCCACTGAAGCCCAAATTTAAGCCCACTAACTCATGGGCTTCTTGAGCCGCCCTAGGATGTACTTTCACTACCAGTTGGGCCGAATGCACAACCCATTCGTCTACACCATATGTCTCCTTCCTTCGGATGTGTCTCAGGAGAGGAAAATATACACCAAATGATACAAGTCATTAGCGATTGATTAATTGAGTATTAATTATTTAAAAATATTAATATGATTTTTTAAACAACTTTTATATAGATTTTTTTTTAAAAAATACACCATTAAGCAATTTGGAAAACATGAAAAAAAAAACAAAGTTTTTCTTCCCCTTTCTTCTCGGAACTAACACAGCCTTCCTCGATCCTACAGAAGCAGCATTACGAGATGCTAGTTCTATGTTAGGCTGTTTGATTCGGTTCATTTGCCAGCAGATGATCATGATGGGAATAATCAAGTCTCCAGTATCTTAAACTCTTTGATCAAATGGAGACTAGCTGGACCATGTAAAACCTTTGTCGTGCTTGAAGAATTCTCATGAAATTGCTGTCTGATCATCACCTAACAAATAGCATAATAAAAAGACAAGTTGCTTGGAGATCTGAAATACTAAAAGGAAACAGGGTGAGGCATGCAAAATTCAGACAAAATGACCGATTACACATCAAAGCTTCAACACCATGTTGAGCTCATATTTACATACCAGAGCAATTTTATGGTTCTTGAGTAGGTACTATGAGGTACCATTTTTTCTATTATAAATTTGGTACCTCTTGGTATCTAGGTACTATGATGTACCAAATTTTACACTAAAATTTTGGTACCTCATGGTACCTCCTTAAGGACCGTAGAATTGCTCTTTTCAGAATCTCCACCAAGTAGGGCCTCCCTCCTCTCTTGGCATAAGTCGGTCTGGCTTAATGCGTTGTGTATCGAATATTCTTATCTTCTAATATATTAACGTGCAATCCTTTTGCGCGTTCGAGAAAAAGCCAAATAGGGCCTGAATCCAGTCCACCACTGAGAATTGCATCAGGATAGGACTACCCTGAACCCACAACTCTAGAAATTCAGAGATCACAGCTGCTTGGCTCTCCAGCTCAAGGTCATGTCGTTGCAAAAACGTTACTCATTCAGGGCTTGAGGCCACCGTCGTCTACCTTTACACCCGCCATTGAGTCGGCCTGCACCTTGCCATCTCCGTGCCCATCTTCTCCACGCACAGGTAGGCGACGCCATGGCCGGATCTCCAGAACACCTCATGCGCCGCAGCCTCGTGGCACAGGCGATCGACGGCGTTCGGCAGCAGCTCCTCCATCTCACGCCATCCAACGTTAGTGCGCACCGCTTGCTCCTCCCTCCCGTCGATCGCCACGACGGCGACGCTCTTGGCTCCGGACGGCAGCTCCTCCGGCGAGGCGTGCGGCGCGAAGACGGCCGTCACCTGCAGCAGAGTCGGCCCCGAGCAACCCATGTTGGCATGACCACATGAACATGAATATGATGAAGAAGACGATGTTCTCTTGTGTCGTGTAGCAGAGACATGGCGTTGCACGACCAATTTGATCACCGGCTCCGGGAATGCACCTAACGGCTCAACCATGTCACTGCTTCTGCGGCGACCATGGTGCTCGTGTTCTTCTTCGCAGCATGCCGGGTTTGGGCGAGCACGGTGAGTTTCGGATTGGTGGATTCTCGAGTACTCTGGATCAGTAGAAGCAACAAACGGGAAGCAGTAGAAGCCTCGCTGGTGGAACTGAGCGAGCTCTTGCCTCACAGCTTCAGTAACAGGCTTGAAATTGGAGGTAAGCTTCTCCGAGCACCTGGCCATAATCCCGACCACATTCGTGCTTGCTGTCACCCGTATCAAAATTCCGAGGAGGAAGTTTTCCTCTGGCCTCTCATGGTTCTTGTACTGAAGAAACACACAGGCTACTACTCCTCGCTCTGCAAATCGTAGTGGCCGTGCCGCTAGGTAGTACCCACTTATTCCAGGAGGATTTTCAAACTGCAGAGCTTTGCCGGCAAGAAGGGGACCTGTGAGAGGATCAACGAGCATGTAGTTGATGCTGCCTATGCTGCCGAACTGCAAGAATCTCAGGAACTCACCGGCGCCATCAGCAAACCTTTCAAACCTCTGAATGGTCGAGGTTGTGATTAGGCTATCAACATTCTTGTCGCCGGAGAAAGAGGAGAAGAATGATCTTGTCTCATGGGCGATCCGTCTGGGGAAAGAGCATCGCCTGATCTGCTGCTCCATCTCATCGTCTTCCATGGCGCGACGCTTGCATCTGTTCATGACTTGGCTGCACTCTTCGGAGGCGCACTTCAGCTTCTTCCTCCAACGCAGCAGCGAGGCATCTGTGACCGGCGGCCACTTTCCGGACATCTCCAGAGCGGCCTCCATTCTGATGTGTGCCATCTCCAGCCTCTCCAGGCCATCTTCCTCACTTAGTTTCCGTTTATGCTTGTCGACGAAGAAGGTGGAGACCCTGCTCACAGCCTCGCCAACTACCGCAGAAGCAACTACTTCAGACATCATGATGTTCTGTTGATTACCCCAGCCTGGTTATAAAAGGGGATGGAAAGGTCAGGTTACAACTTATAATTGTTCACTACAGAACCAGAGATACGGAAGTTTATAAGAACTTAGCAATTAGCACAAAATGTACTCACCTCAATAAGCTGCTTGAAACTAGTGCTTTGGTCATACTGCAATATTGTGACTTGTCAAGAGCATAAATCTGTTTGGTGAATATGGGGGTTCAGTTTTCTTCACAATGTCAATTGGACAGTGAAAGGTCCTTAAGTAACATTTGTACCAGAACACACGTTGTGACATAGACATTTGATAATTAATTAATGTGATCGTGAAAGCGATGACAAGTCTTCCCTTCATACTGCCTGTATTTCTCCAAATACTCTATCACTGAATCAACTTTTGAGTAATACATATGTTCAGGCCAAGAAAATTGCTTGCTGTAGTTGTTTAAAAAAAAAGGATTAGTCTTCCTCTGTGGAAGGATCCATCAAATATATAAAATGAAATAACTAAGCAAAAGAAAAGTCTAAGATTGAACGATATATTCTGGTGACAAACTGATTAGTCTCAATAGCAGACTAGTCAGTCAATAGCAGACTAGTCAGTCAGAAGAAATAAGGTGCACCGCAGCTAACCGTAAAGCTTTGCAAATGGACTGGAAATTATTCTGAACAACTGTAATGGAATATCTGTCTAGTTGATGAATAGTCTTGTGTTGGCTTGGCATGTCCACCACTCACCCCATCCACGGGCTCACCAAGTCACCAATCAGTTTGTTCACCTTGCTGCTCTTTTTTTGCATCTTCCTTTGCATCTGCGTTTCAGCACATGACAAAGTTAGAATAAATATTCATGTGTTTTCTAGTTTCATTTTGAAATTATCCAAAATATTATAATTTTAAACCACCCAGAGGTTATCGCTGTCAAACTGGGAATTTCCAGTAAATAAGCCATACTGGATGAAAATAACAAAATAAAAAGAAAGTGCATGGGAATATGAGAAAGCAGGCAATTGAGTGAGAAATGATAATTTTCTTATAGCCCACAATCATGATAGACTCATGTAAATTCAAATGAAACCAGACACATCGAATGAGCAAGGCTGGTACATTAGACTTCTAGGGCAAGAACATCATGTTATCACCATTTGCCAACATAACTGACGAGACAAACAACAGCAGTATATGTAGAACATTTCAGATGAATACACTCCTAAGTACTTAGAAACCAACTCCCTACATGTTACTTTTCTCCCCCATTCTTTTAATTTTAATTATCCCTGTTTCCCTTCTAGTCCCTATTACATCATCTAAAATGTCAGTAGAGGACCTGCTACTTTCTTCTCCTTCCGAATCCAGTCAAGGAGTGAGCCCTGAAGCCGGACAGGTGCATGCACAGCCCAAAGGCTGAGGAAGTCAGCGACCTCATGTCTGTGATTGTGTGTCCGGCGATCATGTCGTCGCAACATCTTTGCTTTCCTGGCTCCTCGAATGGTTCTCCGTGTGCTCCGCATGTTCATTGTTGCCTTCACAGCCTGAAGAAATGCACCACCATGTTTAGACTTCCAAAGCATCTGATACGCTGTTGCTTTTGCATTCTGACGAAAACAATCTACAGCCCTTGGCAGCATGAACATTTGTGTGCAAGCAATGTTGCTCGTTACCATTAATCACCTCAATCACAGTACTATCAACTGCTGGGAATAGGTCTTCTGAAGAGCCATGGGGCGTATAGACAAGGATAACATTCAGATGCGGAAATTCTTTAAGTGAAGATTTACCCTCAACAATTGTTCCCTGTTCTCTGAACCCAGGAGGTGAAACTTGGCACAGTAAACTCACTTCAATGATGGGTTCTAGAGAAATATCTGTTAATTCTACCTTGTGCAAGTTCCCACTACCACATACTTTCTGACCATGATGCTTGCAACACAGTGGATTTGGGCGGAACCATTCAGTAGCTATACTATGAATGTTCTCCCAACCGTATGAGTGAGAATGTGACACCCTGGAGAAGTCTTGTGTAGGTAGTTGAATAAGTTCTTTCCTAACAGTTTCAGCTGTAGACTCAAAATAAGGAGTAAACAACTGCAAGCACTTAATTGTAGTACCAACTATGTTTGTACTCTCTGAAAGTTGTAGAATAATATCAATGTAAAAGTTGTCCTCAGGTGCACTGCCATCATTGAAAGCAAAGAACAACTTAGCTTCTATTCCTCGCTCTGCAGAGTTATTGGGCCGTACCCAAAACCAATGCTGCTTGTTTCCCTGTATTGATTTGTACTCTAACGTTTCACCTGAAATAAGGTGCCCGATAAGAGGGTCAAAGAACAAGTAACGGCGTGGTGTGCCTCCAAATTCCACAGATCTTAGAAAATCATTAGCTCCATCTGCAAACCACTCGAATCTTTGGACAGAAGATCTACCCAGCTCATCACTATTGCTGTGAAAGATGGAAGATACCAGTGTCTTGGTGGCATGGGCAATTCGCCTAGGAAAGGAAGAATTCCTTACTTGTTGTTCCACCTCATCTTCTTCCTGGATATGTTGCCTGCACTTCCGTAGTGTGTCATCACACTCTTCAGTAGCACGCTTCAGCTTCTTCTGCCAACGTAACAACGGGCCACTAGTGATCTGCCATTTATTGGATGTCTCAAGTGCGAACTCCAACTTGATTTGTGCCATCTCCAGCCTCTCCAGGTGATCCCGTGCACTTGATTTTCGCTCACACCGGTCAATCAACCCAGATATGATCCTGTTTACCGTCTCTTGAACGATAGCAGAACCGACTATCTCTTCCATCTTCAGTAATCCTTCCCTGATCAACACAGAGCAAGATATATCAATACATCGATCAAAATATAGATAGAGTTAATTGCATATTGGACCGGCTTTCTTTACCATGGTCGCAGCTTGGACTAGGAACAAGCTATTATTTTCACTTTGGGCTAGTAATTTTTACAAAATGTTACACTTAGGACCTAGTGTTCTTCTTCCAGCTCTGCTTCCTCACTCTCTCTACCTTCAGATTGAGATTCACATACCTGGCTAGTTGGTTTTAGTAGAGATAGAGCTCAAGCTCCACCAGTACAGTCATGCTCGAGCTCTACTCAGCCAGTCAGCCTTCGCTGCCCCTGCCACATTCATTCGTGCTCAAGATTTAATGTGCAGCCTTGATTAAGTGCCCTAGCTCCAATTAAGCTAGTACTGCCATGGATGAACTTGGGCTAGAATGGGACCTATTGACTAGTTGGTGGAGCATAAGTGTGGAGTGATAACATATGGTGTTAGAATTTCCCACCGTGCCACCGTGATTCATTGGCTATGTGCTAATTGAGCTCAAGCTGGAGCTCTGCCGTGTGCCGTGTTGAGCTCAAGACGGAGACTACCACACACTCAAGCTCAGGCGCTGACGTAGGTCAAACACGTAGATGGAACCTGAGGAAGTGTGGTGAGCTCGAACTAAAACAGGGAAGAGAAGAGAAAAGGGGGAGATCTAGAGGAAGAACAAGACTGGTTCAATATGAAAATTTTTGCAAAGATTTCTGGTTCAAACCGAAAAGAATGTCCTACCTCTAGTCCAACATGCAACAATGGTCAATAAAAGTGGCCCAGGATGCAATTTTCTCATATAGATAAGTGAATTCCTGATAAGTACTTATAAAGTATACCTTTGAAGTATATGCAAACCCAACCTTCTGAGTTGAATTAGTAGGAAGAAACTTGAGGGAACACAGGTGCCTTCTGAGTTGAATTAGTAGGAAGGAACTTGAGGGAACACAGGTGCCTTCTGAGTTGAATTAGTAGGAAGGAACTTGAGGGAACACAGATGCACCAGAGAGTACCCAGCTGGCAGCTGCCAGCAGACGATAACTGGATTGAATGAACGGTGAGCATAAAGGTCCATGTCCTTGGTGGAGAAAACTCAAGTAAATCAAAGATGTGGACGTTAGGTAAGCCTTATTCTCCAGTTGATTATGCCCTCTTTGACTGACCAATAGTAAATTTTGTTATTAAGACTGAAAGACCAAGAACGGCTATAGAGGGGGGGTGAATATAGCAATTCAAATCTTGCCCCCGAAAATACTCATCAAGCCGGATTTCTCAAAATCCTTACTAGAACCGCGGCTATTAGAGAAGCCGGATCTAGAAAAGAAGATAGAAGGAATTCCCGAAACTAGAAGAGGAAGAGAAAAGGAATTCCCGAAACTAGAAGAGAGGTGAGGAGGAGTGAGCAAAACTCATCATCGCAAAGTTCAAATTGCAAGCGGAATTTAAATTGTGGAATTTAAATGGACAAGACAAAAACGAAATCCTTCAAATCATTTCATTCATAGGTGATGCAAAATAACCGCTCAACTAGGAGCAAACATACACCTTCAGAGGAACATTAACACAAACTTAAAATCTCTCGGACAAACACACTCCAAACTAATCCTAATACAAAAGCCTCTCGGGCAAACACACTCCAAACTCACACGAAAACTCTCTCACCAAGCATCTCAAAAGGATTACCAAAGGAGCAACCTCCACCCTTGCATCCATCTCTCTATTTATAGCCTAAGACCCCTAAGACATTGTCTCAAATACCCCTAGGACGAAACCCTATCTCAGATGCAATCCTGGCTGTTCATTCTTCCTTACATGCGAAGGAAACCTCTTAGATGCTTGCCACGTCGTCGATCCGAAGACTCCTCGCACCCCCGATCCGCGTCGTGTCCATCCGAGCCTATCCACATGCGCCATGTGTCCACGTGCTCCGCGCGCGCTCGTGCTCTGGCCAGCGAGCGAAGTTTCCCGCGCATCCCGTCCAAAATCTGCGTAGGACCCACGCGGTATAGCTCCCGCGAGAGAGCGCGCGGTCAAGTCCGCGCCTGCCGCGTGTCCCTCACGCGCGCGCGCCGTCGCCGAGATCTCCCGCGCTCGCCTCCGAGTTGCTGCCTGCCGCGTGTCACGTCTTCCTGCCGATGCCGTGGTCCGTCGAACGGGAGGACGCCACGTCGCCCGTACGGCTCCCGCCCCCCGCATGCCTTGTCTTCATGGGCCCGTCGCCGTGGGCTGTCTCCATCTTGGGCCAGTCAGGACCGGCCATGTGGCCTCCTGCTGACCGAACACCCGAGCCGGACAGGCCGGTTGGCCTCTCTTCCAGCCAGCCCACATGCAGTCATGCATGGTATTGGACCATATGCACGTATGCACTGCCGAAGCATCACAAGCTAGCTAGCTAATCAACTAGCTGCCCATGCTTGCATATGCACACACTAGTGCATATATGCAAGCTCTTCTTCCATTCACCATTTTCTTTGCGCACCCGGCACTTGCACTTGACCTTGCAAAGTCCGTTGCAAAGACCTCCTCATACGGTGTTCGTCCACCGTGTGCAACCTTGTGTCCAATCTTGTCACCCGGTATCCTTGATCGCTTTGGACCTCAACTCCTCCCTGAGTCTAGTCCCGATCCACCGTTGACCAAGATCGACCCCGATCACCTACACACACATGAACCAAACAACCATTGTCTTGGCACAGATGTCGCAACCTGACCAATGTTAGTCCACGCACACACTTCTTGCACTTCCGGTACTTGTCAATTTCCCATCACAAAAGAACTGTAACCACACATGGTTTCACAAAGACATTCACCGCAACCAAACCAAAAAAGATGCTTCCGAATGCTGACTGACCAATATTGCAGAAAGGCTAGCTGAAACCACAACATAATGGTAATTTTCCACATTCCAGAAGCTGGAATCATGGTAATGAGTTGCCAAGGCTTGCTTGCTGATTTAATTTTTTAAAGTTATGCATAGGATGCATTCCTCAATTAGCAGACATGTTTGCAACTCCAGCGTTGGCATTTGCTTGCCATTCCGCTGGTAATAAGCCTGTTCTTGGTAATATTCCTCCAGATTACATAAGATTTTAAAAGTAAAATCTTGGTATATAGTTGATGAAACGTGCTTGCTATTTTTGGTTTCTAAATACTCCTCTTAATACACATTACAGAAAAAAAATGCTAGAAATCTTGAATTTCACGTAGTGAAAAGAAGAAAAATCATCGTCACCGCAATCACTTCCAGTTAGGCGGCTACTCATCTTGACCGGTTGAATAGATATGGCGTAATAGACATGATCAGGTAGTGATATGCAGGGAGATCGAGCCTTACCTCGAACTAGTGCGCCACGGCCGCCGAGGGCTCCTCCTCCATCCCCGCATCGCCGGCGGACGCGCTCGTATCGTATATGTGGCGCCACGTGGAGACAGTAGTGGCAGAGGATCGAGCAAGGGAACGCCATGCCCGGACCTCCTTGCGCCGCCGGCGCCGGTCCACGCGCAGCCTGCCTCATCGCGGATCGTCCGGCCGGCGGCGGAGGCCATGGCTGCCGGCCACGGTGGCGGCCGTGTGTCGCCTGCTTACGCAAATGGAGACGGAGGAGGATTTGTGCGGCCCAGTTATCATCAGCAAAAGAGAGCCGATCTCGGCTCCAAAAAAGCCCACACTAACACCAGGCAATAATTACGCAGCCCGTATGAGATAAAATTTTTTAGGTTAATTAGATCCATGCCACTGTAACTTTGACAAATTAAAAAAATGTTACTACCATTCGTCATATCCGCTACATGTCACTGGGAATTTTTAAAATTGGAACCCAGGGGGAGGACGGCCATGGAGCAGGGCCTTCTCGGCGGTTGTTGGTGATGGGAGCGGTGGAGCCGCGTCGGGCCGCAACGGCGCGCGAAGGCACGCAAGGCCGGTGGTGCGGCGGAGGTGCACCGGGCAACGGGGGGCCTGCAGGGGAGGCGGAGGCGCGCGGGTCCGCGCAAGGACGGCAGAGGTGGAGGGGCCACGCATGGCCGCGGAGGCCGCGGAGCCGCACGTGGCCTCGTGCAGTCGCGCTCGTCCACCGCCTCGTCACCGACGGCGACCCACACTCTACCCCATGGTGGACGCAGCTATGCTCCGACGTCGCCGTCGTGCTCGCCATCCTCCTTGACCGCTTCTTCGACATGGAACACCGCCAAGCAAACCGACGACGTCGGCCTCGCGCGGTTGGTGGACTTTGCCGACGTCAAGCGCATCAACGACAGAATGCATCTATGGGCGGGCAAGCTAGACCCGCTGCTGCTACAAGGGATGTATGACCAGGGTGCCATCTGACAGTAGGTGGGCGTGCAGGCAGCCACGGGGAGCGCGAGCAGCGTGGCGGCACCGTGCCACGCTCACGGCACGTGGGGCCGATGGAGCCGGCAGAGCCGCGCGTCGAGCGGAGGAGGCCGGCCGGCGCAGACGGCGGAGCCGTGGAGAGGAGGGGGATGAGGACGGGAATAGAGACGGCATAAGAGAGGAGGATAGAAATTATGACCGGAGTGGCATGGTTCTAATTTTAATAACTTTCAGTGGCATATAGCCGATACGATGAATAGCAGTGGTATTTTTTTAATTTGGCAAATTACAGTGGCATAGATCCAATTAACCCAAAAATTTTACAGCCAGGTCCCTCAATGTTTAAATGATATCCCCCGCAAAAAAAATGTTTAAATGATACGGAGTATATGGATTGCTAATTTGCTATATCATTCCTAACGATCTGGTTATTTACAACCAGTCAATCAGGTCTCCATTTGGGATCGCTATATGGTAATGATCCGACCTTTTGCAAATCAACTCCACAAACTTTTTTACACACAGGTCAAATGGAGAAACTATTTAATGTAAACAATCTGAAAACTATCGTTAATTCAAAAAATATATATACGCTTGAGATTTGTTCATGTCACAATTGCGAGTAAAAATTTCCGTGCATCACCAATGCATCCTCACCGCAAAAACCATGGCAAATTCAGCTGTAATTTTACTCACAGTTATGACGTGGAAAAATATTACTATACATCTATTTTTAGATCCAACAGTAAATTTTCACTGTATATTTTCCATGTTGTGGGTGGACAGGAAGCAAATCCTCTAACATGAAACCCTACATGTCAAGCACCATGTTTCTCTGACTGGCCCACATGTCAGTCACCACATATTAGCAGAAGAGGCGAGCGCCACCGTCGTCTCTACCTTTACTCCCGCCATTGAGTCGGCCTGCACCTTGCCATCTCCGTGCCCATCTTCTCCACGCACAGGTAGGCGACGCCATGTCCCGACCTCCAGAACACCTCGTACGCCGCCGCCGCCGACGATCCATCCACCGTGCCATGGACGTCGTGGCAGTGGCACAGGCGATCGATGGCGCCAGGCAGAAGAAACTCATCCACCTCGCGCAATCCGATGTCCGTTCGCACGGCTGGCTCCTCCCTCCCATCGATCGCCACGACCGCGGCGCTCTCGGATCCTGACGGCGGCAGCTCCTCCGGCGAGGCGTGCGGCGCGAAGATGGCCGTCACCTGCAGCAGAGGCGGCGGCCCGGAATCTTCAGAGGATCTCCTCCTCTCGCCGTCGCCGCCGTGACCAGATGATGATGGTCGCGCCGAGACATGCCGCTGCACGAACAGTTTGATCACCTGCTCCGGGAATGTCGTCGTCCCTGACAGCTCAACCATGTCACTGCTTCTGCTCTGGCCATGGCAGCATGCCGGATTTGGACGAGCACGGTGAGTCTCGGAATGGTGGATGCTCCAGTACTCTGGATCAGTAGAATCCACAAAGGGGAAGCAGTAGAAGGCTCGGTGGTGAACCTGAGTGAGCTCCTGCTTTGCAGCTTCAGCGACCGGCTTGAAACTAGGGAGAAGTGAATCCAAGCACCTGGCCACAATCCCAGTCACGTTCGTGCTTGCTGTCAAACGTAGAAGAATTCCAAGAACAAAGTTCTCCTCTGGCCTCTCATGGTTGTTGTAGCGAAGCAACACACCGGCTTCTTGCCCTCGTTCTGCGAAACTCATTGGCTTTGATATTAGGTAGTACTGATTTCCATGAGAACTTTCATACTGCAGTGCTTTGCCTGCGAGGAGATGCCCAGTGAGAGGATCAACGAGCATGTAGTTGATGCTGCCTATTCTGCCAAACTCCATGAATTTCAGGAACTCGCCGGCGCCATCGGCGAACCTTTCAAACCTCTGAATGGTTGAAGTGGAGTTCAGGCTATCAACATTCTTGTCAGCGGCGAAGGAGGAGAGGAATGATCTTGTGGCAAGGGCGATCCGTTTGGGGAAAGAGCACCGACTGATCTTCTCCGTCTCATCGTCTTCCATGGCGCGGCGCTTGCATCTGTCCATGACATGGCTGCACTCGTCGGAGGCTCGCTTCAGCTTCTTCCTCCAACGCATAAGCGAGGAATCCATGGCCAAAGGCCACCTGCTGGACACTTCCAGGGCGGCCTCCATCTTGATGTGTGCCATCTCCAGCCTCTCCAGGCCATCTTCCTCGCTTGATTTGCGGTTATGATTGTCGATGAGGAAGGTGGAGATCCTGCTCACAGCCTCACCGACGACCGCAGAAGCGATGACCTCAGACATCAGGATGTTCTTGGTGATCACTGCTGCCCTCTATTAAAAAGGGAATTAAAGGTCAGGTGACAATTATTCATCACAGAACTAGAGATACTGGACTTCAGCACAAAATATACTTACCACACCAAACTGGTTGAAACTGAAACTAGTGCTTTAAACTGATAGCTTTGCAGATTGTGAACAGCATAAACCTGAATCCAGATGGAAATGGTTCAGAGTCTTCACGATACCAATTAGACAGTGAAAAGTCATGAAGGAGCATCTGTACAATGAGTGATGTCATGAAGTTGACAGACATTAGGTAATTAATGTGACCGTGATAGCAAGATGACTAGTCTTCCCTTCACAACACCACAAGTCTGATGATTTGAATGTACAGTTGATTTGTCACAATCACACAAAACTTAAAAAGCTGCCTCGTTGACTGTCCCAATCTTGTAAAAAGTCTAGCTATTGAAGACAAATTATCCTCGTCACCGCAATCCTTTTCCTTGAAAATTCGTGGTAATGCTTCAATGTCATGTTAATCATGATCTTAAAAAACTGTGTTTCACTTGCATAAACTCCTAACAGTTTCAGCTGCACATACTTAATTATAGTGCCAACTATGTATGTACTTGCTGAAAGTTGTAGCATCAAACCAAAGAAAAAGTTATCCTCAGGTGTGTCTCTATCATTGTAAACAAAGATCAACTTAGCTCATGCTCCTCGTTCTACAATGTTATTTGCCTGTATCAAAAACAAGTGGTACCTGTTTCCCTGCACTAATTTGTAATCCAGCGTTTCACCAGCAAGAACGTGCCCCACAAGAGGGTCGAAGAACAGATAATAGCATGGCGTCCCTCCAAACTCCACAGATCTCAGAAAATCATTAGCTCCATCTGCATACCACTCAAATCTTCGAACAACAGATCTATTTGGCTCATGGATATTGCCGTTATAGATGGATAATACTAGAGACTTGGTGGCATGCACAATTTGCATAGGAAAGGATGAATTCCTTACTAGTTGTTCAGCCTCTTCTTCCTCGACGTGCTGCCTACACCTGCATATTTTGTTATCACACTCTTCCACAGCTTCTTTTGCCAACGTAATATCGGGTCACCAGTAATCCGCCACTTATTTGATGTCTCAAGTGTAACCTCCAACTTGATTTGTGCCATCTCCAACCTCTCCAGATGATCCGCTGTACTTGATTTTCACTCACAGCTGTCAATCAACCCAGATGATCCTCTGTCTCATGAACCACAGCAGAAACAACCACCTCTTCTATCTTCAATAATCTCTACCTGATCAGCACAGAGCAAGATATATCAATACATCAATCTTTTGCGAAATCGCAAAAGAATTGCACGTCAATATATTAGATCAATACATCATTCAGGATGCTCAAATAAAACAAAAGATAGATCAGTGAATTCCTGATAAGTACAAAGTGCATTGTTGAATTATCTGTGAACCCAACCTTCTGAGTTGAATTAGTAGGAAAGATCTTGAGGGAAAACAGGTGAGCCACAGAGTATCTAGCAGACGATAACTGGTTTGAATGAATGGCGAGAATGAAAGTACATGTCTTCGGTGGATAGAGAATCGAGCAAACCAAAGGTGGTTCTCTTTCAAGTTTGGTTAGTGCTCTAGTCTGTTCTCCAGTTGGTTTCTGCCCACTTTGACTGACCAATCGTCAATAGTCAATACTGAATGCTGACTGACCAATCTTCCAGAAAGGCTAGCTAAAGATAAATATTTTTGGAAATAAACCCCTGTAGGATTTGTTTTCAACATATAGGTCTCCATGTACACACTCCCCCTTCTGCCGCTGTACCACACCAAAACTGAATTTTACATGTAGCTCTCTCTCATAAGTCGATGGTTGGGCGCTCGCACTCCCCTCTTCCGGCCCTCCCGCTGGGGCGCCGCCACAAGCCACCAGCCACCACGCCGTCTTCGTTGCCGCACCAGAGCTGAGCGCGGCCAATGAGTCGGCCTGCACCCTGCCATCTCTGTTACCACATTCTCCATGCAGAGGTAAGCAACACCATGGCAAGACCTCCAGAACACCTCGTGCGCCGACGATTCATCCACCGCCTCGTGGCACAGGTGATTGACGGCGTTTGGCAGCAGCAACTCCTCCAACTCATGCAATCCAACATTGGTGTGCACGGGTTGCTCCTCCCTCCCATCGATCGCCACAACCGTGACGCTCTCAGCCCCGGACAGCAGCTGCTCTGGTGACGCGTGTGGCGCGAAGACGGCCGTCAGCTGAAGCAGAGGTGGCCCCGAATTTCCAGAAAAACCAGATGACGATGAAGACGATGATTGCTTCTGTCTCTGGCTCGTAGAGACATAGCGCTGCACGGCCAGTTTGATCACCGGCTCCGGGAATGCACCTGACGGCTCAACCATGTCACTGCTTCTGCTTCGACCATGGTGCTCGTGTTCTTCGCAGTCGCAGCATGCTGAGTTTGGTCGAGCACGGTGAGTCTCAGCATGGTGGATGCTCCAGTACTCTGGATCAGTAGAATCCACAAACGGGAAGCAGTAGAAGCCTCGCTGGTGCAACTGAGTGAGCTCCTGCTTTGCAGCTTCAGCAACAGACTTGAAATTGGGTGGTAGCAACTCCAAGCAACTAGCTACAATTGCAGTCACATTTGTGCTTGCTGCCAAGCGTAGCATAATTCCAAGAATGAAGTTTTCCTCTGGCCTCTCATGGTTTTGGTACCGAAGCAATACCCCGGCTTCTTGTCCTCGCTCTGCAAAACGCATTGGCCGTGCTGCTAGGTAGTACTGATTTCCATGAGAATTTTCATACTGTAGAGCTTTGCCTGCACGAAGGTGCCCAGTGAGAGGATCAACAGGCATATAGTTTATCCTGCCTATGCTGCCGAACTCCATGAATCTCAGGAACTCGCCGGCACCATTGGCAAACCTTTCAAACCTCTGAATGGTTGAAGTGGTGATCAGGCTATCAACTTTCTTCTGGCCAGTGAAAGATGATATGAACGATTTTGTGGCATGGGCGATCCGTTTAGGGAAGGCGCACTGCCTGACCTCCTGTTCCATCTCATCGTCTTCCATGGCACGGCGCTTGCATCTGTCCATGATTTGGCTGCACTCATCGGATGTGCGCTTTAGCTTCTTCCTCCAACGCAGGAGCGAGGCGTCTGTGACCCGAGGCCACCTGCTGGATATCTCGAGGGCTGCCTCCATTCTGATGTGTGCAATCTCCAGCCTCTCCATGCCATCTTCCTCGCTTAATTTCCATTTATGCTTGTCGATGAAGAAGGTGGAGATCCTGCTCACAGCCTCGCTGACTACCGCAGAAGCAACTACTTCAGACATCAGGATGTTCTTGTCGATTACCCTAGCCTGTTTGTAAAAGGGGATGGAAAGATAAGGTTACAACTTACAATTATATTCACAACAGAACTAGAGATATAGAGGTTTATAAGAATGTAGCACGGAATGTACTCACCTCACCAAGCTGCTTGAAACTAGTGCTTCAAACATACTGCGATTGTGACTTGTGAAGAGCATAAATCTGTGTGGTGAAGAGGGGAGTTCAATTGATTCACAATGGGACAGTGAAAGGTCCTTGAGTACATCTGTGCTGGAATTGATGTCATGATATAGAAATTTGGTAATTAATTAACATGACCGTGATAGCAAGATGACAAGTCTTCCCTCCACACCGCCTGTATTTCTCCAAATACTCTGTAACTGAATCAACTTTTGAGTAATACATATGTTCAGGCCGAGAAAATTGTGCCATAGTTGTTTCAAAAAGAGATGACAAGTCTTCATCTGTGGAAGGATCCATCCGATATAATGTGAATTAACCAAGCAAAAGAAAAGTCTAAGATTGAACGATAGATTCTGGTGACAAATTGATTAGTCTCAATCACAGACTAGTCAGTCAGAAGAAATAAGGCGCACCGCACGACTTGTCGACTTAACCAAAAACAATGCTTCCGAATGTTGACTGACCAGTCTTGCAGAAAGGCTAGCTAAAGATGAATCCTCTTCGTCACTGCAACATTTTTTTTTAAAGAAAAAATCATTGTCACTGGCTCAGTGCAATCACTTCCAGGCTTCCAGCTACTCCTCTTGACCGGTTGAATAGATCTCGCGCAGTAAACGTGATCAGGCAGTGATATGCAGGGAGACGGAGCCTCACCTCGTGCTATTGCGCCGCGGCCGCCGAGGGGAAACATCGGTCTCCTCCATCTCCGCATCGCCGGCGGACGCGCTCGTATATGTGGCGCCCCATGGAGACAGTGGTTGCAGAGGATCGAGCAAGGGAACACCATGCTCGGACCTCACCTCCTTGCGCCGCCGCCGCGGGTCCACGCGCGGCGTAGCCTGCCTCCTCGCGGATCGTCCGGCGGCGGAGGCCATGGCCGTGGCGGATGATGGTGGTCGGCGAGGAGGGTGAACTGGAGACGAAGGGGTGGCCCAGTTGTCAGCGAAAGAGAGTCCATCGCGGCCCAAGTATAAGCCCACACTTACACCAGGCAATTACGCAGCCCCCGGATCAGATGAGATCAGAAAATTTACAACCAGGTCCCTCAGGGCCGTTTTGGATTGAAGCCAAAACGTGCCATACCAAAATTTTGGTAATTTAAATAGAAAATGTGCTAGTTTGAATTGATGCCAAACAATTGGTAGTGCCCATGTTCAATTTGGCTATATTTTAGAATCTTCCTCACCATCCTATTAAAATTTGGCTTTATATTGGTCCCAAACCAAACATAGCTAGCTAACTTTGCTCTACCCAAAAAGTATGGTAGACACGCATGTCAATACATGGGTGGATGCACGCCCCCTTCTAACACCACCGGCCGTCACATTGGAGCACAGGAGGCAAGCGGCACCGTCGTCTACCATCAGACCAGCCATTGAGTCGGCCTAGGGACACAAGCAAGCCGACTTGCGAGCTCACTTATAGATCAAATATGTGATAATCCGTAGGTTTTTATATCGTGGTCCCGCTTGCCACATCTAGATATGTAAATAGATCAACCCATATATCCATTTATAGTTTAAATTAATAGATAACCCGCGAGTTACCCACTAAATTTTGCCTATAAATTAAACGAGCTCGTGGGTTGGCCCGCTTGTATCTCAAATCGGCCTGCATTTTGCCATCTCGGTACCCATCTTTTCCACGCAGAAGTTGGTAGGCGATGCCATAGTGGGACTTCCAGAATACCTCGTGCGTCGACGATCCATCCACAGCATCGTGGTTGTGGCTTTGGCGATCGACAACGAGTCAATGACTGGTAGAAAGAACTCCTCCACCTCAAACAGCACAGCCCAATGTTCGTTCATGGCTTGCTCCTCCCTTCCATCTATCGCCACAGCCGCGACGGCCGACGGTCATGTTTCGGGATAGCAACTCCTCCGGCGACGCATGTGTCACTTAGACCGCCTTCATCAGCAGCATAGATGCCAAGGAATTTTCAGAAAATCAACTACTCTCGTCGTTGCCGACCAGATAATTGTCGCACCGAGATATGTCGTTGCACGGACAATTTAATCACCGGCCGGCTTTAGGAATGCACCTGATGGCTCTGACCATGGTGCTCTTGTCCTTCGCGGCATGCCGGTTTTGGGCGATGTGCTAGCGGCTGGTGGGCCTTCTTGAAAACGAAAGGGTAGATGACTATTTTTTAATATAAAATCCTCTAATTTTTTTGGAGTAGAACAGAGTCTCTTGGAGCAAAAAGTTGTTATTGTTATAGTTCCTTTCTTTATTTATTATTTTCCTCAATAATAACGTGTCACTGATTTATAAGTTCTTTTTATCTTTAAAAAAAAGATATGCCTACATATATCTAATACGATATGACCGATGACAGGTATAGCCGGTGAGCTGGCTATTCTATTTGTCAAAAATAAGTAAATATTGTAGATAATTTTGAACTATAATATAATTTTATTTTGATGATAGCCACGTAATAGCAGGGCCAACCTTGCTATTTTTTTTTTACATTGAGTAATTTGTATTGGTGGTACACAAAACTTATTAGGTGGGTGCAATTAAGTATATAAATTTATAAAATGCTCGTTTTAATACACGAACTTGTCTAATTCTTGCGAATGAGGATCAAAATAACTTGGCAATGCTAATTATACGAAACCGATGTTGATTAGGATGTGATGTGAATACGTGTAGTGAGTATGCATAAGATATGCAATATTTATAATTTGATCCTTACTTTATCCATGATGAATTTCATATATTTTTAACCCTTATATCATTGCTTGGTATTTTTAAAAATCTTTTTCTACAATCACTATATCCTATTCTATTTTTTTATTGAAGAGGTGTATATCTAATTACAACCTTCTTATATACTCCCTCTGTATTTTAATGTATGACGCCGTTGACTTTTTAACCAACGTTTGACTATTCGTCTTATTCAAACTTTTTATGCGAATATAAAAATACTTATATCATGCTTAAAAACATTTGATGATAAATCAAGTCACAATAAAATAAATGATAATTACATAAATTTTTTGAATAAGACGAAAGGTCAAACGTTTGTCAAAAAGTCAACAGCGTCATACATTAAAATATGGAGGGAGTATATGTTTACATAGTATCATAATCAGCCCCTAAATCAATAAGATTAGCCATGTAGTGTCATTTTCATCTTTCTCCGCACGTACCAGACAAGTTCATGCACCAAAATAAGCATTTTACAAATTCGTGTACCGGCGATGCAATTTACTCTTTACATTCATGACCCTACCCGGCTACTTGCAACGGATGTCAGCAACCCACAAATTTACAATCAGGTCTGTCATTGGATCACTACCACAATCAGGTCACTCATAGAGATTACAAAATTTACAATCGAAATCCCTAATTTTGGCATTTCTTTTTTTGCAAATCAATACCTATCAGTTTTTGTTTTTTTTTTAGAACTAGGGCCAGAGAGCCCCCATTTCTCTTACTAGAAATGAGCATATCCTTACAAAGTCAGGGAAACAAAAACAAATACGAGGAAAGAAAGCTAAAGAGCTTATCCAGATGCCTCACAGGGCTCGATGGCTGAACACGAATAACATCATTCGGTCATCAAAAGGATAAAACAGATCACAAAAAACTAATAACATCTTCATCCTTCTATCCTCCAGATTCCAGGTCTCCATCCATGTCTTGAGCAGAAGATGTCACTTGCCACCTGTCTTATAAGTCTGGCTCCCAACTGCAGTCTTCTTCGATTTGCTTCCAACTTCTGCAAAGATGCCCAGGAATCCACCCAGGAACAAGCCATAAAGACCAAATCAGTAGGATCTCTTGGAAATTTATTTTCAAAACAAGCTTTATTCTTGGACTTCCAAATTGTCCAAATGATTGCAGCTAAACCAATCACAATCAAGTGTTTCATGTTTTTATCATGTCTATCCAGCCAATGTCCAAAAATATCCTGATGATTCAAAGTAGGCAGTATATCCAAAGCACAACACATGATATTCCAGAGAAGTTTGGCCAAAGGGCATTCAAAAAACAAGTGCTGTATATCCTCTTTTTTATCACAAAATTGACACTTTTCATTCCCCTTTCTCCAACCTTTTTTATACAAGTTTTCCTTAGTGAGAATTTTGTTTTTAACAAACAGCCAAATAAAGACTCTAATTTTCAGAGGAATCTTAAATTTCCATATTTTCTTTTGAGGGAAAGACACCTGATGCATTTTAAGGGCTTTGTAAAACGATTTCACAGAAAAAATTCCATCCTTTGTCAAATTCCAATAGATTTTATCTTCAGAGTCATCCTGTAAGTTCAGACTTTCCAGACTGTTTTTGATTCTCACCCAATCTCTCAGTTTATCTCCCTCTAGATCTCTTCTGAATTTGATGCATTGCAAGCCTTTCATTTTCACCTTTGCAATTGTCACATGTTTGGTCAAAGCTATATTGTACAGATTTGGAAACTGAATGTTAAGGGGTTTTCCACCTATTCAGCTGTCCTCCCAAAACAAAGTTCTTTTCCCATTCCCCACTTTTTTTGAACAAAATTTAAAAAAATCATCCTTTACTTCCATCAACCCATGCCAGAAATGAGAGTTACCCTGTTTAAAGTTTACCTCAGACATAGTTTTATTTTTCAAATATTTCCCCCTAAGAATCTCCTGCCACCAACCTTCTTTGTTTTCCAAATTCCAAATCCATTTCCCCAACAAGGCCTTATTCATAATGTCCAGGTCCAGAACACCTAAACCTCCTTGATCTCTAGGTGAACAAATAATGGGCCATTGCACTAAATGATATTTTCTGATGCCTTGGTCCTCCTGCCACAAAAACCTCCTCCTGAAGAAGTCCATTTTTTCTTTCACTCCTTTGGGTAACTTGAAAAATGAGATCATATACATGGGAACACTGCTTAAACTAGAATTGATCAAAATTAATCTTCCCCCTATTGACTATCAGTTTTGGTTTTTACATAGCTCTCATAGATCGATGGCTGCGCGGAGTGGGCGCTTTCTCTTCCATCCTCTTGTTCTCCCGCCGCCGCCGCCACCACCAGCCACCGCGCCGTTTCCGCCGCCGCACCAGAGCTGAGCTCGGCGATGCCACAACCTTTCACAATGACACGGCCAATGAGTCCGCCTGCACCCTGCCATCTCTCTTCCCATCTTCTTCAAGCAGAGGTAGGCGACACCATGGCCGGACTGCCACAGCACCTCATGCGTGGACGACGACGACGACGATCCATCGTACGCCGCCTCATGGCGGCACAGGCGATCGATGGCGTTGGGCAGCAGAAGCTCCTCCACCAACATTCCTGTGCACGGCTTGCTCTTCCCTCCCGTCGATTGCTTCGACAGCAACGCTCCGGGCTCTGGGCGGCAGCTCCTCCAGCCAAGCGTGCGGCCCGATCACGGCCGTTAGCTGCAGCAGGGGTGTCCTCCTATCGCCATGACCAGATGATGATGATGATGAAGAAGACGATGATGGCTTCTGCCATGCAGAGATATACCGCCGTACGACCAATTTGATCACCGGCTCCGGGTATCTACCATGGTGATTGTGTCCTTGGCAGCATGCGGAGTTTGGGCGAGCATGGTGAGTCTCTGAATGGTGGGTCCTCCTCGAGTACTCTGGATCGGTAGAATCAACAAAGGGGAAGCAGTACAAGGCTCGATGGTGCACCTGAGTGAGCTCCTGCTTTGCAGCTTCAGCAACAGGCTTGAAATTGGGTGGTAACAACTCCAAGCACCTGGCCACAATCCCGGTCACGTTCGTGCTTGCTGCCAAACGTAGTAGAATTCCGAAAATGAAGTTCTTCTCCGGCCTCTCATGGTTCTGGTACCAAAGCAACACCCCGGCTTCTAGTCCTCGCTCTGCGAAACTCATTGGCCATGCTGCTAGGTAGTGCTGATTTCCTTGAGAAATTTCATACCGTAGAGCTTTGCCTGCAAGAAGGTGCCCGGTAAGAGGATCAACGAGCATGTAGTTGATCCTCCTGCCTATGCTACCGAATTCCATGAATCTCAGGAACTCGCTGGCACCATCAGCGAGCCTTTCAAACTTCTGAATGGTTGAAGTGGTGATCAGGCTATCAACTTTCTTCTGTCCAGTGAAAGATGATAAGAATGATCTTGTGGCATGGGCGATCCGTTTAGGGAAGGCGCACTGCCTGACCTCCTGCTCCATCTCATCATCTTCCATGGCACGACGCTTGCATCTTTCCATGACTTGGCTGCACTCATCAGATGTGCGCTTCAGCTTCTTCCTCCAACGCAGGAGTGAGGCGTCTGTGACCGGAGGCCACCTGCTGGATATCTCCAGGGCTGCCTCCATTCTGATGCGTGCCATCTCCAGCCTCTCCATGCCATCTTCCTCGTTTAATTTCCGTTTATGCTTGTTGATGAAGAAGGTGGAGACCCTGCTCACAGCCTCGCTGATTACCGCGGAAACAACTACTTCAGACATCAGGATGTTCTTGTTGATAAACCCCTTCCTGCTTGTAAAAGTGGAACGAAAGGTCTAGTTAGAACTGTTCATGACAGATCTAGAGAAACAGAGGTGTACAAGAACTTAGAACAAAATGTACTCACCTCACCAAGCTGCTTCAAACTAATGCTTTAAACATACTGCGGTTGTGACTTGTGAAGAGCATACATCTGTGTGGTGAAGAGGGGATTCAATTGATTCACAATGGCAGGGGGACTTGTCATCCGGTAGCAGGATGACAAGTCTTCCCTCAATACCGCCTGTATTTCTCCAAATACTCCCTGTAACTGAACCAACTTTGGAATAATACATATGTTCAGGCCGATAAAATTTCTTTCCATACTCGTTTCAAAATAATTAAAAGAAAAAAAAGACAAATCTTCTTCTGTGGAAGGATCCATCAAATATAAAATGAATTAACTGAGGAAAATAAAAGTCTAAGATTGAAAGATAGATTCTGGTGACAAACTGATTGGTCTCAATCACAGCTAGTTGGTCAGAAGAAATAAGTCCATGACTGACTTCGTGGAGAAAAAGGTTAGCAAAGCAAAATTGTGTTTTCTCAGAAGTTAAGTGGGTCATGTTGGATGTATGGTCTAATTAACATAGCACAAGGTGAGAAGTGAGAACACATCACTTTTTAGACTCTAATTAACATAGTCTCCGTATGATTTGTCAAGCAAGAAAACTGCCCTCTATGACCGTCCAATCTCATTGCAAGGCTAGCCAAAGATAAATCCTCCACGCCTCTGCAATTAGGACAATTTAAAGTAACTACTCGTCACTGCAATCAGTTTCGGGTACTAGTCTTGACTCTTGTGTGGTCGAACAGATCTTTTGCCAATTCTCACTGAACTTATCTTTCCCCTAAAAAGAACAGTAACCCATTGCCTAAATCTGTTTTGCAGGTTGTGTACAGATCGATAGCCCTGATGCAGCGCTGGAGGGTGCTCCAAACAAGAAAAGACTGCGCCCTGCTAGAGCTGGACAACGTTTTTAAGAAGCTGATGGATAAGATGTACAGGCTGTGTCTAGTTTCTTCCAAAGTTGAAAGTTTGGATTGAAATTGGTACGATGTGACTGAAAAGTTGTGTGTGTATGACAGGTTGATGTAATGGAAAAAGTTGGAAGTTTGGATTCAAAGTTTGGATCTAAACACAGCCACAGCTTTGGCCTGGAGATGCCCTGCCCTCCGTCCCTAAATATTTAACGCCGTTAACTTTTTAAACATGTTTGACTGTTCGTCTTATTAAAAAAATTAAGTACTTATTAATTCTTTTCTTATCATTTGATTCATTGTTAAATATACTTTTATGTATACATATAGTTTTATATATTTTACAAAAGTTTTTAAATAAGACAAACGATCAAACATGTTTAAAAAAGTCACGGCATCAAATATTTAGGGACGGAGAGAGTATTAGGGAAGATGGGTGTGTGGGGGTGTTTTTGGCTGGTTTACTCTCTGTTCTCCCTTCCTGGAGATGGGCAAAGGGCACTGAAAGCTGACGATCCCAGTGGTTTACCATGTTTCCGATCTGGTAGTTTTATTTTTCTGTTGTGTAAGATTCTTTCAGTAAGTTTGAGGCTTTCTTTCAAAAAACAGGGTAATGAAATTACCTGCAGTTTTTTTTTAAAAAAGAACAGTAACCAAACTGCACAGAACAGGTCGCGACAAGCAGCAGTGAAATTGAATGCGAGCAAAATGTCGTACATATCTGGGATGGAGCGTATCTGGGATGGAGCGAATTAACGCGAACACCATATTACATAAAATGGCAGATGGCATTTACTAGGAACTGTCTTTTGTCCGTACAACTAAGTAACATAGGAATGCGATGCAATAGTGGTGTGGCGTCTTGTAAATAGGTGGTGGCTGCGAAGCCTCGCCATCTCTGTGCATTCTTCAAATTCTCAATATACTACGGTCGGCGTGCCGACCCGGCGAATGCGATGCAATAATCTACCGTACAAAATGTACCAACCTCATCAAGCTGGTTGAAACTAGTGCTTAGAATATACTGTAATTGTGCCTTAACCAAAAGTTTAAGATTGAACGATATATTCTGCCATTCTGGTGACAAACTGATTACTCTCAATCACAGACTAATCAGTCAGAAGAAATAAGGAACACAGGGCTTAACCAACCTCAAGCTTTGCAACTGGGCTAAGTAAAAATACTGAAATTATTTTAAACAATAAGGGAATACCTGTCTGCTTGTCTGCTTGATGATTAAAATTGTTTGGCTTGACATGTCCACCTTCCTCACTCACCCATTCACAGACCCAGCAATCAACTTGTTCTCCTTCTTGCAACTTTTTTGTGTTTCCCTTTGTTTCTGTGTTTCAGTAGACGATGAAGTCAGAATAAATATGCATGTGTTTTAATGTTTCATTTCGGAATCATCCTAAATACATATAATCTGAAATGTAAACCGCCCCGAGGATACCACTGTATGAAAATTACTGATATGCAAATTACAATTTTTTTACAAAAAATAAAGTGAATGGGAATATGAAATAGCAGGAAATAGGGTAAGTACAAAATTTTGTCATCACCTTCAATCATGGTAAACGCATGCGAATTCAAATAAAATATGTCACGCCCAATGAGTGAGGATGTACATTAGATTGATAGAGTATGAACATCATATTATCACCATTCACCAACATAAGTGATCAGCTGGACAAACAATAGCATATGGAGACATGGAGCACACATTACAGATCAACACACTCCTAAGGACTTCTAAATTTAACTACCTACAATTCACTTTTCACCCTATAATATTACATTTCCATTCTTCTTAATTCTCCCTGTCTCCTTAACCAGTCTCTGTAAATGATCTAAAATTTCAGACGCAATAGTGGAGATGCTAACTCTGTTTCCTTTTCTTTCTGAATCCAATCAAGGATAGAGCCCTGCAGCTGGACAGGCGCATGAGCAGCCCAGAGGTTAAGGAAGTCACAGATGAAGTCACAGGTCACAACTGTGCGCCTCTGCGTTCTCTGATCCATTCCACGCAGCAGCTTTGCTTTCTTGGCTCCTCGAATGGTTCTCCGTGTGCTCGTCATGTTCATGGTTGCCTTCACAACCTCAAGATATGCACCGCCATGTTTAGACTTCCAAAGCATCTGGTACACTCTAGCTTTTGCATTCTGATGAAAACAATCTACAGCCTTTGGCAGCATGATCTGTTCCATTTGTTGTAAGGCAATGTTTGTGTGCAAGCAATGTTGCTCATTAGCATTAATCACCTCTACCACAGAACTCTCGACTGTTGGGAATAGGTCTCCTGAAGAGCCATGCGGCATATAGATAATGTTAACTTTCAGGTGCGGAACTTCTTTGATAGAAGGTTTGCCCTCGACGATCGTTCCGCATTCTCCAAACCCACGCAGTGAAACTTCGCACTTCAAACTCACTTCAATAATTGGTTCTAGAGAAACGTTTTGTAATCCTATCTTGTCCGTGTTTCCACTGCCACGTACCTTCGCACCATGATGCTTGCAACACAGTGGGTTTGGGCGAAACCATTCAATAGCTATACTATGAATGTTGTACCAATGGTTTGAATGAGCCTGTGGCACCCAGGAGAAGTCTTGTGTAGGTAGCAGAGTAAGTTGCTTTCTAACATTTTCAGTTGTAGACTTGAAATGAGGGGTAAACAACTGCAAGCCCTTAATTATAGTGCCAACTATGTTTGTACTCTCCGAAAGTTGTAGCAGCATACCCAAAATAAAGTTACCCTCAGATGCAGTGCCATCACTGTAAACAAATAACAACATAGCTTGTACTCCCCTCTCCGCTATGTTATTGGGTTGTATCCAAAACAAAAGCTGCCTGTTTCCCTGCACTATGTACTCTAGAGTTTCACCTGCAAGAAGATGCCCAATAAGAGGGTCGAAGAACAAGTAATGACGTGGTGTGCCTCCATACTCCACAGATCTCAGAAAGTCATTAGCTCCATCTGCAAACCACTCAAATCTTCGAACAACTGATCTACTCGGCTCGTCTATATTGCCATGGAAGATGGATGATATCAGTGACTTGGTGGCATGCGCAATTCGCCTAGGAAAGAAGGAATTCCTTGCTACTTGTTCGGCCTCTTGTTCTTCCTGGACACGCTGCCTGCACATGCGTATTGTGTCATCGCACTCTTCAGTAGCACGCTTCAGCTTCTTCTGCCAACGTAGCAATGGGCCACTAGTGATCTGCCACTTATTGGATGTCTCCAATGCGAAGTCCAACTTGATTTGTGCCATCTCCAGCCTCTCCAGGTTATCCTGTGCACTTGATTTTCGCTCACACCTATCAATAAACCCGGATACGATCTTGTTAACCGTCTCGTGAACGATAGCAGAACCGACCACCTCTTCCATCTTCAATAATCTCTCCCTGATCTGCGCCGAGCAAGATACATCAATAGATCGATCAGGATGCCCAAATAAAACAAAAAATAGATAAGTGAATTCCTGAAAACTAATAATGCGTTGAAGTATGTGAAAACGGTAAACCGAAACCTTCTGAGAGGTGCACCAGAGAGTACCCAGCACACGATAACTAGATTGAATGAATGCTGAGCCTGAGCATGAATGCCATGTCTTTAGTGGAGAAAAATCGAGTAAATCAAAGTTGGTTGTATTGGAAGTTAGATAACCTTTTTTTTAGCCGGGTTGGCCATAAGAAGAGGCCAACCAAATCTTATTAAGATTATGAGAGCACCTTGACATTAGGTAACCCTTGACATATGGTTCGAGAAGAACACCTTAATTACTATTACACTATGTGATTCTCCTAATTGGAACTATTATACTATGTGATTCTCCTAATTGGAAGCATTAGGAGAATCTGATGTCTTTTAATGCGTTTTTTTTGGGTTCTTCTTAGCCATGGTAAGGCGTGGTGCTATGTTTGGTGATCATTTTGCCAGTCTGTCTGGTGTCTGAACTTGTAAGCAGAGATGCGTTTGACAGGGGTTTGTTAGGGGGTAGCAACCTGAACTTTTGTTGTGAACCTTGTAATCGTATCGTTTTCATTAATGAAAGCGGGAGGGGCTTGACCTCTCTTTATCAAAAAACAAAAAACAAAAACTATGTGATTCTCCAGTTTTTTTTAATGAAAACGCAACGATTACAGAAGTTCCAGAGAAGTTCAGCACGAAGACAGAGGGAACAAAAGAAAAAAAAAACAGAGGACGATTCTCCAGTTGATTTATGCTCTCTTTCACTGACCAAACGCAAATTTTGTTATTAAGATAAGATTGAAGGCAACCAAACCAACAAGGATGGATGCTTCTGAATGCTGATTGAATCCTCGTCACTGCAACATTTTTTTTGTTTGGAAAAATCATCATCATCATCATCATCATCAATGCAATCACTTTCGGCGGCTACTCCTCTTGAGTCTTGACCGGTTGAATAGATCTCGCACAACAAACATGATATGCAGGGAGACCGAGCCTTACCTTGAGCTGGTGCGCCACGGCCGCCGAGGGGAAACCGAGGCCTCCTCCATCACCGGGACGCGCTCGCATATAGTGGCGCCCCGTGGAGACAGTAGTGGCAGTGGATCGCGCAAGGCAACGCCATTGCCGGACCTCACCTCCTTGCGCCGCCGGCGCGGCCTGCCATCTCGCGGATCGTCCGGCGGCGGGACTCCGCTTCAGTGACTTAGCTAAGGCAAGTCACAGCGTGACATACCATGTATCTCGGCCGTCCAAAACGAATCCAATGGAGATGGCGCTTGGTCCCGCACGCAGGCAAAAAAAATCTCCGTTTCGGCCTAACAGGAAGCCCGCACGCGCACAGGACGCGCTTAACCTCGCCCTCGTCCGCGTACACCGGCGCAGCCTGAGACGGACTCAACTTCGCCTCGCCCTCAGGTCCGCGTACGCCGGCGCTTCACCTCGCCCTCGTCCGGCCACCGCCACGAGTCAGCTGGGAGGCGCGTCGCTGCGACCGGAGAGGCACCAGGCCGCCCTGCCCTGCCGCCGCGACCGGGGGCGCGTGGAGGCGGCCGGCCGCCGGGCCTGACGGCGCGGTGGTGCAGGCGGGCAGCCGCGCAGCCCGAGCCCGGCGCGTGGAGGAGGCCGCGCTGCTCCTGCCGCGCCGCACGTCCCGATTTCGGCGGCCTCAACTCCACGATGGATTTCAGCGTCCGAGCCCGCATCCAGAGCCCGCACCAGTCGGCCGCCCACTTCGTCGCCGGCGAGAGGTGACACCGCCGCCCGGCTTCGTCCAGGGTAGGAGTCACTGCTGGTTGAGTTTGTGGAGAACGACGCACCTTTTCCTGTGCCCGCGAGGTGTTTGTGGAAATGCCCTGCCGTCTGGGATGATGCAGAGTCCTGATTGAAAGTGAATTGTTATTGTTTGGCTTTGTGAGATTAGAAGCAAATTGATTCTGTAATCTTGATTGAGATTGATTTGGTTGTATGACTCATATATGCTGTAATTTGAATGAATGAATGAATAAATCAGTAACTTCTGACGATGTTTTCTAAAAAATTTTGAGATGTTTGAGATGTTGCCCAGGTCCATGATTTGTTCAGGTTTAAAGTCTGGAATGGACTTATAGTATTGTCTGGTTTATACTGGACATGAGTTGTGCTGCCATTTCCTCCTTTTCGCTATCTCTGCTGTAAATTTTTAGTTCATGCTAGGTGGGAGGTTCCATGTCTTGTTATGATCAGTTGTCCTATGCAGCAATGTTGCTCTGAATCTCTCTCTCTGAAGATGCTGAATGGAGTGCCGTCGTTGCTGTAGTGCTATCGTGAAATTTCATGGTCAGTAGTTCCTGTGCATGGTCGCCCTGATCAATAGTGGGTAGGACATCTTTGGAGCTGTTTTTATGCGAGATTCCTGCAAAATTCCTAGTACGAATTCATGTGTTGCAAACAAGCCCGTATGTCTCCTTCATTTCTTGATACGATAGGGATGGATTGTGTTTTGGTTGACAAAATCCAAAGAGAGCAATTTTGTGAATGAAATGAGAATGCCAGAATGGGGCTGTTGCTTTGAGCGATCTGATATCCATCGTGGAGTTGAGGCCGCCGAAATCGGGACGTGCGGCGCCGCAGGAGCAGCACGACCTCCTCCACACGCCGGGCTCGGGCTGTGGGCCGCCCGCCTGCACCACCGCTCTGTCAGGCCCGGCGGCTGGCCGCCTCCATGCGCCCCCGGTCGCGGCGGCAGGGCAGGGCGGCCTGGCGCCTCCCCCGGTCGCGGCGGCGCCGGACGAGGGCGAGGTGAAGCGCCGGCGTACGCGGACTTGAGGGCGAGGCTAAGCGCGTGCGGGCTTCCTGTTAGGCTGAAACGGGGATTTTTTTTGCCTGCGTGCGGGTCCAAGCGCTACCTTCGTTGGATTCGTTTTGAACGGGCGAGATGCATCGTATGTCACGCTGTGACTTGCCTTAGCTAAGTCACCAGCTGAGTCCCCGGCGGCGGAGGGCGGAGGGCGGAGGCCATGGCGGTGGGTGAGGTGGTGGTGGTCGGGTTGTGCTTGTGCAGCCCAGTTGCAGTGAAAAACAAGGCCGAGCCCAAGTAAGGCCCACACTAGTTCAACTCGGCCCGCACATTTAATCATCAGAGCAATGCAACCCAGGGATGCAAGCGGTCCAACCCGCGAACCTGCTTATAGGTAAAATGAGTGAATAACCCGCGGGTTGACTTGTGGATTACCTAATAATTTGATATATAAATAGGTTTATGGGTTGATCCACTTGCTTCTCTACGACGCGGCAAAGCCGAGTCATGACGCGAAAACCTGCGGATTACCCTTTATTTAACATATAAGTAGGTTCGTGGGTTGCACCGCTTGCATCCCTAAATGTAATGCAGGGTTTTTCGCCAAAATTAGCCTTGCTAAATTTTGGCACACTTTGACGTTACCAGATTTTGGTAACGTTGGATGTATTCAGTTTGTGGTCCTGCCAAAATTTGATAGTGTTTGTATTAGGAGAAACTTTCGAAAATGCTAAATTTTGGTGAAGTGGCAATGTCAAGATTTGTTTAGTTTGTTATCCTACCAAAAAATTGATACTATCAAATATTGTGAGGGTTGAGATTGGCGGCGAAGTGAACAAGTCCGTAATGCAAAAAATAATCTTGTGCTTGTGTCCAAAATGGCAAAATGTTACTCAACTCACCAAGCTGGTTGAAACTTGAAACTAGTGCTTTCAATATACTGCAGCTTGACTTGGAGTGGTGAAGAGCGAAACAATTGTGTGCCGAAGGAGGAGTTTCAGCTCCTTCTCAATGTCAGTTGGAGATGTCAATTCGTATAAATGGAGTCCGGATTTCTATTCACTATCTGAAAAATGTCAATTTAACAGTGAAAAGTCTATAAGTAGCAACTGTACCAGAATCTGCTCTGCACACCGTCTGTATTTCTCCAAATACTCTTCAACTGAACCAAGTTTTTTAATAGATGGCACCGTTAACTTTTGGATACATATTTTACTATTCATCTTTTTTTTTTAAAAAAAAACGTAATTATAATCTAGTTTGGGCGTGGGAAACGGAGGCGGGAGCGGTGAACTCTGGGAGAGAGCCGGATTTGTTGGGCGTCGTCGTCGCAGGACAAGGAGGCGGCAGCGCGAGATGAGGAGGGCGTGCGTGGGGGACAGGTGCTCATCGGGATGCGGCGGAAGCAGCAGGACAGACGACGGCCTCGGCTCCTCTCCCGTCGCCCGTTGCCCGCAGCCTCCTCCGTCGCCGCCCGTCACACGCAGCCGCCTTCGCCCTCACCCACCGCTTGCCGCCCGCCCCGGCCACGGCTCCTCGCCCTTGCCCACCAGCCACCTCCTCTGTTCACCAAGAGAGAGAGAGGGGGGGCAGAGAAGGAGTTTTTATTTGTTTTTTCTGACTGTATCGCCACGTAGGCTGAAAACCGCTTCGAATCAAGTTAGGGTGGTAATTTATCCGGTTTGAAGAGTTTGGGATGCTAAATGTCCGGTATTATAGTTTAGGGGGATAAATCATACTACCGTAATAGTTCGCGGGGGTGGTAATTCGTACTTTTTCTTGGAAATTTCGGATCCAATTCAGGATTTTTCTTGGAAAGTTTCGGGAAGAAATTGGAATGGAATAATATAAACTAGCATGGTGGCCCGCGCAGATTGCGCGGCTAGCATCATTATATTTTCTCTCATATAATAGCATATATGTTTTCTCATTATATTATTCAAATATATTAAAATGACAACATAATTTTAAATTTTGCAATAACTTTACAAAACTACTAATGTGTAATATTCATATTATATTTTATATACGTGTTAGTTATTAATTATTTTTAATATCAAATTTTAATTATTTGTAAATTATATATATTCCTATATGGACTCTAGACTCGTCTTTTAATATTTCTTTTTTTTAATTCCGAATTTTCTGTAAATTGTATTTCTATATAGACTCCTCTTCTTCCAATATTATTTATTTTTATTTCTGAATTTTTATTATTTCTAATTGTATTTCTATGTGGACTCTAAACTCATATTTCAATATTCTTTAATTTTTAATTTCGAATTTCAGTCACTTCTAAATTGTATTCCTATATTGACTTTAAACTCTTCTTCCCATGTTTTTCTTAATTTCGAATTTTAGTTATTTGTGAATTATATTTTTATACGGACTCTAAACTCTACTTTTAATTTTAATTTTATTATGTTTATTCCAAATTTTAGTTAGTTTTAAATTCCTATATGAACTCTATACTCTACTTCTAATATTCCTTATTTTTTAATTCCGAATTTCTATTATTTCCTAATTGTATTTCTTTATGCTCTACTTCTTATATTCCTTATTTTTAATTCCAAATTTCAGTTATTTTCTAATTGTATTTCTATATGGACTCTAGTCACCTCTTCTAATATTCCTTATTTTTTAATTCCGAATTTCAACTATGTCTAAATTGTATTTCTATATGGACTCTAGTCTCCTCTTCTAATATTTCTTATTTCTTAATTCTGAATTTCAACTATATCTGAATTGTATTTCTATATGGACTCTAGTCTCCTCTTCTAATAATCCTTATTTTTTAATTACGAATTTCAGCTATTTCTAAATTGTATTTTTATATGAACTCTGCTTATTTTTTCTCCGATTAATGTGAGAATTTTTAGGCCTTGAGAGCGAACATGTTGGCTTCTTTTTCTATGGATGATATATAATAGATAGATTCATATAGACGAAAGGGTTATCTATTGATGCTAGATGACAGGGACAGAGGAAGAGGGAAACCCATTAAAGCATCTCCAATAGCATCTTCATTCCACTCTCCAAACCAAAATTTAGCTATTTTGAACAAAAATCGCACTCCAAGAGTCTCTCTATCCCACTCTCCAAGCCATCCGGATGACCAAGTTCCTTTCCTCACTAGCCAAACTTGGCCAACCTACTCCCCTTACCATTCACTTGCTATATGTGGGTCCCACCACCTTCTGTACTACTCCCTCCGTTTCAAAATGTTTGACACCGTTGACTTTTTAGCACATGTTTGACCGTTCGTCTTATTCAAAAACTTTTGTGAAATATGTAAAATTATGTGCCTACATAAAAATATATTTAACAATGAATCAAATGATAGGAAAAGATTTAATAATTACTTAAATTTTTTGAATAAGACGAACGGTCAAACATGTGCTAAAAAGTCAACGGCGTCAAACATTTCGAAACGGAGGGAGTAGTATTTTCCTCTGTTCAGACTTCAGAGCCGATGGTGGAGCCGCATCCAAGAAAAAGGGGTTCGGGGTCGACGAGGGGGAGGGTGCTCCGGTGGTCGACAGGCTCGGCGAAGGGGTGGACAAGGACAGCGGCGTCGCGGCGAAGCCGGTGAGGGCGGCGCCGAGGCGAGGCGACGTCCCGAGCGGCGGTGACAGTGGAGAGAGAGAGAGAGAGAGAGGAGTGGCGGGAGCTCGGTTCCGAGCGGGTGGCGGCGTCCCGAGCGGCGGCGACGGCGGAGAGAGAGAGGAGCGGCGCGAGCTCGGTTCCGAGGGGGTGGTGGCGTCCCAAGCGGCAGCGACGGGCGACCTAGCACGCCGGCAACGGCGGAGAGAGAGAGGAGCAGCGAGAGCTCGGCGGCGACGAGCGACGGCGGCGGCATGGATTCGGGGGCCACACGGCCTCCGCACCCCTGGGTCATCGTCGAGGCCACCGTTGCCGAGGTCGTCGTCGCAAGCCGCTGCCACCGCCGTCGTCTACGCCGTCTCCCCGAATCCACGCCGCCCGCCGTTGCCCCCACGTTGTCTCCGATGGTGTGGAGTGAGTGGAGAGAGAGGGGAGAAGAAAAGAAAAGGTAGAGAGGAGGGGTGAAGAAGAAGGGTAAGGTGGCTGACATATGGGACCCTCTGTCATAGAGTTAAAATGGAGAGCGTAGATGGAGAGGCTGTTGAAGTAGGTAAGGAGTTTGACTTGCTAAATCAGATAGAGAGTTGGCTATGTGGGTGTTTAGAGAGTCTAATTTGGAGGGACTGTTGGAGATGCTCACCGGCCGTAGTATCCGTCCCCAATGCCCAATTCCCCCCACCATTGCCGACTCTCTTCCTCGCTTCCGGCCGACGGCCGCACTTCCCATCTCCGCCTCCCCTAGTTGGCTACTCCTCCCAGCCTGCCTCCGATCCACCGGATGGCGTGCTCGTCGCTCCAGGCCGCCGGCGGCAACTATGGTCCATGGACTGTGGCAGCTCGACCTCAGTCAGATCCATGGCGAGGTGGCCCTCAACTTCAGGCGGTCGGCATTGCTCCACCTTGCAGATCCAAGTGCTGTGGACCACTGCTTTTTTCTTCCCTATGGAGCACCCGTTCCTTGTACAAGGGGTGCTGACATCATGCGAGGTCATTCCTCGTTCGTCTTCTCCACCACGCTGTGCATAAGAGTCTACATGAATGGTATCCGATGCAAGGCCACTCGTTGTCGCCTGGGCAACGCGTCACTGGGAAAATGTCAAAAAGGCCGTGGCAGATGAAAACGATCTGGATGGAGATGTGATGCCGATTCATCAGTTTTTCAGGCTTTGAATCATGAAACTAGCTGCAATTTTCCTATACGTGAAGGACTGGATTGGCAAAATGTGGAAAATTCATGGCAGGTGAAAACGATATGGATGGAGATATGCCGTAAATTTCTCCCATTTAAGCCCTTCTCGGGACACTCCGAACCTTCAATTTTTCTTAGCAACACTTTTCGTCTGATCAGTAACACCGACGTAACAAGGTGCCCCCCCCCCCCCCCCCCCCGCCTTTGCTCTCTTCGTGTTTCATGCCATACAATTCGTTGGTCTTATGTCAATCTTTACTTATTGGATGCTAGCATGACTATCGTGCGAACAATTGATAAACACTTGGGTAGAATTAAGTGCTATTTTTACTTACACTTCCTCTTCGTCTTTCCAAGATGATAGCTCGATCGCCTGCCTTTCTGGGATGATAGTTCGCCTTTCTTTCTTCTTCTTTTTTTTTCTTTCATAATAGACAGATAACAAGCAGCTCGTTTTGCAGTGAAATAGCAATCGACTTCAACTGTCATTGCACCGTATGTAGTCCAGCTTCATGCCAATTTGTCCCAAAATATGCTATTTTTCACTCACTTTTTTCTCTCCAGGAAACATGTTTGTCCCACATACTGATGGCATCCTCTTTTAGGGCCTGTTCACTTTGGTGCCATTTTCAACCTTACCAAATTTTGGTAAAGTTGCCAAAAAAAATTAGCTACATTTAGTTTGCTGCCAAATTTTGGTAACTATATAAGAAATCCTGCCAAAATTTTGGCAAGTTACCAAAATTTTGGCATAGTTGCCAAAATTTTGGCAATGCCAAAATTTGGTAAGGTTTTTTTTGGCAGCAAAGTGAACAGGCCCTTAGTTCTTTCAGCTAGCAAAGATCCCTCATAAGGGTACAAGCAAGCAGCACATGGAACTGGGTATGTTTATACCGTGCACCTTGGTGTTGTTATTACTGTCATATGGAGCTGGAGGCATCAAGGGCGGCGCATCAACGCAAGATGGGGACGTCAATGGCACGGACTTGGCCTCGCTCCTAGATTTCAAGCGAGCGATCACGAACGATCCTTTCGGAGCCATGAGCTCGTGGAACACCAACACACACTTGTGCCGGTGGAAGGGCGTCACATGCGACCAGCGGGCGCATCGCGTCGTGGCACTGGACCTCGTTGGGCAAACATTGACCGGGCAGATCTCCCATTCCCTTGGAAACATGTCGTACCTCACTTCTCTGAGCCTCCCCGACAACTTGCTCTCCGGCCGAGTGCCACCTCAGCTTGGCAACCTGCGGAAGCTGGTGTTTCTTGACCTGAGTGGCAACTCGTTGCAGGGTATTATTCCGGAGGCACTCATAAACTGCACCAGATTGAGGACGTTGGACGTTTCAAGGAACCATCTAGTTGGTGATATCACTCCCAACATAGCCCTCCTCTCCAACCTGCGAAATATGCGGCTTCACTCCAACAACCTCACTGGGATCATCCCACCAGAAATAGGGAACATCACTTCGCTCAATACTGTCATTCTTCAAGGCAACATGCTCGAGGGATCCATTCCTGAGGAGCTTGGGAAGCTGTCCAACATGTCCTACTTGTTGCTAGGTGGAAATCGGCTGTCAGGCAGGATCCCGGAGGTGCTCTTCAATCTGTCACACATCCAAGAAATAGCACTACCACTTAATATGCTGCATGGTCCATTGCCATCTGACCTTGGCAACTTCATTCCTAACCTTCAGCAACTTTACTTGGGTGGTAACATGTTGGGAGGTCATATCCCTGATTCATTGGGCAATGCAACTGAACTGCAGTGGCTAGACCTATCATATAACCAAGGGTTTACTGGCCGAATCCCTCCTTCTCTTGGTAAACTCCGGAAGATCGAAAAGCTTGGTCTTGACATGAACAATCTTGAAGCAAGAGACAGTTGGGGATGGGAATTCCTAGATGCATTGAGCAACTGCACGCGTCTTAAGATGCTCTCACTGCACCAAAATCTACTGCAAGGTGTCCTGCCGAATTCTGTTGGCAACCTCTCCTCTAGCATGGACAACCTTGTGTTGAGTAACAACATGCTTTCAGGGTTAGTGCCCTCGAGCATAGGAAATCTTCATAGGTTAACTAAGTTTGGATTGGATTTCAACAGTTTTACTGGTCCGATTGAAGGGTGGATTGGAAGCATGGTAAATTTACAGGCTTTATACCTAGACAGCAACAACTTCACTGGGAACATTCCAGATGCCATTGGCAACACCTCCCAGATGTCAGAATTGTTTCTTTCAAACAATCAATTCCATGGTCTCATACCATCCAGCCTAGGAAAACTTCGACAGCTCTCAAAGTTAGACCTCAGTTATAACAATCTTGAAGGCAACATACCTAAAGAGGTCTTCACAGTACCCACAATTGTCCAATGTGGATTATCCCACAATAATTTGCAAGGCCTGATCCCTTCTTTAAGTAGCCTTCAACAGCTTAGCTATCTTGATCTTTCATCAAATAACCTTACTGGGGAAATTCCTCCTACTTTGGGCACATGTCAGCAATTAGAAACCATCAACATGGGGCAAAACTTCCTCTCAGGAAGCATTCCCACATCTTTGGGAAACCTTAGCATCCTAACTTTGTTCAATCTTTCACATAACAATTTGACAGGATCTATCCCAATTGCTCTAAGCAAACTACAGTTTCTCACCCAGTTGGATTTATCAGATAATCATCTTGAAGGTCAAGTGCCAACAGATGGGGTATTCAGAAATGCTACGGCCATCTCACTTGAAGGCAACCGACAGCTTTGTGGAGGAGTACTGGAGTTACATATGCCTTCATGCCCCACTGTTTATAAAAGTAAAACTGGACGACGACATTTTTTGGTCAAGGTATTGGTCCCTACATTAGGCATTTTATGTCTCATATTTCTGGCCTACCTTGCAATTTTCAGAAAGAAGATGTTCAGAAAGCAGTTACCATTGCTGCCTTCTAGTGATCAGTTTGCTATAGTTTCTTTTAAAGATCTAGCTCAAGCTACAGAGAACTTCGCAGAAAGTAATCTGATTGGGAGAGGAAGCTACGGTTCAGTGTACAAAGGAACGCTAACCCAAGAAAACATGGTTGTCGCTGTGAAAGTTTTTCATCTTGATATGCAAGGTGCAGATAGAAGTTTCATGACAGAATGCAAAGCTTTGAGGAGCATTCGGCACCGGAATCTACTTCCAGTTCTAACTTCATGCTCAACAATTGATAATGTAGGCAATGATTTCAAGGCTCTAGTGTATAAGTTCATGCCCAATGGCAACTTGGATACTTGGCTGCACCCCGCAAGTGGTACAAATGCTTCAAATCAACTGAGCCTGTCCCAAAGAATAAAAATAGCTGTTGACATAGCAGATGCATTGCAATATTTACACCATGACTGTGAGAATCCTATAATACACTGTGATCTAAAGCCAAGTAATGTCCTCCTAGATGATGATATGACTGCTCATTTGGGAGATTTTGGCATAGCACATTTCTACCTCAAATCCAAGTCACCTGCCGTTGGAGATTCGAGCTCAATCTGTTCGATCGGTTTGAAAGGAACTATAGGGTATATTGCCCCAGGTATGTTTCTCTAGCTGTAACTTTGTCACTTATGTGACAGACAACTGATTATTTACATGAACTCTTACCTTACCTTGCACATTTCACATGAACTCAGAATATGCTGGAGGAGGATTCCTCTCAACCTCTGGAGATGTATACAGCTTTGGCGTAGTACTATTGGAGTTGCTAACAGGGAAAAGGCCTACTGATCCTCTGTTCTGCAATGGACTTAGCATCGTCAGTTTCGTCGAGAGGAACTATCCAGATGTGATAGATCATATCATTGATACTTACCTCCGAAAAGATCTCAAGGAGCTTGCTCCAGCGATGTTGGACGAAGAGAAGGCAGCATACCAGTTGCTGTTGGACATGCTTGGAGTGGCACTTTCCTGCACACGCCAGAATCCCAGTGAACGAATGAACATGAGAGAGGCAGCAACAAAGCTGCAAGTGATCAACATATCGTATATATCTGGAATGTAGAGCTAAGTATACTATACACTTCATTAGTGCGCGTACCACAGTGTATAAAATGGCAGGTGGCATTTACAAGTAACTGTCTTTTGTTATCCATACATTTGATTATAAGGGCAATGCAAGTACAAAATTTACTCATCTGTAGACGCGGGCAGTCTCCCCGTAGCTGCTGTAGCCTGTTTTGGAGGAGTTTGGTGTAGAATGTAATCTCTGTAGCTTGATTCAAAAAAAAAATGTAATCTCTGTAGCTTGTAACTCTCTTGCCGAAAAATCTTAATAAACTTTGGCTGGCATACGCCAGCCTGCGAAAAAGCAAAATGTACTCACCTCACCAAGCTGGTTGAAAATAGTGCTCTAAACAAACTGCAATTGTGACTGGTGAAGAGGGTTAGAGGGAGGTTCAGTATCTTCACAATGTCAATTGGACAGTTACTGCAATGTATTTCTCCAAATAGTCTGTAACTAAACCAACTTTTGAGTAATATCTATGTTTCAGGCCAACAAATTGCTTGCCAGTTCTCAAAAAATAAAAATAAAAATGCTGTAGTAGTTTAAGAAAAAAATGGCAAGTTTTTGTCTTTGGAAGGATCCGTCAAATATAAACTGAATCAACTGAGCAAAAGAAAAGTAAAAAATATTACATTCCGTTGATAAACTGATTGATTACTCTCTATGACAGATTAATCGGTTAGTTGTGAAAGGGTATGTAACCTAGTGATTGCAATGACCTGAGTAGCACCACAAGGTCCTGAGTTTAAATCTTTATAGGAGCGAATTTCAGATTAGGTTATTTGAGAGCTAAGTTCCCTATTTGATAGACTAAGTTTCTAATTTTAAAAGGTTGCATATATCTGGTTGGATGTAGAGGCCAGATAAAAAATATCCTTCTCTAAAAAAAATAAAAAGAAAGACTAATCAGTCAGAATACTGATATAAGGTAGAGTCTCTCTACCTTTTTGAGTCAAAAAAAAAAAATCAGTCAGAAGACAAGGTCAAGCTTAGCAACTGGACTAAGTACAAAAATTTTGGAATTCTTTTGAACAGCTGTAATGGAAAACCTGTCTGTTTGACGGATTAGAATTGTTCCCTTTCGGAGTCATCTGTTGGCTTGGCATGTCCACCCACCAATCAGCTTTTTCTCCTACTTGCTGCTTTTTGTGTGTTTCCTTTGTTTCTGTGTCTCAGTACACGATGAAGTAGAAGAAATATAGCATGTTTTTTTTTGTTACATTTCAAAATCATCATAAATACATATAACCTGAATTTTAAACCACCCAGAGGATACCACTGTCAAACTAAGAATTTCCAGGGGGGAAAAGCATGCGCCTCCTATCATGGTACACAGATGTAAATTCAAATAAAATATGACACATCTGATGAGCACGGCTGTACATTAGACTTCCAGACAATGAACATCATCTTATCACTATTTACCAACATAAGTTCTGGGTTGGACCAACAACAGAAGTATATGTAGCACACATTTTTTTTTTGAAGCAAAAGACGGCAGGAGCTCTGCCGGATATATTAGAAGGAGAAGCAGTTACAGAGGTCAAGAAAGAGCAGACCACTAGGTGACATTTTCAGTTTTCATTTTTATGTAGCACACATTTCATATCAGTTAACTCCGAATGACTTAGATATTATCTCCCTACAAGTCACTTTTCTCAGTTAAAATATTACATTTGTACTTCACGTTTCTCTGATTTCCTGACTAGCACTAGCTCCACCTCTCCTAGAGCTAGAGCTCAGCCAAACAGTTTTAGCTCCACCCAAAATGGGAGTGGAGCTGAATGGAACTCTCTCATAAAATGAACCAAAGAGGTGGAGCTGGGTTTAAACGGCTCCATAACCCCACTCCAGACTCAACTCCTGGAGTTAAATTTAGGAGTTGGAGCTCTACTAAACGAGCCCTATATCATCTAAAATTTCAAGCGCAGTAGAGGAGCTGCTAATTGTACTTCCTTCTCTTTCTGAACCCAATCAAGGATTGAGCCCTGAAGCTGGACAGGTGCGTGCGCAGCCCAAAGGCTGAGGAAGTCAGAGATTCCATCTGTGCGATGATGCATCTTATGATCCTGTTGTCGCAACAGCTTTGATTTCCTAGCTCCTCGAATGGTCCTCCGTGTGCTCAGAATGTTCACGGTCGCCTTCACAGCATGAAGATATGCAACACCATGTTTAGGCTTCCAAAGCATCTGATACACTGTCGCTTTCGCATTCTGATGAAAATAATCTACGGCCCTCGGCAACATGATCTCTTCCATTTGTTGCAAGGCAATATTTGTATGCAAGCAATGCTGCTCATTAGCATTAATCACCTCTATCACAGAACCCTCGACTGATGGGAATAGGCTTTCTGAAGATCCGTGAGGCGTATAGGCAAGTAGAACATTCAGATGCGGTCCACGCAGATATTCTTTGAGAGAAGATTTGCCCTCGACAATTGTTCCCCGTTCTCTGAACCCAGGCAGTGCAACATGGCACTGCAAATTCACTTGAATAACTGATTCTAGAGAGAAGTCTGGTAATTCTATCATGTTCATGTTGCCACTACCACATACCTTCTGATCATGATGCTTGCAACACACTGGGTTTGGGCGGAACCATTCGGTAGCTATACTGTGAAGGTTGTCCCAATGGTATAAACGAGAATGTGGTATCCAGGAGAAGTCTTGTGTAGGTAGCAGAGTAAGTTCTTTCCTGACAGTTTCAGTTACAGACTCGAAATGAGGAGCAAACAACTGCAAGCACTTAATTATAGTGCCAACTATGTTTGTACTCTCTGAAATCTGTAGTATCATACCAAGAAAAAAGTTATCCTCAGGTGCAGTGCCATCATTGTAAACGAAGAACACCATACCTTCTATCCTCTCTGCAATGTTATTGGGCCGTATCCAAAACAAATGTTGCTTGTTTCCCTGAACCAATTTGTACTCTAGCATTTCACCTGCAAGAAGGTGCCCAATAAGAGGGTCGAAGAACAAGTAACGACGCGGTGTCCCTCCAGACTCCACAGATCTCAGAAAGTCATTAGCTCCATCTGCAAACCACTCGAATCTTCGAACGGTAGATCTAGTCGGCTCGTCGATATTGCCATAAAAGATGGACGATATCAGTGACTTGGTGGCATGGGCAATTCGCCTAGGAAAGAAGGAATCCCTTGCTACTTGTTTGGCCTCTTGTTCTTCCTGGACACGCTGCCTGCACATGCGTATTGTGTCATCACACTCTTCAGCAACACGTTTCAGCTTCTTCTGCCAACGTAGCAACGGCTCACTAATGATCTGCCACTTCTTGGATGTCTCAAGTGCAAGATCTAACTTGATTTGTGCCATCTCTAACCTGTCCATGTGTTCCTGCGCACTTGATTTTCGCTCATACTTGTCAATCATGCCAGATATGATTTTGTTCACTGTCTCATGAACGAGAGCAGAACTGACCACCTCCCCCATCTTCAGTAATCTGTAGGATTCCCTCCCTGATCAAGAATCAATATATACTATATCAATCACTAAATCAAAAGACAGACCAGTGAATTCCTAATAAGTACTAACAAAGTGCAATGCTGTAGGATATGAAAAGGCCAGCCTTCTGAATTGAATCAATTTTGTGATATAAGAGATATTCATGCAGGGGGCAGTGAAATGAAATAATGCATGATTCCATACAGAAAAAAGTGAGAAATTCAAAGTTCAATGTAAGGCCTAACCTTCTGGGTTGAATCAATAAGAAGTAACTTGGGGCCTTGGGGGTCAGACAGGTGCACCCAGAGAGAGAGAGTACCTAGCACAAGATAACTGGACTGCAGTTTTCAAGAATGAACAGTCCTGTAACACAAGGAGGTATTTATGCAGGGGGGCAGTGACGTGCATGATTCCAGGGAGAGAGAAAAAAAAAGTGAGCAAGTCAGAGTTGGGTGCTAAGCGCGTCTTTGTTTGATGTGTATGGTGGAGAGAACACATCACTCTAGTCTAATCTCCTGTTGATTCGTCAATCAACTTAAAGGACTACCCTCTTTTTGAGCTTTTGACCGTCCTAGGTGGGATTGATGATCTGCCACACTCTTTTAGACCGGAGATTTGATGGTTTGCAATCTTGGGCTAAAGCTAAGCATCAGTCGACACTGCAAAGTCTGCAATCAATTCAGTTCCGGCTACTAACCTTTACGGCCTGTTTGAAGAGAAGGAAAGAGGAATGGAAGTTTTAAGGAGGGAGTTGATAGTGGGATTGGTCATGGGAGTTATATTTTTAGTCCCTATCCTTTCTTTTGTTTCACATCGAATTCTCTCCAAGTCTCACGAATTAACAGGCCTCCTCCAGGTAAGAGATTGGTGGGAATTGGACCTCTTAATTCCCCATCCCAAACCCCTTCGAATTCCCAAATCTTTCAATCAAACTACAAACTTAAACTTCCAGATATCATACACTCTCATTCCCCATTATCAACTCCCACCAACCAAACAGGCCGTTAGTCCTTTACCATCCCTTTCACCTCCTTGGTTGTGCATATACTTCGTCAATATAGAGCCTGGACTAATGAAAATCCTCGAAATTTGGTCGGCTCCTTCGCTGACCCGGCAAAAAGTTAATGAAAATCCATTATCTTAAAAAAAAAAAATCTCTTTCACCTCCTAAACAGAATTACAGAACAGTAATTAAGCATGGAACCAAAGAAAAAACTGGTTGCGAGATGCGGGGAAACTGAGCCGTACCACGGGCTAGTGCGCAGGCGCATGAAGCGGCCGCCGCGAGGCGCGAGCAAACAGCCGCTCTCTTCTTCTTCCCTCTCCGCGTCGCCGCACGCGCCACCACATACGGCGCCACCTAGTGGTGGAGTTGCAGCGGATCGACGAATGCAACGCCATGCCCGGACCTCCCTGCGAGCGCCCTCGTCGGCGCGGACTATCGATCGACCAGAAACCCCGTCCTCCGGCGACGGCGGCGGCGGCGGCCGCGGCCGCGGAGGCCATGGCCAGCCGCGGCGGCGTGCTTGTGGTGGTCGGCCTTCATGCGGCCCAAGTGTCAGTGGAAGCTTGGCCAGCCCATCGAGGGCCCAACTAAAGCCCACACTAACTCACCTGGTTGTTACCCTTCTTGCTTCGCTGCCACAATACAACTTTGTTTACAAATAAAGTCATGCAGAATATTGTGTATGATCATCGAGCACAATATTATCATCACCAACTGGCGTCATCACACCATTGTCATTTTCGCGCAACGGTATATTTGTGCAAAACAATAAATTACACATAAATGGTACCACTATCAAACTCAGAATTTCCCGTTAAAAAATGTGTGGATACAAATAACCCCAAAAGAAAGGAAAATAGAAGTGCATGGGAATATCCAATAGCAGAAATCTGAGCGAGATACTGATATATGCTAATTTTCTCATCACCTTCAAGGCTTCAAACATATTACACGCATGTAAATTCAAATAGAATATGACATCCAAATATCCAGTGGTGAAACTGTACATTAGATTTCCAGGGAATGAACATCAAGTTATCACCATTTACTAAGTTCTGCGCTGCGCAAACAGCAGCAGCAAATATATGGAGCACACATTTCAGATCAATACACTCCTAATAACTTGGAGATAACTCCCTAAGTCACTTCCCCTGCTAGAATATTACTCCCTTTGTCCCAAAATATAAGCATTTTTATCCATATTCTTAGCTAAAAGTGCTTATATTTTGTGACGGGGTAGTACATTTTCATTCTTTGAAGTATCCCTATTTCCCTGACAAGTCCCTATTACATGATCTAAAATTTCAGATGTAGTAGATGAGGTGCTAACTGTGCTTCCTTTTCTTTCTGAGTCCAATCGAGGATTGAGCCCTGCAGCTGGACAGGCGCATGCGCAGCCCAAAGATTTAAGAAATCAGAGATCACATCTATGCGACTCTGTGTCCAATGATCATGTCGTCGCAATAGCTTCGCTTTCTTGGCTCCTCGAATGGTTCTCTGCCTCAGCATGTTCTTGGATACCTTCACAGCCTGAAGATATGCACCACCATGTTTGGACTTCCAAACCATCTGATACACTGTTGTTCCTGCATTCTGACGAAAACAATCTACAGCCCTTGGCAGCATGATCCCTTCCATTTGTTCCAAGGCAATGTTTGTGTGCAAGCAATGTTGGTCAACACCATTAACCATCTCTATCACAGAACTCTCGACTGCTGGGAATAGGTCTTCTGAAGAGCCATGGGGCGTATAGACAAGGTGAACTTTCAGATGCGGAAATTCTTTGAGAGAAGGTTTGCTCTCAACAACTGTGACCTGATCTTTTAACCCAGGCAGTGAAACTTGGCACTGCAAACTCACGTCAATAACTGATTCTAGAGAAATGTCTGGTAAATATGTCTTCTCCATGTTGCCACTACTACATACCTTCTGACTACGATGCTTGCAACACATTGGGTTTGGGCGGAACCATTCAGTAACTGTACTGTGAATACTGTCCCAATGGTATGAATGAGAACGTGGCACCCATGAGAAGTCCTGTGTAGGTAGTTGACTAAGTTCCTTCCTAACAGTTTCAGTTGTAGACTTGAAATGAGGGGCAAACAACTGCAAGCACTTAATTGCAGTACCAACTATGTTTGTGCACTCTGAAAGTTGTAGCATCATACCTAGAAAAAAGTTATTCACAGGCACACTTTCATCATTGTAAACAAAGATCAACTTAGCTTCTACTCCTCGCTCTGCGGTGTTATTTGGCCGTATCCAAAACAAATGCTGATTGTTTCCTTGCACTAATTTGTACTCAAGTGTTTCGCCTGCAAGAAGGCGCCCGATAAGAGGGTCAAAGAACAAGTAACGACGTGGTGTCCCTCCAAACTCCACGGATCTCAGAAAGTCATTAGCTCCATCAGCAAACCATTCAAATCTTCGAACAGCAGATCTAATCGGCTCGTCGATATTGCCGTGAAAGATGGATGATATCAGTGACTTGGTGGCATGGGCAACTCGCGTAGGTAAGGAGGAATTCCTTACTTGTTGTTCAGCCTGTTCTTCTTCTTGGACGCGCTGCCTACATTTGCGCAGTGTATCATCACACTCTTCAGCAGCACGCTTCAGCTTCTTCTGCCAACGTTGCAAGGGCCCACCAGTGATCTGCCACTTACTGGATGTCTCAAGTGCAGTCTCCAACTTGATGTGCGCCATCTCCAACCTCTCCATCTGCTCCTCCGCACTTGAATTTTGCTCATACTTGTCAATCAAGCCAGATATGATTTTGTTCACTGTCTCATGAACAACGGCAGAACTGACTACCTCTCCCATGTTCCCTCCCTGATCAGGACAGAGCAATATATATATCAATCACTACATCATTATGCCCGATAGAATCAAAATACAGACAAATGGATACCTAATAAGTACTTAAAAAGAGCAATGTTGTAGTATGTAAAAAGGCCAACCTTCTGAGTTGAATCAATAGGAAGCAATTTGTGGTCACACAGGTTCACCGAAGAGTACCCAGCAGACAATAACTGGATTGCAATTTGCAGGAGAGCTTAGTGCGAAAGACGGAAAGACTGACAATAGTGTAAGATAACAGATATTTATGCAGGGGGCAGTGAAATGCATTAATGCATGATTCTGGTGAGGAAAAAGTGAGTAATTCAAAGTTGGTGTAAGCGAGTCTTGTGGGATGACTATGTCATCCAGGAGAATACATCATTCTAGTGACCTAGTCTAGTCTCTAGTTGAAACTGCCGTCTCTTGATTTTGACTGTCCGATCCTGGGCTAGCTAAAGTTAAATCCTTTTGTCAGTTGTCTCTTGTCAGTGAATGGCCATGGCACTGGCTTGCTTGTCACCTGCTTACGTGGTGGTGGTCAAAGGGGTTTATTGGGCCCTTTGTCAGTCAAAGCTTGGCTGGCCTATCGAGGCCCAAGTAAAGCACATATTAACTCTCCATATGCCATATGGATTTTCCCTTTTTACTACTATTATTATGTTAATAACCCTGACCTCCTCTAGTCCTATAGTAAAATGGAAGAAAATAACTTGAGATAGAGAGGTGTATAATAGTACAATATCAAGATTTCAGCAGAAAATATACTCACCTCACCAAACTAGTTGAAAATAATGATGTAAACAGATTGCACTGCAAGCCTGAAGACCATAAATGTGCGTCCAGCTGGAAATGGTAAGAGGAGAGTTCAGTTCAGTTGCATTCACTGTTCAGTTCAATTCAGCTGGAACTGTGCGTCCAAACTAGTTAAAATGTCAATTGGAGGGTGAAAAGGCATTATTACCTCTGGTATTTCTCCAGATATTCTGTAACTGAACCAACTTTTGAGTAATATATGTTCAGACCGGTGAAATTGCCTGCCACACTCTGTTTCACAGGATTGCAAGTCTTCTTCCTTTGCGAAAGGGTCCATCAGCATCAATTATAAAATGAACTGTACATACTAGTGACACAATTAACTATTCTGAATCATAGACTACCAACCGGTCATGCTTTGTAATTGGACCAAGTATTGGGATTCTTCTGAACACTTTTAATGGCATACCTGTCTTCCATATGCATTGAAATTGTTCTATTTGGCACCTTATGTTGGCTTGGCATGCCCACCTCCACACAGACCCACCAACAGACACAAAAAATGACTTGGTCTCCTCCTTGCTGCATTGTTCTGTTTTCTGTTTCAGCACATGATGAAGTCAGAATATATTATTACATATATGCATGTGTTGTCTTCTCTCAATTCAAAATCTCCTAAACATATAGAGTAGTTTGAACTACCATAGAGATGGTACAAATGTCAAACTGACAATTTCTGTAAAAAAAATGCGTGCTGGATGCAAACAACCCAAACAAAAAAAGAAGTGCATGGGAATGTGAAGTACAGAAATTTGAGTGAGATATGAAATTTTTTCATCACTTTCAATAACGATACATGCATGCAAATTCAAATAAAATATGACATATCCAAATTTCCAATGATGAAACTGTACATTATATTACCAGAGAATGAACATCATGTTATCATCATTTACAAACATAAGTTTTGAGTTAGACCAACAGCAGCAGCATATGTAGCACACATTTCATATCAATACACTCCTAATGACTTAGAAATCAACTCCGTATGAGTTACTTTTCTCTGCTAGAATATTACATTTCCATTCATTTAATTATCCGTGTTTTCTTGACCAGTCCCTGTTACATGATCTAAAATTTCAGGCGCAGTAGAGGAGGTGCTAATTGTGCTTCCTTCTCTTTCTGAATCCAATCGAGGATTGAGCCCTGCAGCTGGACAGGCGCATGTGCAGACCAAAGGTTGAGGAAGTCAGAGATTGCATTTGTACGATGCTGTGTTTTATGACCCTGCTGTTGCAACAGCTTCGCTTTCCTAGATCCTCGAATGGTTCTCTGTGTGCTCCGAGTGTTCATGGTTGCCTTCATAACCTGAAGATATGCACCACCATGTTTAGACTTCCAAAGCATCTGATACAATTTCGCTTCTGCATTCTCATGAAAACAATCTACTGCCCTTGGCAGCATGATCTCTTCCATTAGTTCCAAGGCAATGTTTGTGTGCAAGCAATGTTGCTTATCACCATTAATTACCTCTATTACAGAACTCTTGATTTCTGGGAGTAGGTCTTGTGATGAGCCATGGGGTGTGTAGACAAGGTCAACTTTCATATGCGGGCATTTTTTAAGAGAAGGCTTGCCTTTGACAATTGTTCCCTGTTCTCTGAACTCAGGAACTGGGACATGGCACTGCAAACTCACTTCAATAACTGGTCCTAGAGAAACACCCTGTACAGATGGCATTCCTAGATTGCTACTTTCACAGCTGTGGTTCTGACCATGCTGCTTGCAGCATAATGGGTTAGGGCGAAACCATTGGGTAGTAATGCTGTGAATATTATCCCAGTGTTTTTTGTGGCATGATTCAGCATATGGCACCCAGGTGAAATCTTGTGAAGGTAGCTGAGTAAGTTCATTCCTAACAGATTCAGCTGTAGACATGAAATGGGGATTAAACAGCTGCAAGCACTTGATTACAATGCCAAGTATGTCCACACTCTCTGAAACTTGTAGCAGCATACACAGGAAAAAATCATCCTCCAGTGCACTAGCATTTTTACTGTCAAAGATCAGCCTAGCCTCTATTCTATTCTCTGAAATACAGAAGGGCCGTATGACAAACAACCGGTACTTATTTTCAGACACTAATTTATACTCTAGTGTTTTGCCTGCAAGAAGTTGCCTGATAAGAGGATCAAAGAACAAGTACTGATGTGGTGTTCCTCCAAACTCCACAAATCTCAAAAACTCATTAGCTCCATCTGCAAACCACTCAAATCTTCGAACAGCAGATCTACATGAGCCATCGATATTGCTGTAAAATAAGGAGGACACTAATGACTTGGTGGCATGGGCTATTCGTCTAGGAATAGAGGAATTCCTTACTTCTTGTTCTGCCTCTTCTTGTTCCAGGATGCGTTGCCGGCATTTGCGCAGTGTGTCATCGCACTCTTGAGCAGCACGCTTCAGCTTCTTCTGCCAACACAGTAATGAAGAATCAGTGATTCGCCACTTACAGGATGTCTCAAGTGCAGCCTCCAACCTGATGTGTGCCATCTCAAGCCTCTCCATGTTCTCCTCTGCGCTTGATTTTCGCTCATTCCAGTTCACCAAGCCATGTATGATTTGGTTGACTGCCTCATGAACAACCACAGAACTAACAATCTCTGCCATTAGGACTCGATCACATATCACTATGCCCAATGTAATAAAGGGACAGATCAGTGATTCCTGATCTGTAATGAATTGCTCTGATTATAGTAGAACTACTTCAGCCTGCTGAGTTTGAATTGGTAGAAAAGAACCTGGGATGGAAGGTATTGCCAAAGAGCACATGAAGTGGCACTGTGGCAGTATAAGAATCTACCCAGCAGGCTGAGACCAGATTGCCTGAATGGCGAGCTCACAATTCTGTAATATATACTGATATTTGGAAGGGACAGAAGAAAGTGATCAGATTATTGTGGAATTAATGAAATGTTCAAGTGGGCCTCTTCGGCCCTCCGCTGATGGCTCAAAAAAGAAGAAGAAAAAACTATTGTGGATAGGAATGGATTGTGATACCCAGGACTTTTGAGGGTTAATGGGTCAAAAGTGGTTAGCGAGTCCTGCACTCAGTTGGTTTTGTTATATTCTCAAGGAGAAGAAAATGGCCAAATGGGGACCATTTGCTACAACAATCTCTTGCGATGAGGTGACTGGTCTTTGTCATTTGGTTAATTCTTCAATGACCCTTGTCAAACTCTGGTCATTGTTTAATCATTTAGGGAGAAGAACGGAATAATATCTAGTCCGATGCCTGGCATCACGTTTTCCTCGTACACGAAAGTGAAATCAGTTTCCCTTTCATAATGGGATGTCCTTTTCTACAGCATAAAACCGATTAGACGGTAGTATCTTATCACTATTGCAGAAAATGTGAAAGCAAACGTAAGTAACTTCTAAAGTTGTTGACGATGCAACTACCTATAAAGCACATCCATGGTGGAAATTAAATTGACCCCTAGCTAATTTTACTCCCTTAGTATGAACAGATGGTAGAAAAATCAAATTGATCCCTCGCTAATTTTACTCCCTAGTGTGAAAGATGGTAGCATCATTCGAGCAGGCGGTGAAAAATCTTCTCCATCATCTGACGGGACGCCGGCGGTAACAACAGTAAACCAACCGGAGATGCGAGTGAACCGAGCGTGCATACCTCGAGCGCTCGCCGCGGCGGTAGTCGGTGGGTGCGCTTGTGCTTGCGCCTCCTCATCTCCGTCGCGCCGGGGCGCAGCTAGCTTCCCCCTCCATGCTCCGCCTCCTACCTCCCCGTGCCGCCATGCGCGCGGCGGCTGCGGCGGCGGCGCCGCCGCTCGCCGCCAGCGCTCTCGGTCACCGCGGCAGTGGACTGGGCCGAAAGCAACAGCTTGAAAGCCTCATTTGGCTAGGCCGAAATGACAGCCCGCTTACATAGATTAATACACGTGGGTGGGCCAGAATTGAGGCCCATCCAAATAAGGCCCAAGAGATAAATATTGCTCATCTATTTCAGCAATGAGATAGTAATGCCGATTTTGTTATATATTTGTCGACGTTTTTTTCTAAAAATTATATTGAAATTACAATGAAATTTTTTCTGTCAACAAATTTTGCTATATATAAATTACAATGTAATTATATTGAGATTGTACTATATTTACATTTGTCAAACTTTTAGTACAATCTCAATGTAATTTCATTGTAATTACATGTAACTATCATGTAATTTTGAACCATTCGATTTGCTTTAAAATTCGTGTATGAAAAAATAACTAACTGTGACAGAAAAAAAATAAGAACTGAACAATAGCTAGCAGATGTAAAACATGTACATTTGCATTGAACATACAGGAAATTAATTAACATAGACTGGCTTGTCAAGAGTCAAGACTAAGATGGGCCTTGGCTAAACCTAAACACACTGGCTCGTACTAGTACAATATTATACATCTTTTAATTTGAAGGGGAACATCTTCAGTAAGCATATACATAATACATGATTAAACTGTCCGCCCCTACCAAAACTTACACTAGTTATGTCTTGTCTTTGATACTCTCCTGGCCTTGGATCTGCAACTAGAATTGGTTTTGCAGCTCCGGATGCGCGGCTTCATCAGACAAAGGTATCCATAACCATGAACTGAATGAAAAGACAGTGAATAAAACCCCAAGTCAGGTTGACAGACGAAGCAATCCATTACCTTGGGCACTAACACTGCCATCTCCTGCATTTCGTGCAGACTAGCATACATACACTTATCAGTTGCTCCCCGACTACTGTAACTCCCCCGATTGGCTTCAGGGTGCGAGAAATGAGGCGAAATATTGATCACCATCTTCAGGATAGACCAATCCCTCACAATATTGCTTGAGTTGTACAAGTAATTGTACTCAACAGCCGAAATGTAGCTGCTGCAGCGCACATAGATAACTTGTTCTGGAATATCATATGGTAAATTGGGCGAGATGGTGTTGTCAGCACAAGGATCGAGCCTCTTTTCTCTGCAACAAAATGGATCAGGGCGAGCAACTGTAGCTCGAAAGGCAAGAAAGCTCCGATGGTAGTCCACGGCCTGAAGTGCTAGCAGTGGTTCGAGGTCTTGAGGATGTGAGTGTTGTAGAGCAGCAAGTTGACCAATTGCATCTTTAGCCAAACGCGTGAAATGAGGCCCAAGTAACTGCAAGCAATTGATGATAATCCTAACTATGTCCGTGCTCTCTGAGAGTCGTAGTATCAGCAACAGACAAAAATTTTTCAGTGGCATTCTGCTATCCTCCTTATTTAACTGTATCAATGCCTCTACGCCACGCCCTTCAAGAGATACAGGTACTATTGTAATACCAAGGGTTTTGCTTCCTTGCAATGGCATGTCATACTTGAGATGTTTCCCTTCTAGAAGTGGTCTGATGAGAGAGCTAAAAAAGTTGTAGTGCCAAAGTGTACGGCCAGTCTCCACATCCCTCGCAAACTTACCAGCCTTCTTTGCAAACCATTCGAATCTGCGAACATGGGAGCAACTCAAAAGATATTGCTTGTTCATGCCAAGGAAAGACAAGACATATGATTTCATGGCTTTTACGGCTTGGACAAACTGCTTGGGAAAATAGCTGTGTGTTACCCCTTGCTCTTCAGCAACTTCCAAAATCCGCACCTTGCATTTCTCCACCACTTCACTGCACTCCTCATAGGCACGTTTGAACATCCTCCTCTGACGAAGCAAGGAAACATCTGTGATGGGTAGCTTTGAAGATCTCTCTAGGGCGTGCTCCAATTGAGCGTGTGCCATCTCCAACTTCTCCAAGTTGTGCCTCTCGGACACCTTCTCCCGGTTGCTGGACAAGTAGGAGACGGCTCCGCCCAAAACCTCTTGGACAACAGTTGAGGCCACCATTTCTGCCATGAGGACTGTTTCTACAGAAAAAAAAAAGAAAAAAGGGAGCATTTTGACAGAAGACATAAAGTGAAAGTGATTAGGTTGCAGAGAGAGCTCGAAATGGGGCACCATATTCGCTTAAGGGACGTAGAAATTATCACATTAATTGAAGAAAAAAAAAGTAAAGATATTGGCCATTTGATCGTGATAGGTCCAAATTATAATGATATAGATTGATCGATATAGTTGTATATAAAAAATACAGCCATGTCTATATAAATAGTAGAAAGTAAGAGTTGTCTATCAAGTATCAAATCCAATTCTAATGTTAGAATCTGTTATATACAAATTACAATTGAATCTAAGAAACTTAAGCTAAGAATTGTTACTAAACCTGATCCTACTTTTGAAATCTAGGTCTGCTCAAAATTGCGCAGGGAAATCCTCTAAATTATGTTACATACATACATACATACATACATACACACATACAATATGTGCGCGCGTGTGTGTGAAGCTGTTTTTAAGAAGTTAAGGACAAAGTGATTTATATTTAAAAATTATAAGATTTAAAAGGAAACCAATTTCGGGCTCTCAATTTAGTGGTATCCTATTAATTTAATGAAATTAAAAATTGACAATTAGCAAATTGTAATTGATGTCTATTCTTCTTTCAATCTAAGCTTATAATTCACTCCCACTAGACGGATGAATGGATAGAAGGTGAGTGAGAAAGGAGGAACTATTACTAGATATGTAGTGGCAGCAATTTATTCACTGCTTTTCCTATTAAGATATTTTCTTGAAGTACCCAGTTAGTATAAGTATAGGTAGATGGTATGCATAATAAAATTCTCACCTTTGCCTCTTAGGCTCTTACTAAAGAACCGAGATACTAGCCACTGATCCCAACTCTGAGAAGATTTGGAAGCTGGCCAGGTCACATGCAGAGAATTGGCCTAGTGGCGTACTGGTGTTATTGATTTGTATTGATGGACCTGGACAAACCATGCATGTAGGACAGTAGGAGTAAGCAGCTGTCTTACAAATGAACTAACTGTCTATATATGAAGAAGTAGAGCAGATTGAGATTATTGTAATATTACTAAACCTTAATAATATAATGAGTATTCAAAAAAGTAATATTACTGAAGTTGAACATATGAAAGACAGAAAGAGACATGAAAAGTTTCCACGAAGGAGGAGGAAAGTTCCTAATTAAGATGTCACATTCACCCGCAAAACCGTAGGAAGTTGCAAACGAGGGTAGATTTACATTAGCATGGGTTTGTCTAATCTGTGTTTATCTACTTAAGCGCGTCATTTAGCCAAAAATTCTGTAATCAACTATGCCATTTCCGCATTTCGTTTCCAAGATAGGAGTAATCAATACTTGAATCGTTCTCCCAAAAAGAAAATAAAACAATCCAATCCTTATCATGCTCGCTGGCGGAGGCTACTCAGTCATCGACAACAAATCTTGAATTCTTAAGATCATCACCCACCCTACCACTTCTTTTATCTGGTGTTTGTTGTTACCTAATGATGATGGGATCATGTGACAGAAGGTGCCTTAGTTCCCTGCAATTTACGATCATATAGATAAATAGGATAAGACCCTATAGATAAATGATCTCAATTAACGCGAAACTACGCTATAATCGCATCGATGAAAACCAAAGTGGAAACTAACACGCGCTTATATTAATTTATTAGACCCAAAACTCAGTGGAAATTATAGGAGACTACTAGAATGAATCAAGCGGAAAATGAAATTGAGAAATAGTAGTTGGTGCATGTACTTGACGCGCGGTGGCAGGTGAAGCCTCCTTCATCCTCTTCACCCTTTGCCTCCGCGGCTTCTCCGGCCGCCGGAGGACCGCCTCGCCTCGCCGGACCCGTACCCCGTCGTGGTCGACGGCGCCACCGCCGCCGCCGCCTTCCTCATCGCCGTTCCTCTCTCTCTCCGGTTCTTCCCCTTGTGACTCTTACGGCCTATAATACTATGGGCTTTATCTAATGTAGTGTAATGATGGGCCGGGCCCATTAGCGCAATGGGCCAATAAATTTACCAACCTCGAATGAATTTCCGAGAATTTCAGGCAAAAATCAAAAACTTTTCTCCGAATTTGAAATCCCAATTCGAATCCACCGGAAGGGGAGAGGCGGCGCGACGCGAATGGCGCGGCGGCGGCGGGAGAGGCGGCAGCTCGCTCGCCTCTGCGACCTCGTCGCCTGCGCACTCCTCCCCCACCTCGTAAGCAGCTCTCTGCACTGGCCTCTGATGACTCTGGTCTCCTAGTCCTAGCCTATCACTCCGTGCGCGCCGCTCACAGGAACCCAAGCCGCCGGCCACGCGGCTCACACGGGAGGACGAGCGGCGGATCCTCCTCGCGCTCTCCCGAGTAATCCTCTCACTAGGGTTCGCGATTGTTACTGCTGCGCTCTATTGCCCTTCCCTTCCGTGATTTTTTTGGGATTTTTTTAGGTAAGTAAGGCGATTCGAGGATGGGAAGAGGAAGAGGAGGAAGAGGAGGAGGAGGACGACGACGAAGGGTGCGAATTGGATCAGGTATTGCCTCCGATAGCCTTTTTTTGGTCAGTTTGATTGTTGAACTGCTGTAGGTTTAGTCGAAATTATGCGACTGACTGAGCATTTGCTTTATATTGGGGTTGAGGAATTAGAACGTAATGATAAAATCTATTATTAGCACATGGCTTTAACCCTGTAGTGTAAGGTATCATCACGGAGCAGAGAGGGAGTGGTTTGGGATTGTGATGATGATGTAGAATGGCTTGTGAAATGTCTTTATGGCATCAAATTACTTAGTTCATGTAGTAACTGATTTCTGTTTTGTGAGGGAATTTGTTTGATTCTGTCACTCAGGTTCCAAGTATTACATTCATTTGTTTCTTACCCTTTTTCTTTAGGAGATTATTTCATGTTCCGCGGAAGTTCACAGTTGCAGTTTACCAGCTAACCAGCATTTTGATGATGGATTTAGCTGCCTGGCCAATATTATCTCCATATTGGTAAGAATATTTCATATACAGCTTTGTTGCGTCAGCCATCAACTTTCCAATCATAGTCAGCGGGATCCTCATATGGTCCCAGTTCCTCATAACCACCTGTTACAGTATTAAATATGAAGTGCACAATATTACCCTTCGTCCCTGCCATTGAGCAATGGCTCTTTAGACTAAATACATCTGGCACTTTTTATGCTACTATGAACCAATAAGTAATTGTTGGGGTCTTTGGGAAGCGAAGGGTTCTGGGTGCTAGTGCCTGACTGCCTGAGTCATTCATTGTTTATATAGCAACACAAAGACAATGAGCAACACTGGATTAGTCTTCATTTTCATTAACCTTAATCTTTTACATTTGTTCAGGCATATTGGCATCAGGATATATAAGTAGGGCATAGGCGTTATCCCGATCACCTGTGGGTCTCTATCAACAACTTTGAATCATGTCATTTGATCCGTAAGTAGTGTTAATGTGTCATCCACTCTTACCAATAGAAAAGGGAGGCATGAAAAAATAACAACAAAATTAACCAGAGGAAGTTGTTGAAACTGTGGCTCCACAAAAATTTTAAACTACGTATACTGCTTCAGAATTAGATATTATTGACAATTGTGGTGACTGTATACTGTTTTATTACATTTCGTACCCTCATGCTTTTTTTCTTCAACAGCTTACTTTGTTAGTATATGACATCATCCTTTTCAGGTTGGCTTCTTTGGTTTCTGTAGCAGTTATGTTAAACACTCAGCTGGGAATATCCTGATTGTCATCTCTGACTCTCTAATGAAGTTTGTAAGCTTCTCATGCTTTCTCATTTTCAATCTGATCCACACTTCTCTCTCAAAAATATTTATTATTCCATGGTTGTTGCTCTATTTTAGGAGGTTGTTTGGATTCAATTTGTTGAGCTGGTCTGGATAGCTATACATACAGTATCAACATGCGCTCATAGTGCTTTACCTTCTTTAATTGACTCCATCAGCAGTTTCAGAAAAGACTCGATTTGCTATTGCTCTGTTATGGAAAGTCTAAGTCACGACATTATTATTTCAAGCACCAATATCACAAGCTTCGTGGAATTACTTCAGCTACGGTGTCTTGATATCAATGGGCATATGGTGGCCAGTCTCTTTCGAGTACTGCACACTATTTTAAAGTTCCTTAAACACACTGATAATGAACTGAAAGAGGACTTCATTTGTATATCTGCTCATCATATTCTTATGGTTGATTGGGATTTGTATTATCAACTCAATGTTGGAGAACCTCTAAACCTTGTCAAGGATAGCACATTTAGCTTGAGTGATGATTTGAAACAGTTAGGATTTCTTTCAAGCAGTCTCCTCCAACTATTGTGCTCTTTACTTGAGCAAAGTGACCTGGAAGACAACAATGGACAAGATATCTATGCTAAGCTTGTAGGTGTAATTCCTAAGTTAGTGGCTATATTACCAGAGCATCAGGATGCCCCCAAAAGTCTCTCTCAGTACTTAAAGCACAAATTTCTGGTAATTTCAGACATGCAAAGATTTTCTATTACTGCACTGACATTTTTGTTGCTTTTCATTTTTTACGAATAAGAATTGTAAAACAGTTTTTGATTAATCAGGTGCATATAAAGTTCTTCTATGAAATTAAACATTTTGTTTTTGGACCATCATCAGTCTGCTATTTATTTTTCAATGCAGATGATAATGATGCGGCTAAAGCCTTACATCCAGAAGGATTGCTCATATATTGTTTGCTGCCTGAAATTACTTCGACAACATTTCCAGGATCTTCTTCATGAACCTATAATGCAACATATTGCTAAACCAGAAAACTGTTTGGAAGGATCCCCATTTTTGTTGAGCACTGTAGGTCTGGGTGAGACTCATGATAAATCCACTAGGCACTTACAAAGACAGGCTATGTATTTGTTTCTTAGCTTTTGCATATGTTTGGCTCACAATGGCAATGACAGTGCACTGCAATGTTCATGCAAGAGAGACGATCAAATGCTTGGTCACAAAGTTCTAGACTGCAGTGATCATTGTGACTGTTTTGCCTTATCAGAAATTTCAGACTGGTTTCAGAGATGTTTCTTAGATAAGATTTTTGGCTTCAAATCATCTACAGACAATGCTCTGTGCTTTCTGCAGTTATATATGGAGGAGGTATGCATCTGTTACAATTGCCTGGTAGCTAATTAACCTTGATCAATGTTCAAGGTAGAAAATATGTTTCATCTTGTTGGTTTTGTTTAAGTAGTTTTTGGTAACTTGGATTTGGCAGTAGTTGCAAGTATGCTGTAGTTGTCTTCGGAAGTGGGTTGTTGTGGACATAATTTGTTTCCTTACAGTAGGATATTTCTCATACATTTATATTACTCTACACTACTATAGAGTTGCCTGTTATGTTTGGCATAAGCCCCAGTGAAAAGGCATGTTAGTTATTACAGAGAGGTGCTAATGCTTTTATTCCAGTTGTATTTGTCTTCTCTGCACTTTCTGTTTTTCCAAACCAATTCATCTAGATGCTTAAGTTATTTGTCAGCTAAGTTTGTTAATTTTCCTAGTGTTAAGTGTTAACATAATACTGATCTGTTCCTTTATACTTTAGGATGACATGCTGTTCAACGTTCTCTTACAACTTCTTGATGCTCCACTCATTTCCTCGAAAATGTAAGCAAAGAGTAAAGCAGTTTGTCTTAGAAAGTTATCCAGATCTGGGTGTAGTTAAAAGTTATGCTCTTTTTTTTTCTGAACTTGCAGAGATAGCATGGAGAATAGATGGGCTTCTGAACTGATTGGTGGCAAACTGTTCTCGAGCATTTTTGACCCAGTTCATGTTTTCCATCTCTTGCTTTTATTGGTGAGTCAGTGAAAATACTTTTACTTCATGTCACTAGGTTTATAAGAAGCACAACTCTCTGCATGGTGGATTGGTGGCATTTTAAATTTCAGTTCTTGTTCATTTCTCTGCACAGGCATACTGCTGTATGTAGTAAAAATATAGTAGCAAGCTTTAGTAATCAGCAGTGTTCAAAACTGTTTAAGATAGGGGGGCATCCTTTACTATTTATTTGGTTGCGGATTCCTTCTTACCGTAGCTTGTACTCAAAAAAAAATAAATAAGACACTCTTATTTATGTTCCATGTTCTTTCAAGTTCAGACAATCATATGGAGGGTTATACAATGTGTAAAGGGACATTACAAACTTAATAAAGTCTCATGCATTTGCTGGCTCATGCACCATTACTTTTCTGTAGATTTCCAATTTCTTCTTCTGATTCCACTCTACAATATGAGTCTTGAGGATAATAGTATTTGTTTATTTTAATGTCATTCTGCAGCTGCACTATGATCACTTGGTGCTTGTTGATTATCTGATATCTAAAGATGTAGGTGTGCATTGCGCACAGTATCTGTTAAGGTCAGTTTGTACCTACAAATCCTTGTATATAAACAGCATAACAGAGGTGCCTTCTCCACATTATGATATCTGTTACTCTATCTCAGGTGCTTACGCCTGGTAACCCAATGTTGGCATTCTTTCACTGATGATTCAATTTATGAGGCAAAAATAGAGAAACTTAACTTTAAAAGGCAGAAGACCTTCAATGATGCAAATAGTAGCAGTGGTAGCTCAATTGAAGGCCCTAAGTTAGGTTCTGCATGTCATAAGAAAAGCAAGAACAAACACAAGCTTTTTCTAAATGCTAAAGCATGCCTCCTTTCATTGAAGAGAACACTGGAAGATCTTCATAGGAAGGGTCTGTTCCCTTACAATCCAAAGCCTCTCCTCAAGAGGTTTGTGGTCATGGTCATATGTCTTCTATGCTTTTCAGTGAAATTGTGATTATGCTGCTGTTTTCTCCCTTTTTTTCACTTATAAAGCTCCATTGATATGAACCATGCAATGTAATGATTAGTTTTTGGCTGTTGCAGCTTGGCCAGGTTTGAGGAGCTTTGTGAGCAGGATTGAAATTTGAGTAGCATGTTGTTACATGCTACTCGTGGAATGACCTTCTGGTAATCAGTTTATCCTTTGCTCTGGTCTTTATGTTGTATGGTCCGATTCATGCAACAAACAAATGTTGAATTAATCTTCTGTTCTCCACAAGGCTCATCCGCCGTTTGGCATCCTTGTCAGGGTGGCCGCTGCAAAATGGAGGTGCAATCAGCTTGATTATCTTCTCTTGATTTACTAGTATACCTTTAGCCCTACTTTTCTGGGCCTAATTTCATGTTGCTTATGAGTTACATGAACCATTAGCAGTGAAATACTCATTCTCCTGTCTCGCCTTAAAACTGATTGATCATTTTCATACGTGAACACTAGCCTGCCCCTTGAAACGAATGAAATTATCCTGTACATGTTACTTTCTAACTGAACTCTCCTGCTACATCAATACATATAAGGCATTTCTTGCCTAAGTTTTCAAAACAAGAAAAAGAAAAGAAAAGAAAATGAATGAACGAATGAATGTTACTTCACTAGCTAGTAGCCTAGTACGAAGTACTATTTATTTAACTAGCGTGCATATACTAGTTACTTTGATAGATTGCTACAATTCGATAGAGAAAATGTGAAACTTCTTAATTGATTTGAGAGAGAAACAATAATTTTGTAGTGTTCTATGTAGTGCAGCTTGGTGAGCCTAACGTATTGGACTGGACCAGCGCTAGAGCTGCTACATAAATGTCATTTCATATTGGCCAAGTTTTATAGTCGTATCTGGCTAACTAACCCGTACGTTGGTTTCGCCGTGGTGTGCGGCTAACTGTTCCTACTATATGCGCCGTGACAAGTGACTCAAATATGTTTCTTTTATTCCATTTGCAGGCCCGGATTGACTTGGTCAGTCAGGTACTTCGTGCGATAGACAATGCACGGTCAGAGAAGGCGAGAGAGCAAAGTCATTGCTCCAAGACTTCCATTGCTTGCTAGTCTGAAAGCAAAGCTTGTGTCTCATTCAGAATGAACAGCACATAGGCTGGCCTCTCCGTGCATCTATATAAACTGGCCCTGATCAATCTCATCTTCCATCAGAGCAAGCTCATCACTTCCTGCAAACTAAAGCTACTCTTCAGTGGGATTGCATTTCGACCGAGCTAGAGAGATTTATAGCTAAGCCAATGGCATCACAGGTTGAGAGCCACCGTGCCGGCGCGGAGATCGTCAGTGGAGACGGCGTCAGCAGGAAGAAGTCCATCGAGCTGCTGGAGGAGCTCGGCCTCCCCAAGGGCCTCCTGCCATTGGAGGACATCGAGGAGTTTGGCTACAACAAGGAAACAGGATTCATGTGGCTGGTGCAGAGGAAGAAGAAGATCGAGCACACCTTCAAGAAGATCAAGCAGACCGTCTCCTACGCCGGCGAGGTCACGGCGTTCGTCGAGAAGGGGAAGCTGAAGAAGATCACCGGCGTGAAGACCAAGGAGCTGCTGCTCTGGCTCAGCGTCGTCGAGGTCTACGTCGCCGATGCCTCGCCGGAGAAGGTCACCTTCAAGACTGGAACTGGGCTCTCTGATACCTTCGATGCCACTGCTTTTGCTCTCGGGGAGTAAGAACTAAGGTCTAATGAGTCGGCTACTCCTATCGTCTAAATTATGTAAAAGGCTTAAAGCCACTTTCTTACATCACCATGTACTGTTGTATCTCTGTATTGCAAACACAGTCACATATGAGTATATTCCTGTATTTGTTCGGATATATTAAAAAAATTCACTGTTTTGCATGTTTAATTAAGGTATACTTATTAATTTATCGGTACAGACGTACAGTTAATTTTGGGGAATACTAATCTTCTCGGGTTTTTTTTTGAGTTCGGTGTAATTTTGGGGAATCCATTTTTAACATGTGAATATTTGATACTCGCTTGAAAATGGAAGAACTGTAGTTCTTTCAAACCATGAGTCTCACTCTCACTGCCTCGTGGGCCCCACTTGACAGCGACTCCCTTCCCGCGACGGTCGAACCGCACCAAGTAGCCGCGAGTCCGAGTTCACCTCCTCCTCTCCCACCCAAACCCTCGCTCCAGCGACGGCGAGCGAGCCGCGTCCTCCCGCATGGCGTCGGCGCCGGAGTTGATCGACGACATCGCCGCCGAGATCCTCCTCCGCATCCCGCCGGATGAACCCGCGCACCTCGTCCACGCCTCCCTCGTCTGCAAGCCCTGGCGTCGCATCCTCACCGACCCCGCCTTCCTCCGCCGCTACCGCGCATTCCACCGAACACCTCCCGTGCTCGGCTTCCTCCACAACGTTGACGGCAACAAGGCGATCTCCTCCGTCCCCCGCTTCGTCCCCACTACCGCCGCGTCGCCATTCTCCCCACCGGCCATCGATCCCCCCAACTGGTGGTGGGCGCTCGACTGCCGCCACGGCCGGGTCCTCTCCCACCTCTTCAATCCCATGGAACTCATGGTCTGGGACCCCATCACCGGCGACCAGCATCGCTTTCCTCTGCCCCCGCACCCGCACGCCTACTGCACTGGCGCCGTGCTATGCGCTGCAAGCGACTGCCACCATCTGGACTGTCACCAAGGCCCCTTCCTCGTCGTCTTCGTGGGCACAGGAAGGCATGATCACTCATGGGCGTGTGTATACTCGTCGAAGACTGGAGAGTGGAGCTCGCAGGCCTCCATTGTGCTCGATTCCTATGTTGAGATGTTGCCCAGCGTCCTCGCCGAAAACACACTCTACTTCTACTGTGAGTATGGCACGAAAATTCTGGGATATGACATTGGCAAGCATGAGCTTTCAGAGATCGACCCACCATTGGGGCATGATGGTGGCATCCTCATAGAATCAGAATATGGTGGGCTGTGATTTGCTACTGTGGAAGCTTGCGGCCTCGTACTGTGGTCGCAGTATGTGTGTTATGATGGCATTGAGGAATGGGAACAATCCAGGATAATTGAGTTGGACATGCTGATCCCTAACTTCTTTTACTCAGGTGGTCTGGTTGGTTTCGCAGAAGGCACAGATATAATTTTCATGTTGACAGATGTTGACTTGTTTGCAATTGAGCTCAAATCAGGCCAAGTGAAGAAGGTTGGTGAGAGCAGGCCCTACTATGCCGTCATTCCCTACATGAGCTTCTACACTTCAGGTAATAGCCTAGATCTTGTACAGCTTGCCTTAGTTGAAATTTCAAAAATTCAGACTAGGCATTGTTTGAGTTAGTGGCTTAAAAAGTATGGGTTACCACATATATGCCCTGTGCTTCAGAACAGTGTTTATATATATATATATATATATATATATATATATATATATATATATATATATATATATATATATCAAAATTCAATGTCACATATCACATAGATCTCTGTTGTTCTTACCCAATTTTTTGTTTGGTTCTAGTACATGTTACGAAATGTTCCTGAAATTAGCTAAATTGCCTAGGCATATCTTGATGACTTGATCTATTATACATTTATACTTCCCCAAAAAGTATTGCATGCCTTATTTGGGTGTTCATGTTGAGCTATTATATATGGTTATGAGTTCTATTCTTTGCATATCTTCAGATCTTGCTAGGAAGAGGTTAGCGCAGCCAGCTGGAATGCAGTGATCCATTCAGACCGATCCATTGAGCTGCTTCTACCTTACAGAGCTAGTCCTTTGAACTTTAAGTCTTCTTTTTTTCTTTTATCCTTTTTGGTGGGGAGTGGAAGTAAGAAGAAAGTATGTGATCGTGCGCAATGAAAATGTTTGATTTCAGTTTGTAATGCAAGTGAGAAAGGATGACTCACGCAACTTGTTTCTTCTCGTTTAACTGCTTATTATCGTTACCCAGGATCTATCTTTCAGGTTTACATTTCTTCTTATTTGAGACAATACTCAATCCATGACTGGGAAGCCCTCTTGGAACTGATATATTGAATATTCCGTTTTTGCACGTGCCCTAGTGAGTAGTGATAAATTTAAGTGGTTGACTCTGTGTAGTCCAGACTTCGAAACCGGGAGATTTGACTACATTTAAACTGCTGTAATAGCTTCAGTTAAATGGAGCTGGGATTTTTGGCCATGTTATTCTAAAAAGGATTTGACTGTATGACTCATCATTCAATGTTCTTAAGTATAGTACCAACAAGCCTGCCATGAGGAACTCCATGCCTTTAGTTTGTCATTTGAAGTAAAATACAGCAGATTGAAAGCTGTCAATGTTGTGGTTTTGCACTTGTCTTTTTTTTATCTCTTTTTGTTCCTGTAGCTTTTTCTGAAAACAATTGAGTGGAAATAGGCATATAGCACATTCACTTGATGTTTACTTAATGCTTTAACAAACTACATAGTTTTTTTTTTGGTCTCCTGTAGCCTATCACAAACCATGTGCATCAGTCTCTTGACGTATTGATTATTCCTAAGCCACAGTGTGGCGCACTAGCGTATATGACCATATGCAAATAGGGCACCTGACTCCCTGCATTTTTTTAGGCTGAATTTGGGTAGGTGTGTTTGTTTTTTTGACACAGATTTGGGTAGGTGTTCGTTTTATTTAAGGATGAGGTTTATGAATTTGCATACGGTGTTTGTAAATTAACTTGATGATGACAGGTCACTTGCAGTCCTTTTGGTGGCATGGCAGCTTTGTTTTCCTCCAAGCTCAACCTTTTGTTGTGTGCAGGATTTCTATATCTGCCTTTGTGAATTGTGATCATAACTTAGTTTTGTTGCCTTCCTCTGGCTCGGATTAGTTAAATTAATATTGAGCTAGTAAACTTAAACTGATGAACCTTACTAAATGGATGTTCCACAATATCTATTTCATCTGGCAATGAAGTTCATTAGTGCATGAAAAACTTACCTGTTTGCTATAATTATGCTTTGCCTTTGATTCTGATGCTATAATTATGTTTTGCTCTTGATACTGACCGAAGTGCTTGCTGCAAGGCATGCAGTGTTCACTGGCATCTCTAAAGGAACTGAGGGCATGAGGTGGGCTGCAAGAGAAAGTTCCTCACGACAGAAGGCAAAGCTAATGACTCTTAAGCTTTAGGAATTCACAAGGTGAGTAAGGATGGGGTGTTGCAGAACAATTCATTGTAGTCAATCCAATGCGGATGCTGTGTTAACCCTTTAAATTGTTTTTCACATCGCTGAACACACAAAAAAAACTTGAAATAATATGTACTCAAGTTGTTTAGTTTGAGCACTACAGTCTATGTGATTCTTTTTTTAGCTAAAGCTATGCCAGTTATTATCACTAGTAGTAGAATACTATGGGGATCAACAATCTTGTATGTCTGAACTCTGAACATCATTTCAGATTGAACACACATGCATTATTTATCTCAATATGTATTGCTAAGTTAGCAGTGGTGTCTCCTTTTTTTTTTTTAATTTCCCTTATGTAGGCTGGCAGTCAAGAGGATCAAGGCATGGAAGAGTAAGCGGCTTGACCCACGCAATGAATTCTTTGATGTTACATCAGTTGGTTTAGCATCGTTTTTTACTATGATGTAGGCGTGTCAACATAGTGTGTGGGTAGTTCTAAAGCTGAAATCTGGGAAGTAATTTGAACTATCGGAGTAGTAGTGAGAATTCCTGGGTCAAGTATTCTAGATGGGAGGGTTGGAAAGCTGAACTTATTTTCGCCGGGTGAAAGCTGAACTTATTGCAATGTAGTTTTCTGTTTAGCTGGTAGTGTAAAATATACGTGTTCATTCTAATACTAGTGTTTACTATGTGCTCTTGTACCAGTTGACTTTCAATGGACAGCCATGGTGGAATGGCCATAGGCGCATCTGATCTGTTTATGCGATGGTGATTGACAGGAAGGAGGCATCATCCCTCCTGATGCAGTAACTTGCGGGCGATACTTCGAGGCGAACAAGTGTAACAAGAAGAAGTGATCAGCCACATGATGGGTCAGTGCCTCGCTTTGTATGTGCCGTGCATCTTCTTTCAAGACAGAAAGTTAAGAGTTGAAGAGCAAGAAATTCAGAGTTCGCAAGGGAAGATGAGAGCTCTCCCAGGAGAGAATCAAAAGCTTACATGGAACTAAAGGTGGTAGACTTCAAGAATATTGGAAGTGATCAGAATAGAGCCAAATCTTGTAATTACAGCTATTCATTTGCATTACTTTGACTCGCTTGTGCATTCATCTTAGGCTTAGCAGGTTTGTAAAATTTCTCTCTTGAAATTGTATTAGTTGGTACTTGTAAAGTGAGCATACTTTACGAACCTGTACTGTGCAAAATTACATGGACTGAAGTTGTATGAAAGTGTGTGAAACTTGAATGTTAGCTTGTTTTCGAAGAACGGGAAGTAGTATTCATGCTAGATCATGAGCCCAGCGAATTGGACCGGACCAGTGCTAATTGGTCAGATAAGTCATCTCTGGCTGGCTGCCCAGCGTACATCCATAACCGTGCTGTGTAACATTGCTTGCTGAGATGCTGAAGTGTGTAGTATTCATCAGTGGATGGACTTGGTCAGGAACTTTGTGCTACGTCAGAGTGAATATGCATGGTATGGTCAGAAAAGGCTGGGGTACAGTTGTGGCATGACTCGAGGCTTTGTTCTTCACGACTTGAAATCCAAAGTCCATAATCTTTGCCTCTACAGTCTGAACAAATCTTGTCAGAATGAACAAACTTTCACAATTCTATATAAACAGAACCCCACATCTCATCTTCCATCACAACAATCTCACAACCCATTTGCACACAACCCAAATTTCAAACTAAAACTTCTTCACCTGAAACTACATACCCAATGGCATCTCAAATTGAGAGCCACCGTGCCAGCGCGGAGATCGTCAATGGAGATGCCATCTGCAGGAAGAAGTCCATTGAGCTGCTGGAAGAACTTGGCCTCCCCAAGGGCCTCCTGCCATTGGAGGACATCGAGGAGTTCGGCTACAACAGGGACACTGGATTCATGTGGATGGTGCAGAGGAAGAAGAAGATCGAGCACACCTTCAAGAAGATCAAGCAGACCGTTTCCTACGCCGGCGAGGTCACGGCGTTCGTCGAGAAGGGGAAGCTGAAGAAGATCACCGGCGTGAAGACCAAGGAGCTGCTGCTCTGGCTCAGCGTCGTCGAGGTGTACGTCGCCGAGGCCTCGCCGGAGAAGGTCACCTTCAAGACTGGAACCGGGCTCTCTGATAACTTCGATGCCACTGCTTTTGCTCTCGGGGAGTAGAAATTATGAAAGACCATAATCTCAACTGTGTAAAAGGATTAAAGCCACTATCTTAGGTCACCATGTACTTACTATTATCTCTTTTGTATTACAAACATTCGAGTATAGTCCTATATATATTTGTTCCCTTTCATCATAAAGAGAAAAGAAAAAAAACAGTGACTAAGGACTAACGTGCACATTGTCATTGCTGTTTAAATTGCTGAAAATTCTTTTGGGTGCCAGAGTTCGAGGTGCAAAACAAACAAAAACAAAGGACCCTTCACCCTTGTACTCAAACTGATATGAGCATATTATCCCTGCCAATAAATAAATAAATAAAATTGAGCATATTATGAGCAGCTGTGATTGTACACGACTCTCATCGACTCGTGGGCCCCACTCGAGACGGTTGTCTTGTCCACCACCGCCTTCTTTCCTCTCGACCCCACCCCAACTCCAAATTCCCAAACCCTCGCTCCGGCGACGGCGACGGCGACGGCGAGCATGGCGGCGGCGGCGCCGGAGTTGGTGGACGACATGACCTACGAGATCCTCCTCCACATCCCGCCGGACGATCCCGCGTCCCTCGTCCGCGCCTCCCTCGTCTGCAAGCGCTGGCGTCAACTCCTCACCGATCCCGCCTTCCTCCGCCGCTACCGCGCATTCCACCGAACACCTCCCATGCTCGGCTTCATCCACAACGTTGACCACAGCAGCAACAGCTCCTACATCCCCCGCTTCGTCGCCACCACCTCCCCCTCTCCATTCTACCCCGATTTCCCTCCACCGAGCATCGAGTTCCCCACCTACTGGTGGGCGCTCGATTGCCGCCATGGCCGCCTCCTCCTCCAACTCTTCAATCCCATCGACCTCATGGTCTGGGACCCGACCACCGGCGACCACCGCATCTTCCCTCAGCCCCCGTACCTGGACTTCTACTGCACTGGGGCCGTGCTGTGCGCTACACGCGGCTGCCGCCATGTTGACTGCCATGGAGGCCCCTACCTCGTCGTCTTCGTGGGCACAGGAGAGGATGACCACTCATGGGCGTGCGTGTACTCGTCGGAGACTGGAGAGTGGAGCTCGCAGGCCTCCATTGCGTTCGATTCCTATGTTGAGATGTTGCCTGGCCTCCTCGTCCAAGACACGCTCTACTTCAGATGTGAGCGTGGCAAGAGAATTCTGGGGTATGACATTGGCAGGCATGAGCTCTCGGAGATCGACCCGCCCCCATTGGGGCATGAGGTTGGCATCCTCATGGAATCAGGATATGGTGGGCTGGGATTTGCTACTGTGGAAGATTGCAGCATCCTACTGTGGTCGCGGTATGTGGGTGATGATGGCATTGAGGAATGGAAAAAATCCTGGGTAATTGGGTTGGACTTTCTGAATCCGGTGGGTAACCCGTCGTTGTCGTGGGAACTGGCCGGTTTCGCCGAAGGCGTGCATACCATTTTCATCTCATCAGAGATTGGTGTGTTCACAATTGAGCTCAAATCAGGCCAAGTGAAGAAGCTGTGTGAGGAGGGCTACTATACCGTCGTCCCCTACATGAGCTTTTACACTTCAGGTACTAGCCTAGATCCTGTACAGCCTCCCTTAAATCGGACCAGGCATTATTTCAGTTAGCAGCGTAAAAGTATAAAATTACGCCATTATGGATATTTGACTGTAAGCTTTAGTTTTCAGTTATAGCGACTTAAAAAGTATGAGTTGCCATATATGTGCTCTGTGCTCAACAACATTGAGTTTATAAAAATTCAATATCACATAAAGTATTAAATTCTGTTTCTCTTACCTTGTTTTTTGTTTGGTTCGACATGTTACGAAATGTTCCTGAAATTAGCTGGATTGCTTAGGCATATCTTGATGACTTATTCTAATTCTACTATTTTTCTTAAGTATACATTCCAGAACAGGACTGCACTACCTCCAAAATTGCATGCCTCATTTGGATGTTGATGTTGAGCTATTTCATGGTTATAAGTTTTATAATTGTGTATTTTCAGATATTGCTATATGGAGGCCGGAGGAACCAGCTGAAGACTGAAGTGCAGTGACCCATCCATTAAGCTTCTGGTATCTTACAGAGCTAGTCCTCTTATTATCTTTTAAGATGGGGAGTTGAAGTAAGAAGAGAGTACTATGTGACCGTGCTCAGATAAGATGTTTGATTTCAGTTTGTAATGCAACTGAGAAAGGATGGCTCACACAGTGAACATTTGTTTCTTCTCATTTAACTGCTTATGATCGTTACCATGCATATATATCTTTGAAGTTTACATCTCTTCTTATCTGAGGTAATACTCAATCCATGATTTGGAAGCCCCACTTTGAACCGATATATTGAATCCTTTGTTATTGGCTCCTTGCTCTGATGAGTAGTGACAAGGTTTGAGTGGTTGACCCTACTACCCTATAGTAGTTCAGACTGTGAAAATACAGAGGTTACTGACTTAGTGTTCTTTTTATTTTGGGGAGCACATGGTTTAGTAAAAAGTAAACTGAATAATAACTTGAAGAAATCGTGAATATAAAAACCTGTGAGATTTGACTGGATTTTCTGTTATTTAAACTTTTGTAGAAGTTTCAGTTAATAGAACTGGGGTTTTAGGCCGTATCATCCTGAAAAGGATTGGGCAGCATGACTCATTAAAGCATGAACTTGATGTTCCTAAATAGAGTAGACACTAGCCTGCCTGCCATGAGGAACTCCATGGCATTAATTTGTCATTTGAGATCACTCAATATAATTATATAGGAGTAAGATTGAATTGCATTGACAGCAGAGCACTTTGCCTTCTGGTGCTGATTGATTTTGATATTATTCTAAAATGGATTTGGCTCTATGAATTTGATGTTCTTAAAGAGAGTAGATCAAACTAGCCTGCCTGCCATGAGGAACTCCATGGCATTAGTTTACCATTCGAGCTCTATATAATTACACAGGAGTAAGATGCCTTCTATTGCTGATTGAAGCTGCCAATATTATTACTTTGATTTTGTGATCTGCCTTTTGTTCCTATCATCCTATGGCTATTTCTGGAAACATTGAATTGGTGGTGCTAGGGGATATGGCACTAGTGTCTAGTACTGATCATGAACCAAATGAATTGGACCAGACCAGTGCTAATTAATTGGTCAGATAAGTCATCCCTGGTTCCTCCCAAAAATAAATAACTGAATGAATAACAGTCATCCTTGGCTGGTTGTATAGTGCATGCTGGGATGCTGAAGAAGTGTATGCACTACATAATTAGTGGACTTGGTCAGGGATTTTGTGCTTCAGAATTATAATTTGCAGTTATCAACTGCATGGTCAGAAAAGGCTGGTGTTCAATTGAGAACTCTATATAAACAGAACTCACTATCTCATCTTCCATCACCAACAATCTCTCACCAACACATTTACAAACCAAAGCATTTTTTTTGGCCTGAAACTACATATCCAATGGCATCTCAAATTGAGAGCCACCGCTCCGGCGCGGAGATCATCAATGGAGATGCCATCTGCAGGAACAAGTCCATTGAGCTGCTGGAAGAACTTGGCCTCCCCAAGGGCCTCCTGCCATTGGAGGACATCGAGGAGTTCGGCTACAACCGGGACACTGGGTTCATGTGGCTGGTGCAGAGGAAGAAGAAGATCGAGCACACCTTCAAGAAGATCAAGCAGACCGTCTCCTACGCCGGTGAGGTCACGGCGTTCGTCGAGAAGGGGAAGCTGAAGAAGATCGCCGGCGTGAAGACCAAGGAGCTACTGCTCTGGCTCAGCGTCGTCGAGGTCTACGTCACCGAGGCCTCGCCGGAGAAGGTCACCTTCAAGACGGGAACCGGGCTGTCTGACACCTTCGATGCTGCCGCTTTCGCGCTTGGAGAGTAAGCTTAAGGAGTCAATCAGCTACTATAAGCTAGTAGAAATGATGCAAGACTGCAAGTCCTTAATCTTAATTACTATGTAAAAATGGCTTGAAGCCACTATCTTACATCACCTTGTACTGTTATATCTTTTGTACTATTACAAACATACTCCTACATGAGTATATTCCTGTAGTTTATTATTTTTTTTGAACGAGTATATTCCTGCATTTGTTCCTGTTCTGAGAAACAATTGTTTTGCACAAGACAACACAAGTCAAGTTGATTAAGCAACACTGGAACAGGGCACTTACAAAATTGTAAGCTTGAATCTTTAGGTCTCCTTTCCCAAAAAGAAAAAGATATGCAGAGACTAACATGCACATTATCACTAACTTGGAGTGGGTTTCAACTTGCAGTTTAAACTGATAAAAGTTCTACTGGTTCGAGTTTAAGGTGCCAGCTGCGCCGTGCTTATAACTGGGTTTTGTTCGTCTTCTCTGAACTTTGCGATCAGGTTCTACTGTGTTCATCAATAGATGATGTTGGTCTTTTGACAGTAATCTGATATTTCATCTCATTTAATAATTTTGCACAAATATATATAAAAATATAGTACATGCTTAAAGTGCCTTTAAAAATAAACCAAGTAAAGAAAATGACCATTACATATGTTTTAAAATAAGACAGAGGTTAAACTTATGTACAAATATTAACGGTGTGATCTACTCCATCCGTCCCAAAATATAATAATTTTTAGCACTTCAGATTTATCCTAAAATATAACAACTTCCTCACCAACATTTCCTTCCCAATCAATCACAACCCTCTACCATTAACTTTTCTCATCTACCTCCACTTCTTAACCAATCACAACACATTCCTATTTAATTCTATCTACTTTCTTAATAACCTTGTCCAACTCTAAAATTCTCTATATTCTGGGACGGAGGAAGTATTGAAAAACCGGCTGCCCATTTTTCGGTTAGTTATAATTTTGGGTTGATCCATTGTCACAATGTGAGGGCTTCCTTTTCATTTTCGAAGTAAAAAAACCGCTCCCCACCAGCTTACGAAAAACCAACCGAAAACCAATAAAAACCGATGATTTTCGGTCAACGCCGTACAAAAACCAGCTAATACCAGTCGGCTTCCACAAACTATACCTAGCGGTTTCACGAAAACTGACCGGTTTTTTACTAGGTGAATTTGGAATTCATTCCTATGTTCAAACTGGCCGGAGCGCAGCTGTGATTGTACACGAAAGGAGTCCCACTCTCACTGACTTGCGGGCCCCACTTGACAGCGACTCCCGTCAAGCCACCACCAGCGTCCTCCTGCCCGCGACGAGTTCATCGCCTCCTCACCACCCAAACCCTCGATCGCTCGCTCGCTCCGGCAATGGCGTCGCTGCCGGACTTGATCGACGACCTCACCACCGAGATCCTCCTCCGCATCCCGCCGGACGAGCCCGCATCCCTCGTCCGCGCCTCCCTCGTCTGCAAGCCCTGGTGCCGCATCATCACCGACCCGGCCTTCCTCCGCCGCTACCGCGCATTTCATCGAACACCTCCCATGCTGGGATTCCTCCACAACGTTGACGGCGACAAGGCGATCTCCTCCGTCCCCCGCTTCGTCCCAACCACCACCGCCGCCTCCTCGCCGTTCTCCCCACCGGCCATCGGTTCTCCCCACTGGTGGTGGGCGCTCGACTGCCGCCACGGCCGCGTCCTCATCAACCTCTTCAATCCCATGGAGCTCATGGTCTGGGACCCCATCACCGGCGACCACCATCGATTTCCCGTGCCGCCGCACCCGCACGCCTACTGCACCGGGGCCGTGCTATGCGCTGCGCGCGACTGCCGCCATCTCGACTGCCACCAAGGCCCCTTCCTCGTCGTCTTCGTGGGCAGTGGAGAGCACGGGTACCATTACTCATGGGCGTGCTTGTACTCGTCAGAGACTGGAGAGTGGAGCTCCAAGGTCTCAATCGTGTTCGATTCCTATGTCGAGATGTTGCCCAGCCTCCTTGTCGAAGATATGCTCTTCTTCATCTGTGAGAATGGCATTAGAATTCTGGGGTATGACATTGGCAGGCATGAGCTTTGGGAGATTGAGCCGCCATTGTGGGATGATTACCAAGGGGGAACCCTGATGACAGCGGAGGATGGTGGACTGGGATTTGCTACTATGGAAACCCGCGGCCTCGTGCTGTGGTCGTGGTATGTGGATGATGATGATGGGATTGCAGATTGGGAACAACTCAGGGTAATCAAGTTGGAAATGCTGATCCCGGTGGATAACCCCTCAGTCTCACTTGATCTGGTTGGTTTCATAGAAGGCACACAAACCATTTTCGTGTCATCGGATGTCGGCGTGTTCGCAATTGGGCTCAAATCAGGCCAAGTGAAGAAGGTTGGTGACAGCAGGCCCTACTATTCTGTCCTTCCCTACATGAGCTTTTACACTTCAGGTACTAGTCTAGATCCTTATTGTAATTTCAGTTGGTGGCGTAAAAAGTCTTAAATTACGCCATTATGGATATTTGACAGCAAGCATGATTTTTCAGTTAGCAACTTAAAAAGTATGGGTTAGCATATATGTGCTCTGCACTTAAGAGCACTGAATTTATGAAAATTCAATATCACATAAAAGTGTAAAACTCTGTTGCTCTTACATCATTTTTTGATTGGTTCAACATATTATGAAATGTTCCTGAAATTTGGTAATTGCCTAGGCATTTCTTGATGGCTTGATCTATTATACTGTTTATTTTTTCTGAATTATACATTCCAAAATAGCACTGTGTTAAATTACATGCCTCATTTTGGGTATTACTGTTGAGCATAATATGGTTATAAGTTTTATACATTATGTATTTTCAGATCTTGCTAGGGGGAGGTCGTCGCACCCAGCTGGAGTACAGACTGTACAGTGACCCATCCAGACCCTTCCGTTATGCTTCTGGTATCTTACAGAGTTATTCCTTTTTATTATCATTTCAGATAGGCAATCGAAGTAAGAAGAGAGTATGTGACCGTGCTTGGTTGAGGTGTTTCATTTCAGTTTGTAATGCAATTGAGAGAGGATGGTTCATGCAGTGAACAATTTGTTTCATTTCATTTAACTGCTTAGGACCGTTACCCTCAATCTTATAGGTTTACATTTCTTCTTATTTGAGGCAATGCTCAATATGGAAGCCCACTTGGAACCGATATATTGAAGCATTTGTTTTTTGCTTTTTGCTCTGGTGAGTAGTGATATTGTTGAGTGGTTGACCCTACTACCTGTTGTAGTTCAGACTGAAAATACAAAGGTTACTGCTCATGTTTTTTCTGGAGCACCTTATTTAGTAAAAATAAATTGAATAATAAATTGAAGAAATTATGAACACAAAAACCTGAGAGATTTGACTGCATTTTTTGTGCTTTAAATTGCTGTAACTGTTCAGTAAAAGCAAACTGTTCTAATTGTTTCTGTTAATGGAACTAAGGGTTTTAGGCTGTGTTATTCTAAAAAGAATTTGACTGGATGACTCATCAAAGTATGGATTTGATGTTCTTTAATAGAGTAGAGACCAGCCTGCCTGTCATGAGTTTGTTATTCGAGGTTATTCTATATAATTACATAGGAGTAAGATCGAATCGCATTGACTGCAGAGCACTTTGCCTTTTATTGCTGATTGAAGCTGCCAATGTTATGATTTTGTTTTTGTGCTCTGGCTTTCGTTCATATGGCACTAGTGTCCAGTATTGATCATAAGCCCAACGAATTGGACCGGACCACTGCTAATTAATTGGTCAGTTAAGCCATCTCTGGCTCCTTGCCAAAAAAAAAAATACAGAACAAATAAAGGGTCATCCTTGGCTGGCTGACCAGCATACATCCATAACTGTATTGTATATTGCATGCTGGGATTGAAGAAGTGTATGCATTACACCATTAGTGGACTTGGTCAGGGGCTTTGTGCATAGAATTAATATGCAGTTATCAACTGCATGGTCAGAAAAGGCGGGTGTTCAACTGAGCCATGAATCATTGAGTCATGGCTCGAAGCTTTGTTCTTCACGAGTTGGAATCCAAAGTCCATAACCTTTGCCTCTACAGTCTGCACATATCTTTATCAGAATGAACAAGCAGACAAGTCTTGAGAACTCTATATAAACAGAACCCCATATCTCATCTTCCATCACCAACAATCTCTCATCAAACCATTTGCAACACAATACCAAACCAAAACTTCTTTGTGTGAGCCACATATCCAATGGCATCACAAATCGAGAGCCACCGCTCTGGTGCGGAGATCGTCAATGGAGATGCCATCTGCAGGAAGAAGTCCATTGAGCTGCTGGAAGAACTTGGTCTCCCCAAGGGCCTCCTGCCATTGGAGGACATCGAGGAGTTCGGGTACAACAGGGGGACTGGGTTCATGTGGTTGGTGCAGAAGAAGAAGAAAATTGAGCACACGTTCAAGAAGATCAAGCAGACCGTCTCCTATGCCAACGAGGTCACGGCATTCACTGAGAAAGGGAAGCTGAAGAAGATCACCGGAGTGAAGACCAAGGAGCTGCTGCTCTGGCTCAGCGTTGTTGAGGTCTACATCACCGATGCCTCGCCGGATAAGGTCACCTTCAAGACAGGAACCGGGCTCTCTGATACCTTCGATGCTGCCGCTTTTGCTCTTGGTGAGTAAGGCTTAAGGAGTCAGTCAGCTACTGTAAGCTAGAGATGGTGCAAATCTGTAATCTTAATTATGTAAAAGGCTTAAAGCCACTATCTTACATCACCATGTACTGTTATATAAATCTTTTGTATTGTAATTTGCTAACATATATGAGTATATTCCTGCATCTGTTCCAGTATTAAAAAAATACTGTTTTGCACAAGACCTTAGTCAACTTGGTTAATGAACACTGGGACAGGGCACTTAAAAAATCGTAAGCTTTGTAGACTAGTGCACATTGTCAGTAACTAGGAGTGATTTTCAACTTGTAGTTTAAAGGCAAAATTTGCTACGGGACATCCAAAAAACGTGTAATTAGCTGGGAGACACCGCAAAAATACTTATTTGCTATAGGACACCACAAAAAACTGGTAATTAGCTGCTGGACACCCGTGGGATTATTTTACTATATCCGGAGAAATTGGAGAGAGAAAAAATCATTAAAGACAAGTTTGCCCTTGGCTCAAAGGAATCCAAACATGGGCCCCACATCGCTGGTGGCTTCTCCGAGTTCGAGTCCAACCTGCAGCTGCTGGCCGGCGGCGAGATTCGTCACCCCGCGCAGCCTCTTCAACTGCGGCAGAAGCGCACCGCCGCCACCGGAGTTCTAGTATCACGATGTCGCGCCGCCGTTCCCCATGTCCCTCGTCGCCAACACCCACCTCAGAGGCAAAACCAAAATCATCTTGTTCTTGATGATGATTTAATTCTTGCTCAATTACTGATCGGTAAGTAATTCTTGGTTAATTATTAATTTCCGTGTGCAGGTCGCGAGCTGAGATGCTGCTACAAGGCCAACGTGGACGGCTTCAGCGCGACGGACTTCCACCGTCATTGGCTGCATGGCCACCGCCGCTGCCGCCGGCGGGGTCATGCCGTCATGTTCGGCAGGTTCAGCCCACAGGGGTACCGAAGCACGGACGACTACTACGACACGCTCGACGCCTTCCTCTTCTACTGGCCGGACACGGACACGGATGCCGCAGCGACGGCGGCGGTCGTGCTGCCAAAGGTGGGCGGGAGTGGGGCGGCGCTGTTCGACTACGCGAGGGCCGCAGTTCGGCGCCGACGGGCTGCTCATCGGGCCGCCGCTGATCGCCGTGATGGGGGGGGGAGGTGTTCACGGGGCCCGACTCCAGCACCGGCGCCGGCGACCTCCGCAGCACGCGGTCGCGTTTCGGGCTGTCGTACGCGAAGCGCTCCACCGTCTTCATCTACAACTCGGCGACGTTCCGGTGGACCAAGGTGCCCGCGCAACGCCGCCCCAACCGAGGTGCCCGCACTGGCGCGCGCCTCGCTGCGCCGGTCACCGGCGCTCCCTCGGGCTAAAGAGAGAAAGAATGAGAGAGAGAATACTAACGAAGGAGTAGAGAAGGATGGAGAAAAAATAAAAATAAAAAAAAATTCAAAGGGTAGAATCGTACTTACACAGCTGTTTCTCTCTCCAATTTCTCCGGATATAATAAAATAATCCCGCAGGTGTCCAACAGCTAATTACCAGTTTTTTGTGGTGTCCTTTAGCAAATAAGCGTTTTTGCGGTGTCTCCCAGCTAATTACACGTTTTTTGGATGTCCCACGGCAAATTTTGCCTAGTTTAAATTATCTTCTCTGAACTTTATGATCAATTTGTGTTGGGTTCTTTTTTTTTATCCTTTCGGATGGGGAGATGAAGTATGCGATCGTGTTCAGAGGTCAGTTAAGATGTTTAATCCAGTTTGTAATTCAAGTGAAAAAGGATGACTCACACAATGAACAGTTTGTTTCTTCTCATTTAACTGCTTATGATCTTTACCCATGATCTGTTTTTCAGGTTGGCATTTCTTCTTATTTAAGACAATATTCAATCCATGATTGGGAAGCCTAATTGGAACTGATATATTGAATTGCTCTAGCCCCACTGAGTAAGCATTAAAATTACAGTTCTTTTTTTGTTTTTTGGTTGTACCTGGTTGACCAAGTAGTAATTGGTAAGCTGAATAATAACTTGAACAAATCGTGAACACAAAAACTATGAGATCTGACTGAAGTTGCTGCCTTTTAAACTGCTGTTCGGTTAATGGAACTGGGGTTTTGGCTGTGTTATTCTAAGAGATTTGACTGCATGACTCATCAAGGTAGGGTTGATGTTCTTAGATATATAGCAGAGGCAAGCCTACCATGAGGAACTGCATGGCTTCAGCCTTCAGCTTGTCATCTGATATTTTGAATCACTATATTATACTACAGCGGAGCAAGATCGAACCTCATTTAACAGCAGAGCACTTTGCCTTCTTTTGCTGACTGAAGCTGCCAATGTTATGAGTTTTCTGCACTATATTTTGTTCCTATAGTAGCTTTTCTGAAAACATTGAATGGATATGGCACATTCGCTCGATGATTTGTTTTATGCTTTCCTGCCACTCTGTAGGCTGTAGCAAACGGCAAGTTTTTTCAGTCTCTTGTAACCATGTGTATTTGCGTCTTGACGTATTGCTTATCCTTCAGATATTGCCGGTTGCCGGGCACCATCAGCGAGGAAATGAGCATGTGTTGGACCAGACCAGTGTCATGACAAAAGAAATTCCTGATCAGCAAGCAACATCGCAGAGCAGAGGCTAGCAGATATTGTACAGTTTCAGGCTCAGCCCTTACTGTATGCACCGAAGTGATGCAGCAACTGAGAACTACTCTTGAGGAAACGCAAATTAACCGCAACACTGCAGAACAGAGTGCATCAAAACGATGGAATCTTGTCATGATCGCAGCAATGGACATATAAACCGAGATATAGGCTGCATATTTACTGAGCAATTCTGGAACCGAAGATCTCAATGCTGAAGATATCTGGCAGACAAATTCTCCTCAAACTTATGCTTGCCCGTTTCTGTTGCAACAAAACCAGGCCGCATCGTGGCCTCCGCCACGTCCTTCTCCTCTAGGCCTCCCTGACGTCACGGTCGCCGTCTTTATCTCTGCAACGACCTCGCATGGATCGGAGTCGGACTCTGGGCTAACATATCAGCGAATTTTAATTCCCATGTGTTGGATGGAATGCTGAAATTTTGTTGGGATTTCGCAAGCGACAGAGATGTGTTTCATGTGTTTCAAGTGGCCTGTCAAATTGAGCTACCAGCAGCCTGCAGGCAGGCAGGCAGGTAGGTTTGTTCCGACAAGTGAATTACTGAACATCAATCAACATTTGCAAATCTACAGACTGCAGCTTACAATTCACAGTTCAGTCCAGCTCCAGCAGCAATAGAATTGACTGCAACAGCTGAGAACTTGAACCCTCAGATCGATCGTGCACACGTGCAAATTAACTTTTGAATTCGAGTCTTTGAGATTTTCGTCTCAATCTGTTGAAATCTTCAGGATACCTTCAACGATACACAACGGCACTTTGGATGATACTCACTGATACAATAACAATAGTTGATGATACATGTTTATACTTGCTTATATTGATTAATGCACGACGTGACGACAACACTCAAGGATAATGACTGAGTTTTTATTATAAAGAACACGGGTTTCTTCATCACACTATGGGATACACTAAATCTCAGTATCATGGGGGATCTCGCAACATCTGCAGCCTGGACAGATCTTCATCACAATGAACAAACAAATTAACATGATACTTGGGAACTCTATATAAACAGAACCCTACATCTCATCTTCCACCACAGCAATCTCTCAACCCATTTGCACAAACAAACACAACACATTTCCAAACCAAAAACTTCTCTTCTAATTTTCTCCGAAACTACTGCTCCAATGGCGTCACAGATCGAGAGCCACCGCGCCGGCGCGGAGATCGTCAACGGCGATGACATCTGCAGGAAGAAGTCCATCGAGCTTCTGGGAGAGCTCGGCCTCCCCATGGGGCTCCTGCCATTGGAGGACATCGAGGAGTTCGGCTACAATCGGGAGACCGGGTTCATTTGGATGGTGCAGAGGAAGAAGAAGATTGAGCACGTCTTCAAGAAGATCAAGCAGAACGTGTCGTACGCCGGTGAGGTCACGGCGTTCGTCGAGAAGGGGAAGCTGAAGAAGATCACTGGCGTGAAGACCAAGGAGCTGATGCTCTGGCTCAGCATCATCGAGGTGTACGCCGCCGAGGCGTCGCCGGAGAAGGTGACCTTCAAGAGTGGCGCCGGAATCTGCAAGACCTTTGACGCCGCTGCGTTTGCACTTGGGGAGTAAGGACTTGGAATTAATTTGCTTGCATTGTTCGAAATGATGCCAAAAGTTTGTGGTAAATGTCCGTTCAAAGAAAGATGGTAGTACTTTTGTTGTTTCATGCATTAAACTCGAGTAATCAGCAGTGCCATGTACATGTACACTGCGTTGTGATCAAATCTATTATTTTAAAAAATGTACATTATATTTTTTAACAAATAGGCGAGCCGCCAATTTCATTGAAAATGTAAGGAGTAAACTGTACAGGTCCAAGAAAGTGTACAAGCTCAGTACCTTTGGACCAAGCTATCTATAAAGTTAGTCAGTTGCCGAGGATTTCTGCGCCCGCTAGTTGCTAGAACCCATGTTTTTTTTAGAGAAAATTCCCTATCTAGCATAAAAAAAATTGCTCTTCCCTCTATAGCACCCAAACTTCAAAAGTTCCCTATCTATACACCATCAAAATTTTTGTTCCCTATCTATCACTTCCGTTAGTTTTGAGGGTGACGGTGTTAAGTAGCATGAGGAAAGACGGTTTTGCCCTTCTGTATTTTATACTTTTTTCTCTTTCTCTGTTCACAGTTTTTTTTTGTTCTTTATTTTTTTCATTTAGTGTCCTCCCGTGCCGCCGGCGCTGCACTCCCATGCCGCGACGGGCTGGCTTCCCGTGCCGCTGGCGCTGCCCATCCGGGGGAGCCCGCCGGCGCCAATGGCCGCCCGGGGGCTTGCCATCCTCGCCGCCTGGCTGATTCGCCGTCCTCGCTGTCCTCGCCACCCGGGGGGTCGCCGTCCTTGCCGCCGGCCATGGGGGCGGTGATCTAGGGTTTTGGCGGCGTGGATTTGGTGAGAGGAGCGCGCGGGTTGGGGAGAGCAGGTCGCGGTCGCGCTCAGTCCTGGAGAAAGAGCAACAAAAAAATCCTGAGGGTGGGTCCATGCTTGTTTTGACGGTGGAGGCTAACGGGAGTAACGGAAGTGTTAGATAGGGAACAAAAATTTTGATGGTGCATAGATAGGGACCTTTTGAAGTTTGGATGCTATAGAGGGAAGAGCAATTTTTTTTATGCTAGATAGGGAATTTTCTCTTTTTTTTATTCACCCTTGATCTTGGCTAGAAGGCTAGTTGACGGGAGCTCCTTTTGTTGGAAGGTACTACGATTCCTTCCATTCCATATCTCCCAGACCACTAGCAACATAAGGGTCCGCCACGCTTTCTTGGACGCATCTTTGGTATTTACAGTGGCCTCCCACCACTCAAGCAGCGTCAAGGCGTTTTGCCACTAGGTTGTCCTAAGCTGGCCGCATGCTGTTCATTCCGCTAGTGCCGTCCAGATTCTTTTCATGTATCTGCATCCCCCTAGTAGGTGGAGGGCTGTTTCCTGGTTCCTACGACAAAGGGGGCAAATGGAGTCATTCTGCCATCCTCGTATCACGAACCATATGGTATGGTTTATCTAAAAAAAATTCTCCAGAATGTGCATCTTTGCATTAGAGCATCACCGACAACATCCCAAAGTTTTGGTTATGAGAATGGTAAACAGAATTTGAGATGTCAAAATTTTCATCCCTCCAAAAGATTAATTAAAATTAGCTTCCTAAAAACTAAAAAGTGAGTCCCCTAGGAAACTTCCAACATAAGGGGGTGTTTAGATCCCACTCCAAAATTTTACACCCCATCACATCGAACGTTTGAACACCTGCATGAAGTATTACATATAGGCTAAAAAATAACTAATTACACAGATTGCGACTAATTTGCAAAACGAATCTTTTAAGCCTAATTGCTCTATAATTTGACAATGTGGTGCTACAGTAACCATTTGCTAATAACGGATTAATTAGGTAATAAATTCGTCTCGTGGTTTACTGACAGGTTTTGTAATTAGTTTTTTTTTGACCCAACACCCTATGCGACACCTTATATAATACCCGATGTGACATGCCAAAACTTTACGCCCTTGGATCTAAACACACCCTAAATATTTGGTATTTTGGATATGGGTGAATAGCCAAAGTGGTCCTTCAAGTTCTAAGGCTCAGTCTGGTCCTTCACATTTCAATCTGTCCATATCAGTTCTTCAAATTTTATTTTAGTTCAAACTTATCCTTAGACCCACTTAAAAGCCATATGGGTAAACATAACCAACAGCTCTCTTTACCCCCTCATTCACATATATAAGAAAAAAAAGGTCTTACCATTCATACGATGAAACTGTATGACGAGACCCTCCCCGCAACACACACAAATTCCCAACTTCCTATTGAAGTACTGATATGGGTGTTTTTCCATTGAAATTTGTGTGCAATGAATTCGTTTTCCCATTTTATTTTACTTCAGCCTGACGTCGCATGACGCATGCGTGCAAACTACTTTAAACTATTTTTTCTTTTAAATTATTTATCCAAATCATGATCATATTGCACCATTAAATTCGTTACAATTAAATCTTTAAAACAAGACCACACATGGATATATTCCGACAAAAAAGTTTAGCTTATTATTGAATTATTTTTAAATGTTACACGCTGTTCCACCAAGTATATCGGAATTGTTTCACTAAGTAGATCAAAAATGTTTCAATCGTTTAAATCAGGTGTTGTTTCACCTTATATAAAAACAATGTTTCCGCAAATAGCGAAAGAATGTTTCAGTTCACTGCAACATTTGATCCATACATAGTGAAACATTATAAGTACACTATATGAAACATTTTTTGTGGAACAAAAAATAAAACGAATTCCCTTAATAGAGGGTTTCCAAAATATGTGGGTGATTTGTTGCAAAAGAATGTTTCAATTCACTGCAACATTAGATCTATACATAGTGAAACATTGTGAGTACACTAGGTGAAACATTTTCAGTGGAACAAAAAATGAAACGAATTCCCTTAATAGAGGTTTTCCAAAATATGTGGGCAATTTGTTGCAAAAGAATGTTTCAATTCACTGCAACATTAGATCTATACATAGTAAAACATTGTGAGTACACTGGGTCAAACATTTTTTGTGGAGACACGTGGCAGGTGGGGGCAGGACACATGGTGGGGCCTAGGGGGAACGTGCGTGTCAGGGGGCGGGGGAGCACTCGATTTTGCTCCCTTGGCCGGTCGCCCGAGCAGAGGGAAAATCAGTTAGTTAGTAGTAGTAGTAATATGATGTTTTATTCACTTCATCCCAAGTAATAGAATGGAAACCTGGCAATTCAGGATGTGTTTTCCCTCACCCTAACCATGGCTATAAATTGCGTGATTGGTTTGATAATGGGAAAACCTTCTTCTTCTTCTTCGTGTAAAGATCTCCTTCCTCGCTTAGGCTTTTTCAAAGTGGATCTTAGGGGTTTGAGTTTGAGGGTACCTTCCGGGTAGCTTTACCTTATGCTTGCTACTCAAATTTTCCATAAGGCCACATAACCTGCTATATAGAACTCAATTTTTCCATAAGGTCACATAACCTGCTACATGGATGGTGACACTAATTTGGGAGCTTTCTTCATCTCTTCTTGGAATGAGTTCTTTTTATTGATCGACTTGGCAAGCATATTGCACTTCTGCCTTCTTTTTTTTCTATGTTAGGCTAATGCATTTCCAATTGTGTTGTAACATTGAAGTAAGAAAGAAACACATTTTCATCTTGGGCTCCTAGTCTCCTATCGTTAAGCCTAGTTATCCGATCATACTTCTCAGAACTAAAATTTTAAGCAGCACCTCCTCGTGTCATCATGATATATATAAAGTCAGCAACGCCAGCTATTAAGATAGACTTTTAATGCGTAGATGATGTGATGGTTCCATGATATTGTTTTCATCTAACGGTTGAGTTTAGTAAATGATTTTGCTATGATTATGTGTTGCCCTTAATATTGACAAGAGCGCTTGTCGTGTCATATCTAAAAGGTACAAGAGCGCTTGTTGCAGGGCCAGCGTGTCATATCTAAAAGGTACAAGAGCGCTTGTTGCAGGGCCAGCGTGTCATATCTAAAAGGTACAAGAGCGCTTGTTGCAGGGCCAGCGTGTCATATCTAAAAAGGTACCAAGGGTATGAAGTGAGCATGGCAGAAGAGGTTCCTCTCGGCAGAAAGGAATGCTAACAGTGGTGCTAGCTTATGGAATCAGCAAGGTTAGTAATGATTAGATGTAACACTATAGTTCGTGTATTCAATGCAATAATATATTTGCTATTTTAAAACCCAGCTGGTTATGGTCAAGTTCGTTATTGTTACTATATTAGCCATAAAGATCTACCTGAACTTTGAGAATGTATAGTATTATTAGTATCTCTATATATCTTAATTTAGAATGCTTATTATATCTTGTAATATATATTCTCCTATGGATACTAGCTAGCTAGTGCATTATTGTAAATAGAATGTATTGTATCTTGTACGGTAATTAGTACCAATAGTAGATAGAATACACTTAGCATTATTGTACTCCTAGCTCCATACTTGTTTAAACATTATTTGAAATGATTAGATATTTTGGTAAGCTAACCAACGCTGTCTTTTTTACTTACCCTTACATGCCGACAGCTAGGAGGATCAATGAATGGGGTAGTAGGCCAATTAGATCAAAAACTGAGTTTGTTCTTATAGCAATATTTAATGTGATATGTCTTGGGCTGTTGTTGTCAGCATACTATGAAGACGATAACACAGAAATGTATCATAGTATGCTGCACCATAGATTGGAAAGACTTAGCGCTGAGATAAGAGTGAGATATGATGGAAATTAAGCCGGTCATCAAGTGCCCTTGAGTTGATAAGACTTGTTGCGGGATAGAGTGAGTTGTATTTGATTAAGGTGGTGTTTGGATTACATGGACTAATTTTAGTCCCTGTCACATCGGATGTTCGGACGCTAATTAGAAGTATTAAACGTAGACTACTAACAAAACCCATTCTATAACCCTAGACTAATTCACGAGACGAATCGATTGAGCCTAATTAATCCATAATTAGCTTATGTGATGCTACAGTTATTGTACAAACGAAAAGCTTCACGTCGAAGGACGTGGTTCTCTCAGTGGAATGATTAGAAAGTAAAACATTGTATTAATTAATAATTTTTTTTGGGATCCCCCCATTACATGGTCCTAGGGGCTAGTTATAGTCTTAGTACACGCTCATATCCTCTAGGGTTTAGTGTGTACAGGGGAATTTACATAGATACTCTTTAGATAGGGACACCAGTGAGGGCATACAATGTCTATTCTAATTATGGGCCCCTAGGTGGGTCCTTTGGCCCAGCCCATAAGAGGCAAATGGCCTTCATGGGCCACGCTAGCTTGATGGGCTTCCTAGCGAAGCCAGTCTTCCATGGGGCGAACCCTTCATGCTTCGCCTTAAGGCTTCGCCCAGAGGGAGACCAGATGGTGAGCCCTCCGAGCTTGGTGGCGAACCCTCTTGACTTCGTCCTTTGGCTTTGCCTTGAAGCTTCGCTTAAGGCGAACCTCCTAGACCCGGTTGGCGTCTTGCTGATTTGATGGTTTCGGTAGGTTCAGCCGAAGGCCCTCATGACATGCCTCCAACATGCCCCTCACGGGCAAGGGTGAGTAGGGAGTTTCGGCCGAGACCGTGCAAACATATGGTATGGCAATGAGGCTCACCCTTTCGGCCAATGTTCCTACCGAAACCTCTCTTAACCAACAAAGCCTTAAAACTTATTATTACATATTTTTCATTTTTTATGTTTCTTTCTACTCTACTTGATTTCGCACCCTTATTTGAATCAGTAACTCGTTTGGAGTTGAGTCGGTTCGGATGCTTGGACAGACTCCTTCTCTTTGCCTCCCCCTTCTTTATTTAGATCAGTTTTGGGCCGTATTGCACTGTTTCCGCGGCCTTTTACTGTTCAGCCCATCCGGAAGAGGAAGTTACTGCTGCCTCCCTTCAAGGGCACCACGTGTTTGGCCACTATTGGCCGGTAGCCAAACCGTTGCGTCTTCGGGGTTATATATACCCCTCTGGGTCGCTTTCATTCTTACCGCAGTCATTCTCATTTCAACTCCCCCGCTCTTAGTGACCTCTCTTCTCTCTTCCTCGTTTGGTTGCCGTGCGTGTTCCTTCGCCCCCGCAACCTTTCGCCACTTGCAACCTTTCGCCCTGCTACCGATGGCAGCGTGTAAGCCTGCTAAGGCCGCCGCTACCGTCCCCGATCCAGGTCGCCTTGGCGAAGATCTCTCCTGCTTCCTTGGCAAGTCTCTCATCAAGGAGTCGGATCTTGCCTCCCTGGTGGCCTCCGGAGCCATCGCCGAAGGGCAGGGCTTCGTGTCGGGCGAAGCTCTAGTTCCAACTCCGGGCGACAGGTGAACGCTGGTCTTCTCCACGTTCTTCGACACCAGGCTTCGCTTCTCGTGCGATGATTTCCTTCCCGACGTCCTCCAGCTTTACAAGATCAAGCTTCCCTAGCTGAGCCCTTCCGCCCTGGCGCGGATTGCAGTGTTCGACTAGGCATGTCATACCGCGCTGGCTTGGCCCCAACCGCGGAGTTGTTCGACGCCATCTTCACTGCTACCATCCTTTCCAAAACTGTGCAGACGGCTGCTGGGCCGAAGATGATGGTCTTCGGCAGTGCCAACTTCATTCTTCGACCGGAACGGTCAGATGTCTAGCTCGTCCATGCTTCCATGCCCAAGTGGCATCACCACTGGATGCAAAAGTGGTTCTACCACAACATTCCATATGTGGTCGGTTCCGAACGGGCGGAGGCCTTGCACTGCCGTCACCATGCCATCTCCATCGAACTGAAACCGAACGTGGAGGTGGAAGGCACGCTGGAGTCGAGGCTCATACTTCTTCGCAAGATCGCCCTCCGGCTAAGCACCCGCGATCTTGTTGAAGAATACTACATGCTTCGCATATGCCCTCTGTCCCGAGACTGCGGTGTTTAGCTTAGTGCAAACGAGGAAGTCTATGGCCTCCCCCGTCTCGTCTTGCCTGCATGTTTTATTATTACTTCGCCATCATTCGCGCCTTTTCATCTTCGCAACCCGATTGGTGCTGGAGACACCTCTTTCATCTTTGTTTGGCTTGGACAGTGCAGTCGCTAGCAGAGGCCGAGACAAAGGCGAATAATATTATTGGCGAGCTAACCGCACGAGAGTATGGTATGTTGCTCTCGCGACAAACTAGCGGCCGCGCGAACCGTGTTTTCGACAGCGAGCCTCCCGCTCGGGCGAACCCGATCAAGGTTGTCACGATCGTCGACGGAGCCGAGTCGTCGAAGAAGCGTAAGAGAGGTGTTGCGAAAACCACGCTAGGGGGTTGAAGCAAAACCCGCCGAGCAACCAGATCCACCGCCCCTTCACCTGCTGAATCGGATGCGAACGATGAGGAAGAGGAGGACGAGAGGGATGAGGAGGAGGAGGAGGAGGTGGTGGTGGTGGAGGAAGCGGCCGAAGAGGATACGGAGGGCAAGAACTATTCGCCAGGTTACACCCCAAGTCCGGATCATCCGGAAACTGGCGTGGCCTCCAGCTCGTCACCCCTTCGCCAGAAAGACCTAGAGGGGGCAAAGACCCTAGCTGCTATAGTGGGTGCCACCTCGAGGAAGGGTACTTCGGCTGCCGGCAAGAGGCCAGCGAAGGCCGTGACCAAAGGTTTCGTGAAGATATATATTCAATGTTACATCTAATGAAGCTAATTTGACGTTGTATATGTTGTTAAATTTTCTATAAATTTGATCAAATTTAAAGAATTTTGACAAAGAAAAGTCAAAACGTCTTATAATATAAAACAAAGATAGTATCAACTAAGCATATATAAAGATAATTATAAACAATTATTATTATTTTTTCACGTCCATTCTACCTATGCAACCTCTATGGGTGGAAAAGAACCGGGTTCATGAGCGGCAAACGAGTCAAGCCCAAGCCTCGTCCATGAACAAAGCCAGAGTTGGCTTGGCTTGCGAGCATTGGCTGTCATGTAGTATTCACATTTCTCGTTTGTAGAATATTATTCACGTAACGCATATTAGTCTCATCTTTTCATTTATGCTTATATTTATTAGACAAAATTTAAATTTTCAACCTTAAATTTAAATTGATTTTAAGATTTTTTTTTCATCATAATTTATTTTTCAACTTTTATTGGTAGGGAGGAAAGAAGGCGATAGTGGTAGCAGCTGCCACTGCCTCCATGGTAGAGGTAACGTTACCAAAACTTTTAGTACAAAATTTAGAGTAAAATGCATAGGCGGGTCTTAAACTTGAAAAGTTATGTCATCTAGATCTCCTAGCTCTCAAAATACGGATTCAGGTTCCAGAACTTATCTAAGTGTATCATCTAGGTCTCAAATCGACACAGCCTCTCTAGGATCCTACCTGATGCTATAGATGGCCATATGGCCCATGGCCCACGGCCCGGCCCAAAGCATGGCTGTTTGGCCCGGCCCAAGCATGGCACGGCCCAACTGGGGTCGTGCCCGTGCCGGCCCGGCCCGACAGCCGGGCCGTGCTTGGGCCGCACCTTCGGCACGCTGGGCCGGCACGGCACGGCCTGGTCAAATAAAAAAAATATAGGGCTTTAAAATAGACTTAAATAATCATATAAGGCAAGGCCCAAGATAAGAGGTATACAAAATAGACTTATTTTCCAGCCATTTAAACACAGCCCACAAAGTTGAGGGACCAAAAATAGACTTTTTCTGCGAGGAGGTATACAAAATAGACTTGTTCTCCAGCATTTAAACACAGCCACAAAGTTGAGGGACCAAAAATAGACTTTTTCTATGAGGAAGCACGGTGCGCCGTCGTGCCTTCGGGCCGGCCCGGCATGGCCCGAGTAGTATTGGGCCGTGCCTGGGCCGCGGATGCTGCCCATGGGCTGGCACGGCACGGCCCGGTATGTCGGTCGGGCCGTGCCGACCCGACAAGCCTTGGCCCAGGCACGGCCGTGCTTGGGCCGAGCCGTGCCGGGCGGCCCATTTGGCCATCTATACCTGGTGCTGATGTGGCATGCCACATGGACGTGACATGTCCTTTTCTTTTGTTTTTCTTTTTTGTTTTCTTCGCATTCTTCTTTTTTGTTCCTTTCTTCTGCTCGGGTCACAGAGAAAGGAGAAGAAAGAAAAAAAGAGAAGAAGGAGAAGAAAAAGAGAAGCAAAAAGATACACTATCGCCTTCTTCCCTCCCTACGATAAGTTCTGGTATTTGGATATGTATTTTGAGAGTTTAAAAACCCAGATGACACACCCCTACAAGTTTAAAGACCGCCCATACACTTTACTCTAAAATTTAAGTATCTCGAGATACTTCCTCAATAACCATAAAATTTCTTTTCATATAAAAGCGAAAATAAAGCTTGCATGTCTCGACTTTCATGAACAAATAACTAAGGCAACTTAACCAGAATTCAGTCATAGACCCCCAATCTTACGTGTCAACTTCTACTCCCCAAGAGCAAATGCAGTGGCGTCGAAGGTATCAGACAGCCCGGTTCCCGTCTTGAAGGTGACCTTCTCCGGCGAGGCCTCGGCGACATAGACCTCGACAACGCTGAGCCAGAGCAGCAGCTCCTTGGTCTTCACGCCGGCGATCTTCTTCAGCTTCCCCTTCTCGACGAACGCCGTGACCTCGCCGGCGTAGGACACGGTCTGCTTGATCTTCTTGAAGGTGTGCTCGATCTTCTTCTTCCTCTGCACCAGCCACATGAATCCTGTTTCCTTGTTGTAGCCGAACTCCTCGATGTCCTCCAATGGCAGGAGGCCCTTGGGGAGGCCCAGCTCTTCCAGCAGCTCAATGGACTTCTTCCTGCAGACGCCGTCTCCGGTGACAATCTCCGCGCCGGCACGGTGGCTCTCGATGGCCTGAGACGCCATTGAGATCGATAGAATGTGTGATGAAGCAGAGAGACACGAATTATATGTTGTGTGGAATGTTTGATGTGGGTTGATGCTGAGATCGAGTTGGTTCTTGTTTGTGATGAGTGCAAGGCAGCAGGTGCAGGTTGCATATATAGCAGCGGTGTGTGATGGAGTTGATTTGAGTGGAGCGTGGATTGTTTGACCGAAAATACATATTACTCGTTTTGTTAGCCCAGAAGGGAATTTGTCAAGCTTTTGTGCTGTTGCAGGCAGATATAGTCTTTTATGAGTATAATACATATATAGTGGAGTATACGCCAAAATTGACTTCACATGGGAGGGAGGAGAAGAATTGGTGTACAAAATTGACTTTAAGTTCTGGCTTCAGAGTCACTTTTCACATTTTCTGAAGCGAGTGTGCACGGTTACCTACTTGCCTATCGACTTGAGCTACCGGCGGCACGTAGGCAGGCAGTTCTGTTCATCACAACATATGTTACTAATCCTTGACAGATGATTGATTAGCATGCAGATTGTGGAGATCAATACTGGAAGATGTCTTCTTGGAAAGCCACTGTTTGAACTTGCCAATAGTGGCCTTGTTTAGATTCCAATTTTTTTCTTCAAACTTTCAACTTTTCCGTTACATCGAACTTTTCTAAATACACAAACTTCTAACTTTTCCGTCACATCATTTCAATTTCTTTAAACTTTTAATTTTGGCGTGGAACTAAACACAGCCAATACCAAGAAAAAAATGTGTTGTCAGATACAGGAAAGTATGGACTGAAATATTACAAGGTTGGACTAGAAAATGTCCCACTCTTGTTCAAGTACACTGATGATCAAATTCAAGGATGCTACGTTGAGCGACAACATCAAACTAACGAGCCTAATTAATAGCTGAAAAATGTTGACTGTTACATGGTCGTAGTCTCATTTGTTTCCTGACCCCTAGGCTCATCATGCAGACACTAGCTCGTCTCTCAAGCAGGATTGTTGATTTGAAGCAGTAGCGCCCGTGTAGCAAAACAAATGATACAACGCATTGACTACTCCCTCCGGTTTCATTTTAATCGACGTTTTGGACAATAACATGGTCTACAAGATATATCTTTGACCTTATTTTTCTACTATAATATATATAATAAATAAATGCATGTTTACTTTTATTATAGTGCTTTAAAATATAAATATATATATGTTGTTCTAGTTCCTTTAAATTAAATATTTTTAAAGTTATTGATGATCAAATTATAAAAGTTTGACCTCAATCTTGTCCAAAACGTCAATTAATATGGAACCGGAGGGAGTAGTTGATTAGATTAAGTTATTTCGTGTTCAAATACGAGAACTATTTATTCCAGTGTTTGGTTGGTTCATGGATAATATATAATGTGGTACTCCATGCGACCAGTCCAAGACTTCTATCTATTGCAGTTGCAGGTAATCTTGAGTCCTGAAAAGGATTAATAACACAGTAATATATCACTCTTTTTCAGCTGAATGGATGATCTTGTTGAAGCACAATATTCATGGTGGCATTTGCATTTGTTGCATATGGAGAAGTTTGATGCAGCACCACATTAAAGTGTTCCCACTTCCAACTGCACTCAACAATGCAGGTGTATTTCCCCATTCGATTCAAAACTTTGTGCGTTTGCAACTGTTTGCCAGGTGTGGGCCTAGTTAGGGCCCAGGAGCAAAGGCCCACGAAGAATAATCGGTGTGGACCGCAAAAGGCCCGATCCAATGGCATACAAAACGCCATACGGGTACGAAACACATATTTTGACAATTTGAACCTTTGCAAAAATTAAGGGGCCCTTTGAATCGAAGGAATGAGAAAACATAGGAATAGGAAAAACATAAGATTTTGATAGGAATGTAAGTGTAAAACAGAGGATTGCAAAACACAGGAAAAACAAATGAATGAAATCCTCTAAAATTTCTATGAATTTCCTTTGAATCAAAGGGGGCCTAATTATACAACGAGCAAATGAACCGTGGCCAAAACATATTTCAAAAATAACCCTTTTCAGCGCTAAATCCCATGGCGCTAAACTTAAACACCTCGGCGCCACATCAACTGGCGCTGAATGTCGTGCCACTGTGGATAGAAGTCTGAGTTGGCGTGCCAACTCACATTCAGCGCCACGTTATTTGGCACTGAGGTATCTAACTTCAGTGTCATGGGATTTGACGCTGAACAAAAGGGTCATTTTTTAAATAAGTTTTAGCCACGATTTATTTGTATAATTAGTTTTACAAAGGGTCAAATTGTCTAAATTTGTGGATACGAAACATCCGCAGCCAAAGCCGAGCGAAACCCTCCAAAAAGCCCTAGCCCTAGCCCTCGCCGCCGGCGAGCATGGCGCCACCGCCGCTGCGCGTTCGCCGGGCGCTGATGGACGAGGCCATAGCCGGCGAGATCCTCGTCCGCCTCCCTCCCGACGAGCCGGAGCGCCTCGTCCGCGCGTCCCTCGTATGCAAGCCTTGGCGCCGCCTCGTCACCGACCGCTTCTTCCTCCTCCGCTACCGCCTCTTCCACCGCGCGGCGTTGTAACGGAGGGAGTAGCTTATATTCTTACCCAACAACCCAGAAGTCATATCCATCGAGATGCCAAGACTGCAGCTCGTTCTCCGTGTTCTGGAACACCACCTCGATGAACTCGTGCAGGCTGAGCCTCACCACCGGCGTCCCCGACCGCGGCGCCGCGCCGGGACGCTGTCCCAGCCGATGACATTGGCGATGTTGTAGTTGTCCACGAGCTTGAGCGGCGTGTCGGGGACGACGAACGACACGCCGCTGACGGCGTACCGGCGCGGAGCTGGCGAGCATCAGCGTCCTCGACGTCGCGATGGTGCCGTAGTGGAACGACCCCTGCGGGTTGGGCCTCGCCGCGCTCGCCGTCAGGTTCCACCGGAACGACATCGCCTGGTATTATGCTTTATTATAATATCATGTATTATGACGGTGCCTTTAGGTTAATACAAACCGCAACCGTTAATAAGGTGTCTGTTACTATGAGCTACTCCAGCAGAGTTGATTTTATTTTTCTTTCGGTAATAGTATATACTGCAGGAGTAGTTGAAAAGTCCGATTCTAATTTTGGCAATTGGCATGGATTAGAGTTTCAAATACGGAAGGCCGCGTGGTTAGACTTACCGAGTCGGAGAGGGAACGGCAACCCTATCTAGTCGTAAGTAAGATCGAGAGAGAAGAAAAAAAAAGGAAAAGAAAAAGAAGGAAGAGGGTTGAGGAGGAGGAGGAGGGAGGTGATGGCGATGATGCGATCGGCTTTGGCGAGGGTATTCCGCCGCTCCGCCTCCGGATCCTGTTCTGCTCCAGCGGGGGTGTGCCGCCGCCGGCCGGAGATCATCGACCAGGCGCCGCCACTGCCCTCCCTCCGCCCCGCCGCGATGCCGCACATGTCTGTAGCCGCCGCCGCTGCAGCTGCGCCCACTCGCCGCCTCCTCCAGGTCTTCTTCGATTCGCTTGCTCCCCTCGCACCTTTTCTTTTTTTAAAAAAAATTATTATATATATCTATCTATCTATCTATCTAAAACGTAGGATAAATTTCTGATGCTTGGTTCGCTTGCTAGGTTAGTTTCTTGTACGGCCGCCCGGTCGAAAAATGTTACTAATTTCGTGTAGGTGTTTCTTTTGATTCCAGAGTAGGGTTTTATGATCAATATGAGGTTAATTTCGTGTAGGTGTTTCGTTTGAGCTTTTGATTTCAGAAGAATAGGGTTTATGATCAATCCGACTACAAATTGATTGCGAGCTTTGTCTACAGTGGAACTTTGCTAGTCTATGGCAGATCTCCTGCTGCTTTAACAAGATCTCTAGAAACAATGAAATGATGTTCTATTATTCACTCCATTCCAAGTGCTTCTGCGTATACACAACTAGATTGGAGGAACCTGGCAACGCAGCACATGTTTTCTAGGGGCTGTAGTGGTATTCTGTGGAGCTCTAGCTTCCATTGCGTGCCACCTAATAATTTAGGCAGGTGGCGTAACACCCTTCAACCCATTTTCCCCTTGATTTCCAAATGGATGTTACCTGGAAGCACTATATTTTGGGCTGCTAATGTAACTTCTATCGGTACATACTTAAAAATTTTCATCAGTCTAATTATGAAAGCTTTTGGATCATTGCTAGAGACCACAGTCCACAAATCGGTTCAATTCATTTTTCTCTTCCCTTGCTGTTTTTCTCAGTTTCTCTATTAGTGTATTGGGAATCGGGACTAAACTAGTGTTTTTTTCAATATTTTCTATAACATAGGTTGAGGTAGGAAAGATAGATAGAAGCAACACTTTTGTTGTGGCATCATGATATATTTAAGAGTAAATTGCAACTTGGGCTCGGTATTATTACCAAAGTTTCACTTTAGACTAGGGTACAACCAATATTTTCACTTTGGGCTAAGGGACATGGCTTTTGTTTCAGTTTAGACCTCCTCAATCTTTCTTGTCCGCTCCTAGCTCCTCACCACCGCAGCTATATCCAGGCCATGTGTTCTCATCCTCTAGTCTAGAGTCTAGACGCAATGACAACTCAATGAGGAATGTGCCCATGGTGAGCAGGTGAGGTCCATCTGTGCACAACCGATCAAACTCCATCTGCTTCCTCCTAGAACTTTGCTCCTTGCTTCCTCTTCCTTCACCTGTGCTGTTGCTCTTCACACCTTGCGGCAGCAGCAACAGCTTCATGGTGTCGGCGATGGTAGGATGTGCAGGCAGTGCCCAGCCGGGTGGTGGGAAAGGTGGCACAATGTGCAACAGAAGGAAAGAAACTCTAGCCCAAAGTGAAAAAATTGGTTATGCCCTTGAACAAAGTGAAAATTTGGTAACTAAATCTGTCCCGGTATACAATTTACTCTATATTTAATTCAGTAAGGCTGGCTGCTAAGATAGTCCTGTGATGCGTATGCTGGCTCCGCAATTTTTATTTCTTCTGATGATTGGGTTTAAGTAAATAATTTTGTGTAACAATCAAGCTCTGTTTGCTATGATTACGTGTTACCCTTAGCAGTATTGACCAGAGTGCACTTGCTGGCAGGGACCGCGACAATTCCTCGTCATCTCTGAAGCAACCGAGGGTGTGAAGTGGGCAGGGCAGAAGAGGTTCTTCTCCATGGAAAGGAATGCTAATGGTTTTAAGCTTATGGAATCAGCAAGGTGAGTTAAGGATATATATAGGATGTAATTAACAACACACTTCCTTGTAACCTATGCAATATTTATGCACATTGTGCTTCATATTGCTCAACGAACCGTGCTTCTGCTTTATGCACTTAGGTTGTTGCTAGCTAGTCTTAAAACCGATCTGATCTTCGTGCTTGCCCCGCTATGCTAATTACTACTACTAGTATTTTCTTTTTACAAGAACGGATATGAGGTCTCAATGTCTTCGATTTAGAATGCTTAGCTCTTTTATTCTACCATTGATACAATTAGCGTGATACTAATTAGGGTCCCTACTACTTAACATGCATGGTAATAAAGCTAACCATGCGATGCAATTGCTTTTTTCTTTTTCTAATCTTGTGTAGGCTGGCAGTCAAGAAGATCAAGGCATTGGGTAATGCAAGGATCGAGATTGATCCACGGAATGAGTTCTATGTTGTAGCAGTAGCAACTGCGATATCTCTTTGGCTGATGTCAAGACAATATCGAAGCCTTGGCGACCCCACATTTCCTGGTGGCAGCATGAAAAAGCTTCAGGCTTGGAAGCGTGTTTCTAAACTTAACTCTGGGAAATCTAATAATGCTGATGAGTGATGTCGATGGCACTCTTGATGGAGGGTAATCTTTGCTGCAATATGCGTGGTAGAGTTGGTCGTATTTATTAGTTAAGTCAGTAAAGAACATGTAGTAGAGTGACTGGTATTGTAATTTTATTTATATGAATATTTACTGTGCCTTCTTCTCGTACTAGTTGACTAGCTAAACTGAATGAAGAACTTATCCAGTTGGCCCCTTGTCCATGTGAAAAATTCCATACAATGGCCTGTTAATGGTTGTTTTGCCGGATCAGCCAAAGAAATATAGGCTGACCAAATTTTATTAGGATTGAGAAATTTTACAGATTACAAGTTGAGAAAAACATGGACAAGAAGTTGTTCGTGCTATGCAGCAATATGTATTATCTTCGAGAAGTGAGAATTAATGCCAACCTGATCTGTAATTTCCGGCCGCCTCCTCATGGGATCCTCGGCAGCCGCATCATCGGAGTTAAAATTTAACTCGCAGATTTACTCAGAAGTTAAAATTTTAATGGAGTTAAATTTTAACTCGTGATGACATGGACGAATCTTAGCCGTTGGATTTGTTTTGCAGGATCAAGATCTACCTTATATCACATTATGACATGTCTACCCTGTATCACCCAGTCTGAATCTTATGGGTTGTTCCTCGGCAGTGAGGGAAACGGCCGGAGCAGATGGATGGAGGCTTGTACGATGAGACCGAGGGCCGACGAGCACTCGGGCAAGCGGCGGGTATGTTCGTGCCTGTGCCAGCTGCGGCACAATAAATCAAAAAAAATTACAGATTAGTGATTACACAACAGGAAAGAGAGAGAGAATGCAAGATAAATCAAAAAAAATTACAGATTAGTGATTATGTATCAGCAATCAAACTGACAAGCCTTATCGATCCAGAAAGGACGAGTTACATCTAAAAACAAAACCAATTTTTGACAACTGCTCCGTTTGAACCCTCTTGCAGAACCTACTAGTCTATCAAACAAAATATCATTACAAGTCCTGGCTTAAATCAATGGATCGAGTTCTTGAAAATGAGATCAAACATGTAAAATAGATCAAATAGGATAAGAGCAGTTGCAGAAAACTCAAATGCACAAGAGAAGACCATGCCCAACCATGATCTACCTCCTTAATTACCTCACGGGCACAAACCACCAATCTGATAAGCATAAAAAAATATTATTTTTAGATAAGCATCAAGTAGTAAACATGATGAACAAAAAAAATTATATTATATGGGTAACGATAGATGGATACATGATCCGCTAATGAATTGAAATCAAATCCCCCATAAAGAAGACACTTCCGGAACTAGTACAGGTTTCTTATCTTATCTCAAAGGTGCTTATCACCATTTTCTCTCCTCAATCAGGAAGAGAGAAGAAGCTAGAGAACCAAACAAAGGGTCATCGGCCTGAAGAAGCTCTTCCCCGCACTCCGCCATGGCCGCGCCGATGTAGACCTGATTGGCTTCCTCGCCGACGGAGCACATGCCGCCATTTTCGTTGAGATTTTCATCGAAGAAACTGAAGAATGTCCTGATGAGAAATTCAAGAAATCGAAATCGGAGATGGCAGCGTTGAACAGAGCAAATCTTGGCGTGTTCATGATCGAGCTCAAATCGGAGCAGGTGAAGAAGGTAGCGGAGGGTGGTAGATTCTACACCATCTTCCCATACATGAGCTTCTGTACACCAGGTATCTCATCTTGTTCTATATAATCGCATAAGATACTACCCGTATTTAAATATGGCGCTGTTAGCTTTTGAACATATGCTTTGCCTATTTATTCTATTCAAAAATTTTATGCAAATACGTAAGAATATAGGCTATGTTTAAAATACCTTTGATGATAACACAACCAAATAAACGATATTTAGAATTTTTTTTAATAAGACGAAGCTGTGGTGGAGCCACCGCCCGGCTAGCCCAGGCAGCCACCCAGGCTCGCCTGTGAAAACTCCACAAAATTTTAATATTGATGAGTAAATTGACGATGAAATTTGTACAGTAAATACTGTTATATTGAAGTTTGCTCAGACTAAAAAAATCTTTCTGGCTCTGCCAACTGAGACGAAGAATATGTCATAACAAAATAAATGATATTTAGATATTTTTAATAAGACGAATGACCAAACACATGTTTAAAAGTCAATAATGTTATATATTTAGAAATGAATCCTATAAGGCTACAAGTACACCAATTTTCAGTTTGCTCGAGAAAAATGTGCATTGGGTATATATGTATTTGGATCATGGGATCGGATGGAATTAATGGTGTCATCGAAGCACCTGCTGTTTAATTTGTTAAGACAACATTCTATGGTCTTCTTTATTGCCCATTGTGAGCGCACACCGAAGTAGCTCTAGTTAACCTAGGTACTTATTGATCTGTCTGTACATTTATCTTGAGCTATATCATCGTTGTCCTCCTAAGTTTTTACTCGTTGTGTGTATTTGTAGATCTTGCAGGAGGTAGCAGACAACCATAGCCAGCTCTTCTCAGTATCTTCTAACGAGCCACTTAATGAGAGTGGCTTCACCTGGATAATTCATGATTAGTCTGCAGGAGTTTCTTCTTGCCTAGTTGATGCCATTAAGGTGTTCAGTCATCGTGTTGAATTGTGTTTATTTTTAATTCGTTGTGATCTTGGCTTCATATTCAGGTCATGCTTAACGCAACATGCATGGAACTTAAATTATTCTGAACTTTGGTCCATTGTTTTATCCTGAATTGTGAATCCATGGGTGTTCAATTTTTCCCTATTGTCTGTTTTATTCCTTTTATGACTTACATGGTCCAGTTTCAGTGAGAAGCTTGCAACTTCTCATTATATGAAGCTCTTGTTGCTGCAGATAGTTCTATAGATCGTTAGTGATTGCTCCTACTATGTAATTTAGTTGTAAAGAATCTTTTATTTCTGAACTGAACATTTGAATATGGCTCTTCTCTACACTGGCAATATGGTATGGGAGAAGGGATTCACAGAACAAAGTCAAGGAGAAGGAGCCATCAGCGTCAGTTCAGAAATCAGAAGCTAGCAGAAACTATTCCCCTCTTCAGTGTAGCTAGCAGAAACTATTCCCCTCTCCAGTGTCCTTTCTACCAAAATTTGCATCAGTTTTGCCCAAGCGCTCGCTCGATTCATGTGATTGAGTTTGAAATAGTATACTGAATCTATAATGGTTTTTTTTACCCATGTAGTAAGGCACAATAGTTGCTGCTGATACTGTCGTAAAAACATCACTGAATAGCATAATAATAGATTGATGCGGCATCAGAAACAGAGCACTCTGCACCATTAAGCCTGAGGCCTTGTCCACAGGCTACAAACTCAAGAGAAAAACACTGACATATGATCAAAGAATAGCACATCAGTTTTAGCTACAACAAACATATATCCGAAATCGTAATTCTGAATTCTCATCTTCACTTTCACCTATAGTAGTAGTAGTATGACTTATTCTACTAGACATATACCAAACGACGAAGGATGGATCGAACTATGCAACTCTGAATTTCTTCTTCATCATCTTCCTCAGTGTCCAAGGCCGGCAGCTCTACCGCAGAGTATGGCGTTGGTCGGGATACTGTACTCATTGGAGAAGCTCTGCTGCGGCGTCCACACTCTCATGTACAGCTGCTGGCCGAGGTATTGCCGGTCCCAGTTCGCCGACCTCAGGTTCCACATCCCCTGGTTGTCCAATGACACCAAGATTGCCGACCATCCATTCGGGTAAACCTGATGAAACGAACATCGTCAATGTTCAGAATTCAGACTTCAGAGTTAACTGTTCTTCAAATGCATTGGAATGTTCAGACTTCAGAATTAACTCTTCTTCAAATTGGTTAGGAATGTTCAGAATTCAGACTAAGGAGTTAATTGTTCTTCAAATTGGTTAGGAATGTTCAGAATTCAGACTTCAGAGCTAAGTGTTCTTCAAATTGATTAGGAATGTTCAGATTCAGAATTAATTGTTCTTCAAATTGATTAGGAATGTTCAGACTTCAGAGTTAATTGTTATTCAAATCCATTAGGAATTTTCAGATTTCAGAATTTCTTTTTTTTTAGATAACAGACCACCCATGTGGCCCAGCTTTTATAACAAAGCCAAAGCATGCTTTCTGAATTAACTGTTCTTCAGAAGTTCAGATTCATTACGAGTATGTCAACACATACCTGAACTGTATGCCTCGCTTGCGCATCAACCAAGTTGTAGGTTGTCCGCTGATTCTCAGTCCACTGACCATTGCCATACCTGAATCCATTTATCAGAGAAAGAAATCATCAAAGGTGAATGAACAGATCTTTCTCATGTTGATGTTCATCTGAGAATTGATGCAACTGAAAATCTGAAAGTTTCAGTGGTTGATGGGAATGTAGCTTACCCAACAACCCAGAAGTCATATCCATCGAGATGCCAAGACTGCAGCTCGTTCTCCGTGTTCTGGAACACCACCTCGATGAACTCGTGCAGGTTGAGCCTCACCACCGGCGTCCCCGACCGCGGCGCCGCGCCGTCGGGCCTCGCCGGGACGCTGTCCCAGCCGATGACATTGGCGATGTTGTAGTTGTCCACGAGCTTGAGCGGCGTGTCGGGGACGACGAACGACACGCCGTTGACGGCGTACCGGCGCTGCCCGGCGAGCACCGGCGCGGAGTTGGCGAGCACCAGCGTCCTCGACGTCGCGATGGTGCCGTAGTGGAACGACCCCTGCGGGTTGGGCCTCGCCGCGCTCGCCGTCAGGTTCCACCGGAACGACCTCGCCTGGTTCATCGACCACTCCGCCTGCTCCGGCGGCGGCGCCGGGAGCGGGCCGGGCGCCCTGGACACGGCGCTGCTGTAGTGCAGCGTCCCCGTCGCCATCAGCGGCGACGCGCCCGGGCTGAACCGCGCGGACGCCACGACGGCGTAGTCCTGCGCCGCCTTGTCGAGCGTGACGAGGAACGCCACCGACTGGCCGACATGGACGTCGAGCGAGTCGTACACGTTCTGCACCGGGTGCGTCCCCTCCACCTCCACCAACCTCAGCGAGTGCCCCTGGATCCTGACATTGACGGACGTCTTCACCCCGACATTGGACACCCTGAACAGGTACGTCCTCCCCTGGTCGCCGACGAACGCCGCCGCCGACGGCATGCCATTGATGAGCAGCGCGTCGGGCGGCGGGAGCGCGCCACCGCCGCCGGCGTCGAGCGCCTGCCTCAGCTGCTTATGCCCGGCCTTGTACCAGTCGCCGACGAGGAGCGTGAAGTCGCCGGCGGGCGGCGGGTACGGGACGGGGATGGCCGGGCGCTGGTAGACGTTGAGCGCGCCGAAGCCGCCGGCGGCGCGGTGCATGGCGACGGAGGGGAAGTAGACGAAGGTGCCGATCTGGTCCTTGGCCTGGAACTTGTAGGTGTAGTTGGCGCCAGGGGGGATTGGGCAGTTGGTGCCCAGCACGCCGTCCTGCCACGAGTTCTTGCGCTGCTTGATGCCATTCCATGTCAGGAGGAACGGCTCGTCCAGGTTGTTGAACACGTTCACGATGATGTTGTCGTTCGTCACGCAGTCGATTCGCGGCCCAGGAAACTGGCCATTGATCAAGATGCCCTTCGATTCGATTCAACCAAGCAACCAAATCAATTATCAGAGAGAGAGAATGACAGAATTCAAGAACTGCATCTGCATTTGCAAGAAGAAGAAGAAGAACATCTAGTGGCGTTGTCAGTCACCTGCTGCGGGGTGGAGCCGAGAGGGTTGATGCTGCCGTAGGTGACGTTCCAGGTGAAGAAGCGGTAGGGGTCGTCGGCGCCGGCGAGGGTGGCGGCGACGGCGAGAATGCACGCCGCCAACGCCGCAGCTGCAGCCGGAGGAGGCGCCATTGCTGGATCTAGAGCTGAGCTAGCAGAGAGAGAGAGTGTGTGTGTGAGAGAGTGAGAAGCTTTTATAGCTGAAGCAGCTGAGCTGAGCTTGTGCTGTACTCGTACACAAAATTACAACTGGAAAGCAAAGCAAAGAAAAGCAAAATCTACGCGTAGATGGATGGATGGATGGATGGAGAAGAAGAATGCTAGTGGTGGTGGAGAAGATGGACAGATGGGGCGCTTTAAATTGGAAGAGAATTCTCCGCGTTTCGCAGCAGCGGCGGCCATTGGAGGAGTAAATTAAGGTCGCGAGGAACATGGCGGCCCAGCCTGTCTCCTCCTCTCCTCCATGGCTACCATCTTTCTCTCTGGCCATCTCTCTCTCCAGTACAGTGATCAGTGACGCAGTGATGCTGCTGCTGACTTGCTTGTTGAATCCGGCATTACGCTGTCGTACATCTCAATGTGCTAGATACTGTACAGCTATTGAAGAATTTAAAGGAGGAGGATTTGTTTTCTGCCAAGAATTTTCATGAACATGGTAACAACAATTCCTACGGTTGAGGAATTAACAAAAAGGGGTTTCTTTTGTTTCTGCAAAAAAAGTTCATGAACATGAAAATTGTAACAATTCCTACGGTTCAAGAATGAACAAAAGACGGCTTTTTTTTTTGGTTGTGCCAAAATTATTCAAGAATATGTTACCCATTTTCTGTACTGCAATTACAGTTTCAGGGCGCATTATGTGCTCGACCGTATCATCATTTCATCACGGACCATGAACATTTCGTATTTACCAGGGAAATTAATCGACGAGAACAAAATCTGAAGGTGAATCGGGAGGAAATGCACTTGCCACGTGTGTACGTCGCAGTACAGAGCTGAATTTTTTTGTCCAAAAGAACCTCCATTCTTGGCCTCGTATCAATCAACTCCTCCATCCGTATTCCGTAGTAATTGTACCAAGTAATCTTAACTAAGGGTGTGTTTAGTTCATGCTAAAATTGAAAATTTGATTGAAATTAGAATAATGTAATGAAAAAGTTGAAAGTTTACATATGTAGGAAAGTTTTGATGTGATGAAAAAATTGAAAGTTTGAAGAAAAAGTTTGAAACTAAACAAGGCCTAAGCAAATGGCATGAACAATGCATGGATGAATGGTACGGTTTGGAAAAAGTTTTTTTTAAAAAAAAGGGAGGGCAAAAGTTTTGCCTCATATATATTGATAGAGCAGGTTTTTCAAAAACGTTTTAACTTGGAGTAAAGAAAGGTGCATTCGGCAGCGCAAATTTTCAATTTCTACCTCCTCATTTTTCACACATACATTTTCTGAACCCGCTAAACAATGTATTTTTTTATAAAAAATATAAGAGGTTGTTTTTAAAAATTATATTAATCTTTTTTAAAAAAACTAGCTAATACTTAATTAATCATATACTAATGAATCACTTCATTTTACGTGTGCGGGAGGAGAAGTTTTCAACCATGTTCGAACACGAGACCTAGTGTAATTAACTGCCTGCAATTTCATCGACCCTCTTTCTTTCTTTATTTCTTTTGTTTATTTCTTTATTTCTTCTTCTTTCTTTTCTTTTCATTTTGTTCGGCTTTTGCTTCTACGAGTGGGCGATAGTTCTAGATGATCCTATGTAGGAGTGGCTCTTGTGTACTCTACAATAATTAAATTCTTTCACAGGACCCTTAGCTTGGAAGACAACCAAAATGAAAAGGTGCTTACAAGTATGCACAACAGTCAAAAGAGGGAAAATTTAAAGGCAAGAAGATAAAGAAAAGAAGGGAACAAGTTAACATGCATATGTGTAACTCTTTTGATGGGCACATGTATAATGATCCACCACTACCTTGCCTTGAGGCCCTGTTCTTTTTTTTTAATTCTGGTATTTTAAAACAATTCTTAACTTACTACACGGTGTGTTTCGTAAAAATTAAAAGTATATAAAATTTCCTTGAAACACTTTTCTAAAGCAACATTTTAATTTTTCTAATAATTAATTGATTTGTTTGTACCCTCCAATAACTATAAAAGAATTAGATTGTGCATAAATTTTAGCTATCTCAAACAGGTTCTAATAGAAAATGGTGTGTCACGCTAACTGCATTTGCATCGAAGTTTCTCATTGGTGTTGGCACTAGTTTTGCATTTGGCTCGCTTAAAACACATGAATCTTTCTTCTTTTTTGTACACAAAATAAATCATTTTAATTTATGTGAAATTCATGTAAAGCTAATGTAGAATTCGTGGCTTTACAAAGGAGTGTGTGGTCCCTCCCTCACGGAGGTATAGACGGCCGTGAAAACCCACTTGTTTAAAAGAAAAATGACAAGAATATTCTGGTTTTAAAGATCTGAACTTTGGTCATCCAACAACCAGCCCCTGATACACATGCTTTTTTTTCTTTTCTAAAAGGAATGTGTGTCTCTTATATAATGATAGTATATTTTACACTTTACAGATATGAACTAATTGCCCAATTAGTTATCCACAAAGACATACCCTGATACTCCTTTCTTTTTTCTAAGAAGGAATGTGCCATGTGTGGTGCTTATTAATACTAGGAGTATGTTACATTTATTTGCAGGTATCCTATGAAAGCATCCATGTAATTAATATTGCAGTAACTAATTAATTGTCTAGTTGACAAGAGAATGTAATACAGAAAAATAGCCAACCAATTGGTCACCTTGCATGGGAGAAGAGCAGAAAATAAGAAAATAAGCTTGCACATGGTCGCCAGTTTGTTAATTTGTCACAGGCATGCATGACTACAACTAGTACGTACTACACTTTTGCAGACAAAGGCTAGAATGGAGGACAATTAGTATTGTCTTATGGCTTTAATTAATATACGCGTGGTGATTAGTGGAGCAGGATTAGTTATAAGTGGAAATCCTAATCCTTTGACCATGCTGTCATGCAGGCATGTGGCCGTTGAACCGTGTCGAAGTAGTACAGGAGTAGCAGGCAGGCAGCTTGCTTTTTTTTGCTTAATTACCCTAGAATAATTAATGGATAACCCTACCATGGCATTATCTGGCCTGCCCTGGCCTGATGATGATGCTTAAATTACTTTTTACAAATGTTTTGCTGGGTGAGTTCAAAAGAAGCCGTAATTTGTGCCGCTTAATTAGATGGAGGAGGACAATAGAGTTAATGAATGCTACAGAGACTTGCGTTTTTTTGGGTGAAGGTACCGACATTTTTTTGCGAGAGGACGCAAGTGGGGAGCTGCTTGTTGCCAGCTTTCTTGGTTTCAAACGATGTACGGTTTTACTACAAAATCTTGATCAACTGATGAGTTACAAAAGAAGTTGGTGAAAATTTTGACGTTCCCGAGCTTGGTAATGCAAGACCGTATTAATTTAAGCATATGCAAGCCTATCCAAACGATGGTTCTGTACTGAGTAAACTTTGGCTCTGTTTGGGAGATTCTAGGAGCTGTAATTTTTTCAAGAATTTCCAGCTCTTAAAATAGTCTATATTCTCACTTAGACTCTGAGAATATATAGCTATAGGATCCAGAAAAAGAACTTGATTTTTTCAGATTGTCAGAAACTACCTACCAGTCGACTGCTAATATTAAACTCTCCCAAATAGAACTTTAAATGCGTTTGTAAGGATTAATCATATTATTAAAACAAATCATTTGTTTCATGCTTCAAAAAACATGTTTTCTTAAAAAAAATCTTCAACTGTTGTGTTGCTTTTATTTCTTAAAATATTTAATTTATACTTATAATAAAATCAATAATATGTGATAATAATATGCTTACCCTAAGACTATGTGCTTATAGATTTTCTTTAAATACTCCCAAACATTTGAAATTCTCATCCAGAGAATATATAACGATATACTAATTCAGAAAACAAAGTAAAAGTTGATAAACCTAACCCTTTTTTTTCATACTCTTACTAGCTCTTTCTAATCTTAATATCCTCAAACAGTGTGACTAAACCACGTACTCCCGGTGGTACTAGCAGTATAGTAATTTAATGGAGAAAAGTTCCATTTCTATAATTTATATATTATTATGCGCAAATTAAGGAGCCCTGAAAGTTGAGACAGCGGCATTGCGTATTTGCGTGCTTGCTCATCAGAAACCGCGGGAGAAATCAGGGGCACGAATTGCGTTTCCGCGTGGACGGCAGCACAAACAGCTGGAGTTTGCTTGTTCTGCGTGCACGAATCACGAGGCAGGCAGCACCTCTCTTCCTTTCTTTTTGAGTAAACCCTCACATGCAGCCATTTTGCCTCGTGATCCATACCAATATACTCCATCCGTGATCCATCCTGCCCTCGTAAACCCAAGTTACCAACCTCAAATCCACAAAAGAAATGTGTCTAGTTTACTGCAACTTACTCATAGATTATAATACTTCAACTTAGTTTGATGATGATTAGTGTTGGAGCAAGCAAAGCATGCCTCTGCATCATTTTGCCTTGTAGAGACCGTTGGTGAGGACTGCATCTGACGGCACTCTGCATGCTTACTTTTCCATCATTTCTAGGAACTCATCGCTGCCTGCCCAAACTCATACTGGCAAGTTCAGTACAACGGCAGAAACTCATACCAGAAGAAACTAGTGGCAACCTAGCCAGCATTTGAAACTCCTTCAAGATTCAGATTTCAATCACCTGGTAAGGAATTCAAGTTTTCAGTCTGAACTTGCTGAGATATCAAGATTTTATAAGCCTGAAACTTCCTGGGAGTTTCCTTCAGTTTTCCGAATTTCTAGCAGTCAAGCCCAATATCCAATAATAGGCTTTAGAGTTGGAATAAGTTCACCTGCCGTCCCTCAACTTTACACCGAGTTTGTTTGACATACCTTATCCTAAATACTAGAAATCTTTGCCTCTTAAATGTTCAGAACCGTGCAAATTAGGTCCTATAAAATCGGTGGAGTTTCATGATTTGGGCATAATAGCTTACCTGGTCGTGCAGGTTTGGGTTTTCTTTTCGGCCCAATGCTGGCCTGGGCGCCTGGCCCAACAACTCAAGCGTTCATGTGAAAAGCTTGCTTGCAGCTTGTATCAGTTGGTTGCAAGGACAAGATAAGGAAGGCCTCCTTTGAAACTAAGGAAAAGCAATAGGAATTCTTGAGGATTTTATCCTACAAAAAAATAATCCAATGAAGCCATTTGAAACAAAGGATTGTTTTTCTTTGAAATTCCTATGAAATGAATCATTCTAGAGCAAGTTTTTCTCTTCAAGTGTATAGAATTCCTGTATTTTCTCTGTATGCTAATCAAACAATGTTTCGAAACATTCTTGTGTTTTAAAATCCCTAGGAATCCAATGAGTATGAACATTATTATATTCATAAGTTTTCCCTATTCCCGTGTTTTCTCAATCCCACATTTCAAAGTGGCCCAAGGCCCATCTCACATATTTGTGTATTTGGCCTTCACGCAAAAGCCGGGCCTCTGGCCTTCTCTCTAAAAATCTCACATATTTGTGTCACATTTTTTTCCCTTTTTATAAATTCTGTACTTTGATCTACTACTGTGAACTCAGTTTGTTTCATGTTTCCAGTTTTCAAAATGAACGCAAACAAGTGTACGAGATACTCTGCAACTCTGCTGATTGACATTGACTAATTCTACTCCCAGCAATGACTAAACTTTTAAAATTTATTTGAAAAGTACATGTAAAGTCAGCCTGAAGATTTGAACGCGAGAGACAAATTGAACCAGAATTATATTCATGTGGCACAACTGCAGCATCATCATCAAGATAAGGAATAAAATGGTAGAGGGTGTTGAAAAGTTCAGCTAATGCAGTGCAGGTGGTCTACATCAAACCAAAAAAAAAACAAAATTTAATTTCTGCAGAAGAAGAACATCCCCATTAGTGAGTCAGCACCAACAAGAATATACCGATTGATTGATGAAACTAGCTTCTGGTTGTTGAACATTGGGCTGTCTCCACTCTGCAGAGAGTGACAGACAGAAAGATCCACGAATATTCACCAGCACATCCAAGAACAATCCCATTTTCAACATTGGATACACCAGCAACCAACTGATTTATATGCTCCAGTTAATTCATATCTGTACATTTGCATGAATTTTCTCCTTTTCAACACACAAGATGAAACCCCAAAGTAGCACACACTTTACAGCATTCATCTGCAGGAAGATGATGGAACTGTTAACTGAACATTACCTGAAACACACTAATTTCATTTCAGCTCCTCTGAAGAAGTCACAAAACTGATGAAAACTGTCACTGTCAGTAAAATATCGATCTTGATACACTTGTATGTTACACACAAGACACGACCAGAGACCAACATAAGGATGAAGATCATAAATAAAAATGCAAGTGAAGCCATGCTTGCACAGGTCAAGGCTGGGGACAAGTTCAAAGCAAGCATCAGGAATGCTAATAATGCCTCAGAATACAATAGATTCCGGATAAGAATGGGTGATCATCCTGCCCTTCGTTTGACTCAACCGATAAGGACGAACAAATTTATAGTAATATTTAGCAGCTGCAAACTTTGGCTTGATTGCATGCAGAGGCATGCATAAACGAGAGGTGAAGATGAGTTCAGATGTGTCATGTGTGACGCGACTTCTCGGAACTGAAAAACCTCACGGCAATAACTAAAATCACAAGAATGTTACTACTAGCGAAGAAACCTGCAGACTTGCATGCCAAGAATGCTCACAGTTTCGTCGAGAAATAATCGGAGTCAGAAAGATGCAGTCTCGCGGTTTTACAGCTCATGAGAGATTCTTGGTGTGTGATCCTCTCCGTCGCCTCCTCTTCCGGCGCCGCATCAGATTCTTGGTGTCTGCTAATCTTTTTCTCTCTCTCTTTCCTTTTCCCTTTTGTTTACTCTGATCGCATACTTTTTTTTTGCAGCAGGTATATTTATACTATCTTGATGTAATTGTCTAAATTCAATAAAAACTTCAATTATCTTAAAAGAATGTACGTGTGTAATTGTTTAAATTCAATGAAAACTTAAATTATCTTAAAAAAAATGTACGTGTGTAATTGTTTAGATTCAATGAAAACTTCAGTTATCTTTAAAAAATGTACATTTTCAGATATATGTGGTGAAAAGAAAAGGATTGGGATATATGTGGAAGACAGAGGTGTTGTTGGTGTCATGGCTTGGCTGGTCAGTTGGATGAAACGACTCTGCTGCGGTTCTGGACAAGAAACTTATTATGATCAGGATTCATTCAGGGGTAAGGACCACCTCAAGTCCCAAGAAAAAGGATGAGGATCCAAAGTTTTTTTTTTCCCCTTTTCAATTCAAGAATCCAAAGATTTTTATTATTCTTCCTTGTTCTGGCTCTTGATGCCGCTGGAATGTTGATGGCCATCAGAAGCCAGAAACATGCCCTCTTGGCTCTTGCTAAAATAGGCCTAAAACCACTGTCCATTTCATATACTTCAATCAGCAAGAACAGCAATGTCAAGCTTATCAGAACTATAGTAATATGCTTGATTGAAATGGAAGATATCAAGAAAATCACTCAAGAGAGGTTGGAAACACGATATGGGTAAAATTCTCAGGGCGAAAACTGTAGCTCTGCCCGAATCCTTTAACCGGCAAAACTCGCCGCAAAACTGTAGCTAGTATCATCTCTTTCGATATACATGACAACAACCAACTCACCATCAGTTTCATCTCAAGCACTCAAGGCTCGATCTCACTGTATACAAACACCTACACTAGTCTCTCCTCTCAAACTCCTCCCTGAAGATCTGGTATTATTTTTCATCGCCGCGCCGCAATTAACCTAACCCACCAAAGCTGTGATGAAAATTTCTGATGCAACATCATCTTGGATCATTTCCAGCCATAGCTCTCAGACCTGCCATCCTCCTCCTCGCAGCTGACCGTCGCCGCCGATGAGCCGCCACCGGCCATGCCTGAGCCTGAGAAATGGAGAGGACCCTCAGGGGATCCAGACTGGGAGCTGCTTTGCTCTTGAGGAATGTAACAGAGCCCTTGCATGAGCACAATCGGTTGGTTCACAATTGTTGAGCTTGGCACTCTCGGCCGGTTGTGCAGGCGGTACTTCTGCGCAATCAGAATCGCAAAAATCGACATCAGTATCATCGCAAATCCGTCGCGAGAAGTCATGATTGTTACTGAACATTGATGAAGAAAATCTTGTGGTAAACAAAAAAAACAGTGGTGAATTTTCCTCACCTGAAGATGGCTTTTGACCTCGTCATTTGTCAGTCCATCCACCTTCATCAGCTCCCTGATTTGCTTTGGAGTGGCAACTGCACAATCAATCAATCAATCAATTCAGGAATCAATCACCATGAGCAACTAATTACTAATTCCAAAGTAATTAATCACCACATGCAGATGCAGGTGCTCTTAGCTCTAGAAATGGCAATTAATTAATGAATTAATTAAGTGTACCTTGAGGGCCACCGAGTTGCTGCAAGGCGGCGACGAACTTGCGGTGGAGGTCCGGCGACCAGCACCGCCTCGTCTTCCTCGCCTGCTGCTGCTGCTGCGCCGCCGCCGGCTGAGGCTGGGGCTGGAGGCTGAGAGCGGGGCCAGACGCCGCCATGGCGGCAGCCCTCGCCGCGGCCTGGGAGAAGCCCACGACCTGACGGCGGCTTTCGTCGGCGGCGGCGGCGGAAGCAGGCGGCGAGAGCAGCGACAGATCCGGCATCCTGACGTCGTACGCCATGTCCTCCTTCCTCATCAAGCTCTGCTTCGGCCGCGCGAAAGCCGGCGCGCCAGAGCCCACAAACGCGCCGCCGTTGGACTTCGCCTCCGACGAGATCCTCACCTTGTCCTGCTTCTGCGACGATCGTCCAAATTTCAGCCACCGAAATCCACGCAACCAAACAAAAAAGCATCCATTGAAGAATCAAACGAAACGAAGTCTCACCTCTGGATCAGCGGCGGCGGCGTCTGGGCCGCCGGAATTCCCAGTCCAGAGCTGCGCGGTGCTCATCCAGTTGCTCTTGTCGCCGGCGGCGTCCTCCTCATCCTCCTTACGATCACCACCCTTCTTCTCCACCTCCTCCTTCATCACATCAATCACTGCACGCAAGCCATGCCCAAATCAACAACTCGCCACCACAAAACAAAACAAAAAAGAAAGAGGCTTTTTTTTTTGTTTAATAGTTATTACCGTCGGCGAGGAGGCGGACGCAGAGGGGGAGCTCGCGGCGGAAGACCTCGATCTTGCCCATCTCCTCCTCGAGCCTCCGGATGCAGTCACCCATGGCGGTGGTGGTGGTGTCCTTGCCCCTGACGCGGCCGAAGCTCTTGGCGGCGAACATCTTGAGATCCAGGCTCAGGTCCGCCGCGCCGACGCCGATTTCCCCCACATCCAGCCCCATCGCGCATACACCACCACTCCACCTCGATCGAGAATTCTTCGAGAAGCTTGTTGGATTGTGTGTGTGCTTGAGAATTGAGAGATGGAAGTGGTTTGATTGTGGACGGATTGATGGGAAGGGAAGGAAGGCGAGGGGAGGAGACTGGGTATATATAGAAGAAATGTGAAGGAGAAGAGATGAGGAGAGAATCTCGGGGGCTTAAAACCAAGGCGAGGACGAGTTTTCACGTCACCTCTTCATTGCAGACTTGCAGTGGAGGAGGGATACTTTTGTCAAAACACCCCTCATTTCTTCGTCTATTTCTCTTTAGCCCCATTCCATTTGTTTATGTGTCAATGAAGTTATTGTTATGTATTGTACATAAATAATGTATATGTCAAGAAAAATGATACTGATTTATAAAGTTAGTTTTTTTTATGTAGATGTTGTAATTCTGATGGTTTTATGGGGTTGTGACATGGAAACTGAAATATCTCCGTGGTGAGGGTCGGCTACTCGGCTGGTGTAATTAATCTGTGGGCGAGAAATTGATTGAAGATATTCAGATTTGGGACGGATTAATTGCTAGAGGTAAAGATATGCGTAGGATAGAACGGACGGATATGATGCTATTAAAAACCGATATCTAGAAGATATCGGTTTTTAATTCTTGCGCTTTTCGATTGCTTCTCTTTGAAGCGATGAGTTGTTCGTATATGCGTACAAAATAACATAATTATTATTTTTTTCTTTTTGGCTTGCTTCGAATGATTCGGTAACAGCACACGCCTTTAATTCGTCGAGCACCTGCAGTGACATTTGTGCACTTCTCCTTTGATTTGTCGCTTGTTTAACTTCTTGTCTATCTTTTTGTCGCATTTGCTATAGCATTTTGTGCTTTCTGGAATTCAAAATTGTGTGATGCGCACATTGGTTTAGTTGTGTGCATATATTGCTATGCTTGTTTACACCTTATAGCACCAAACATCCTAACAAACATCAGCTTCAACATACAAGTATGTGATAAAGGTCAGCTTTTGATGTTGTGTGATTTGCCCGGTGTGTGTGATTGCATAATTCACCACTAAACCCCATCACAAAGTACTTCTTGAAATTTTGATTACCGTAACATTTTTACCCCTTGCGATATACTACTGTGTAAAACTCCTTTGATTTGTCACTTGTTTTTTTTTCTTTTTGTCGCATTTGTCATCTTCATTGAAATTTGTATGCTTCTCCTATTTTTCTTTTTGTTGCACTTGCTAGATCATTTTTGTGCTTTCTAGAACTCATAAATGTGTGCCACACACATTGGTTTAGTCATGTACATTTGTTAGTATGCATGTTTACAACTTATAGCACCAAACATCCTAACAAACATCGGCTTCAACATACAACTAATGTGATACAAGAAGTACTTTCAAGAGGCTAGCCTTTTCATGTTGTGTGCTTCGCCTAGTGTGCATGATTGCATAATTAAACACTGAGCCCCATTGTACTTCTCGAAATTTCGATTAGTGTAACATTTTTACCCCTTGTGGTATACTACTGTGTAAAACTTCTTTGATTTGTCACTTGTTTGTCTTTTTGTCGCATTTTCCATATGTAGTAAAATTTGTATGCTTCTCCTTTGATTTGTTGCCTATTTTTCATTTTGTCACATTTGCTAGACTATTTTGTGCTTTTTGCAACTCACAAATGTGTGTCGCACACATTTGATTAGTTGTGTACATTAATTAGTATTCATGTCTAGAACTTAGAGAACGATACCAAGAGGTACTTTCCAGTAGAGGCTAGCCTTCAATGATGTGTGCCTTGTTTGGTATGTAATCACACAATTCACCACCGAGCGCCATCACGAAGCATGCCTTAAAATTCCGAATAATGTAACTTTATACCGTTTTCAATATAGTACTATAATAACACACATGTGTTAACGACCAAATTTGGTGATATCAGCATCGAAAAAGAAGATTAGATCAAAGTGGAGTCGAAGGCAGAGATCGATTTGGGAACAGAACAGGAATCGGTTGGAGTCCAGATCGGCTACGATTAGGATCGGCTGAGTCTGAGTCGGACTAGGTAAGCCAATGCAGCCGATTCCGACAATACAACTTGGTGTATGACATCGGGTTGAATTGAGGTGCTTCAAGATGATTGCCGCACATGGATAGAGTCCTGAGAAGGCAATGGTATCTATTAATTAGGATATTTTATGTAATCTCCTTAGAGATATGCTTGGGCAAAAGTCTGCCGTAAAGACTTTTGGTATCTTAGAGTTTGTTAGAGATAAGAGTCGTTTCCGATATGAACATTGTTTGTAATTTTCGGGTATAAATAGATCCCGAACCCCATGTAATCAAGTAACACACACGTTCAATACAATTTCGGCGCATCGCCACCCTTTTGCTTTAGTTTTATTTCGACGAGTTCTTGCTTTCGGGTTGAGCTACATCGGTTTCGATCTTCAACAAGAGGTAAAACTTGTTATGACGGCTTGCGTTCTCGGGATTAGTGCTTCCATCTTTATAACACTCTAATCTTGTTTATGTAATTCATCGGGTTATCATATATCTTACATAATCTCTGGCAATATCGCTATCTAACCTACAACCGGCTAACATCTCTCGAAGAAGGCAGCCAATTAGGTTAGATTTTGACGTTGACTCAGATTATATAAGATATCTACCACTCTATGAAACTTCCAGCAGCTTGATTGTCTAGATATTGTTCTTCTTTTCATACTTAATGCTGCATCAGTTGAGTTTGATCTATTAAGTCGTGCTTAGAATATCAATCTCTAGCCTGCCTTCTGGTTGCCGATTAGGGTAGCATCGGAGTTTCAGCCGATCTTATCTGATTTAACTATATTTGCTCTATATGCTTCATTGACATGTTAAATCTGCCCTTGTGTCAAGATATTATTGCATTTATGTATATTAAGCTTCTGTTTGGTTTATTATACCTGTTTTAATATCCTGATATAGAGTAGCATCGAAGTATTAGCCGATACATGCTAGATCTATCTGATCGGCTATGCTATAAACATATATAGTCCTGTTATTAATATATATTTCGATCTAAGTGATTTATACTGTCTCGCATGGTGGCCAATCTATCCCAATCACTTGATTTAAGTATATATCGATATAAGAACTATATATTGGTAATATCTACAGCCGATCGAGTAGATTTAGTTCTTTATTATCTATTTATATTCGCCGATCGATTCACGTATGACATCGGCTCAAAGATGAATGATATGTCATCGGCACTTAGCCGATCGGCTATCATTTATGGATTTAACCGCGGTTTCTTTCTCTATTTCTTGTTGATTACAGGATCAAATCAATTGGCACGCTAACACACCCGAAGGCGAGCTTTGGACCTGCACTAGAGTTAAGCAGATCTCCCAGGCCTCGTGTTTTTCATCAACAACATGAAAAGTACATATCCCCATGGTTGTAAATATTTATCATAAACTACCACACACTTCATCAAAGAAAGTGTATTCTCAGAACATTCAGTAGAATATACCAATTATACATCAATTGCAAAGAAGATGCCATGCCACCTTGATGATTAAAGAAATTCGAGTCACGAACAACAAACCATGAATGAGATTTTTGGGTGCCGCTTTGAAGATAAGAATTGGCCATTTGATATTTGTCTTATTGGGAACAGTGACATCATTTCAACATGGCATATACACGGGGTTTCGAATATCCATCTAGAAGATATATTTGTCTTTTAAAATTTAGTCACTTGCAAAGTTGTGTCCATCTGTAGAATAGCTATATGGTATGGTGGTGTCATCCCCACTACTTATTTGTGCTACCATTTAAAAATGCAAAATGACCATTTATGTTACACTCTATAAAATTAAAATACCATCAAATTTTAAGATACGATATAAAAACGTTAAATTCTGAAAAAAAAATAAAATACTAGCTAATGTAATACTTTTATGAAGAAAAGGAAAAAAGGAGGGAAGAAAACTAGCTGTTCCAATCCATTGGTGTTCATTCCAAACAAAGTCCATGAGGAAGCAATAGGCAAATAAAATAAATTGGATTCCTGGAGGATATGCCATGTGAATTTGGACGGCTGGTGATTCAGATTCCGATGCCTTTTTCTTGAATCCAATACTCTCCCAAGATTTTTTTTCCTGTATTTTAATATGGTGAAAGAGAGAGGGGGCAAGAGAAATATTCCCTAGGAGCCCTGCCATTATTTTACAAGATGCTTTTTTGGACCTATTCGATGGGCAGGAGAAAAGAGATTAGTGGCAAAGATTCTATTCCGTGGCAATTTCCTGTGATTTTTGGAGAAACAGGGGCATTTTCGTCACGGATTCAGTGGACACCTTACGCGCACTCGGCTCGCCACGTTTCTGTCTAGTTTTTTTGATAGGAAAGCAACTTAACAACCATATTTAATCATACACAACGTGTAGCTTAGCTTATGTAGGGTTCGTCACCCTACGTGATAGAAATCATAGAACATACTGTACTCCCTTCCTAAAAAAAATTAAATACGGTTTCTATCCAGATTCATTATACTAATTTATGTCAGATTTAATAATAGTTTTATTTTTTAAAACGGAGAGAATATTCTCATGTCCCTTAAAAAAATACCTAAGAGTCAAGATTTCTAGATAATTTGTGCTAGAAAACATCACATCCCATCCTCCTTTTTTTTACGAAAAGAGTACTACTCCCTCCGTCTCAAAATAAATACAGTTTTACATTGTTTATATCCCATGTTTAACCGTTCATTTTATTTGAAGTTATTTTATGATTAGTATTTTATTATTATTAGATGATAGAATATGAATAGCACTTTATGTGTGATCGGCTAATTTATTTTAAAATTTTTCAAATAAGACGGACAGTCAAACATTGGATTCGGATACCCACAGCTGCATTATTTTGTGACGGAGATAGTAGTTATCAAGTTTTGAGAATAATTTATCCAACTATCCTCTATTTTTTTTTCGTTTCAGTTTTTCTCAAGTTGACCGTAGGCCGTACTATATTGTTTAGAAGATGGCACATGGTTTGATGTTTTAGCCTTTTGAATCATGCCAAATCTATTTTTTGAAGTGCATGAAGGCCGGGATGTTTTCTCTATGTATTTAGTGCGTGGGTCGATCATTTTGCTAAAGAGATTATTTTGGTATGAGTATTCTTTT